ACTGGAGCACAGCAGGCACCCTGTCATCTGAGTTGGAGAGGACTCCCACAACTATCCTCTCAAAAACACCCAGTTTCTGACCGGTGGTTTTGAATTGCCTGAGGCGTTGAAATAACTCGCCCGCGTCGTTGTAGAGCGCGTAGCCTTGTGAACTCGCGAAGCGATCCAGTAAGCCCTGGATTAGCTCATCTGGTAATTTGGTAGATTTATCTGCCGAGACCTGCTGGAACGTGGTGCGTATAAGCTCCTCCCACCACTGCCTTGGTCCGCCGTATTGGCCGCGGATGGCATCCGCGCGGCCATAGTTCGGCCGGTGGCGGGATTGCGCTTTGTAAGCGGATTTGAAGGCTGGTTGAAGGATGGATGGTGTGAGCTCAGGAGATGGTTGAAGTTTGAAGGAGTTAAAGGCGGAAATGTATTGTTCGGCAATGGGGTGGCGCGGCTGAAAGATTGTGTTGAATGCGTCTATGGTTAAGAGGAGGGTGCGAAGGCGCATAGTTGGTTTCTAGATAAGTCGGGGGGTGGTTTGGTTGTGATGTTCTGTGGGATTTCCTTATTTTATATGACTGTTGAATTATGCAAAATGCGACAATATAATGTGTATATGATTGATATCGATTAGTTGTTCGCTAATTTAATTTGACAGAACAAAGATGAAAGAGAATGTTGAGTTTGAGATGATCGGCCTGGGCAGGAAGAAGCTGTATCGGTGTTTGATAACAATCTGTTATCGAGTCGGTCATGTGACTTCTAACTATAAGAGTATGGATGTCCTTCATCAAAGTGACTGAAAGAGCAGGAGAAAACAATGACTCTTTTAAGTTACTACTATCATAGTAAGATATATAAATTATGACTCATCCACAAACTTAGCAGGTTGGAAAGCAAGATCATACAGATACTGCACCTTCATGGAGGAATTATACTTTAACCTTCCATCTCCACTTCCAGTCCAGCAGAGCCCATCGAGATAATATCAGACCAACAAGCCCGACCAAGAGCACGGCCGAGTAAAATCCGATAAGAATCTGGGGTGTGGTCGATTGCAACAAGTCACCTCCCACGGGAACAGTCAATAAAACCCCGAACGAAGCCACAGAGTACAGGGTACCGTAAAACCGACCATACTCTTCAGTTCTGCAGAGCTGGCCAGCACATACAGGAGCAAGGGAGATCCAACCCCCAGATCCGAATCCGAAGATAGCCACCACGGTGTATAGAGTCTTCACATCATGGGAGCCAACAGGCAGCCAGACCGTTGCCATTATAATAAACGTGAGTAGGACTAGGCAGAGCAGGATGTTGAAACGGCCGATCTTGTCGGCCGCAAATCCGGGAAGGACTCTTCCTACTAAGCCAAAGCAGTTCAGGACTGTGAGCGAATAAAATTGCACGTTTGTTGGGAAGCCAGCAAAGCGGACGTATGTCGGCAATAGTGCTGCGCAGCCGAAGATGATGAATTCGAAGGAGAAAACTGCCACAGTCAAGAAACAAAGCCGAGGAGATCGAAAGGCCCGGAAGTCGATTGTCGCTTTGCTGTTGCTGCTAGCTGGTAGGCGGCCTTTGACCAGGATGATTGCTGCTGCATAGCAGCCCAGAGCTATAAAGGCGATAACGCGGATAGACCACGTCCAGCCGTATCTTGAGAACAGGGTCCGTAGGATTACTGGAATGGTAGCACCTCCAGCTGATGATCCGCCCATGCAAATGCCTGATGCTAGGGCGCGTCGTCGGTGGAACCAGTGGCTCAGGACTGAGATTGAGACTGTCGAGATAATGGCCGAAGCGATCCCTCCTAGTATGGAAAGGCACAGAATGAAGTGCCAGTATTTTGTACACTCAGCTAGTAGCATATAGGAGGTGAAGCTGGCTGCGGATCCGCATGTTAATAAGACTCGAGGACCGTATCGATCGAACAGTGGTCCGACCTGGACTCCAAGAAATAGAGTCAGAAACACGAAAATTGCGGTGATCCAGCCAACATCGCGGATGCTGTATTCGGCAAGCTGGTGCTCGCTAATGTAGTCCTGGACAGTGCCAACTGGAGAACTCTATGTCAGCTGTTCGTCAATCCCACTTTTTCTAGTAACATGGGTTTGCACGTAAATGCGGTCATGAAAAGGTTGACGTACCTGCTGCTTCAAAACCAAATGACGGAAACATTAGCAAAAAGGATCCCAAGAGGCACATCCATGCCTCTCGACCACCCTCGGGGAAGGCCTGGCTGACTCCGGGCCCATCTGCCGGTTGCTCGGTGTCATAGATGCCAGTATGAGATCTTAGTTCAAGCTCTTCGGTAAGCAGGGAAGAGTCCTGCCGAGCCGACCGACGCATTTTGCATATAAATTATCAGAGTGATATTGAAACGATGTAAATGCTGCATTCCTCTAACCTTGGAGGGCGCTCAGGCTTGGAGCTCTTCATTATAAGAGTTGCTTGCGTGTGGGTCTTGAAACGAAGGGAGTAGTCACCGAAAGGGCGTGAAGTACGACATAACTCGGTTCCGAGAATGAAGTGACGCATACCATTTAAAACCCACGGCAGTGCCGACATAACAGGTCTTACCCTGAGTTTTAGTACCAGGAAGAACAAGAGTGATACTATGTAGCATAACAATGATATACAACTTGCCTGTCCTCATTACAGACAGCGACGAGACGGAGGGCCCAAGAGTCTTCGGATCCTGCTGCCGAAACAATAGCATTACCAGAAACAACGTAATATTACATATATTTACAAAGATCGGCGCGCTACTTTCCTGAACACCCTGACAAACCTCTCCCGGGATAACGAGACAGTAACTGACTCGTTGACTATTCCTGGCGATAGATTCGTTAATTACATTTTGTAACTAGCGACATTCCTTACTCCTTACTCTTTATGGTAACCAGCCAGGATCATATTCCCCTCAATGTTGCACTCAAGACATCTCTGCCGGCAATTGCATACCGCGGCACGACGAATCCCATTAGCTTATGAACTCCATCGACCACCTACCAGCAACGCTTCGACAAACCATAATGATACTACAACCAGGCCAATTGTCTTCCTGCATGGGTTTCTAGGCTCAAAGCGTGAAAATAGACATGTTAGCAGGGAAGTATTTTCGCTTTTGTTCTGTCTAGGTGCGCCCTAACAATCTCAACAGAGTACTCGCTAAAGATCTCTCCCGGCCTGTTTATGCTCTGGTATGTACCTTCCTTCTCTGGGTGACCCTAATAGCGACGTACTTGGAGGAGCAATCTGAACATCTAGCCAGGATATGCGGAACCACGGCGAGTCCGGTCATCATCCAAAACACGACTATATGGAGATGGCACTGGATGTAAAATACTTCATTGAAAGACACCAGCTTCGATCGCCGACTGTCATTGGCCATTCCATGTATGCATCGACTGTACTCACTCAATGCTTACTGTTCCCGAACAAGATAGTATTGTGTCTAACACGTGGGTTCTCAGGGGCGCCAAAACAGCATTAACCCTATCTTTAGAATCTCCGACCCTAGTTAAGGACGTAGTGGCGATCGACAATTGCCCAATCCGCTTGCCATTGGAGTCAGACTTTGCTCGGTATCTGGAAGGATTGGCAAGATTGGGAGACGAACGGATCACAGACTATTCGCAAGCTGATAGGATCTTGACTCCATATGAAAAGGTAAGATGTTGTGCTTTATGATTGTATTGGTTCTGCAGCTTTCGACGATAGGGCTAAAAGAGAAATATGCAGTCTCCTGCCATACGGGCTTGGCTCATTAGCAATCTTCACAAGAAGCCAGATACACCTTTCCTCCAACTACGTGTGCCTGTCGAAACCTTGAGCACAGCCATAAGACCTCTTGGCGAATTTCCTTATCGTGTAGATGAGGGGAGCGAAGCCATTAGGCAATTCAATGGTCTTGTGCTCTTTCTGAGAGCTCTTCAGAGCAACTTTATCCCTGAATCAGCACTGCCGCTGATAAAAGCATTCTTTCCATCTTCCGAGCTCGTGGATATCGACTGCGGCCATTGGATCGTTCAGGAGAAGCCTGAGGAGTTTCGTAAAAGTGAGTCGCATATCCTTCGCTTTATATATTGTTGGTTAGAACTGACATACTTGCTCGGGCTATAGTCGTTGGTAGATTTCTCCTGGCGCAGGAGAATTAGGTTGGTTCGTCTCATATCTGTATCCAGGTGCTTCTTTCCGGTTGTTGTCATTCAACATACGAGTCTCCCTCATGCTGTTACGGTAAATAATTCATAGAACTATTACCTCGCATCTTTTATACTAGGTTGAATGGATGAACGAGCTGTATTTCTCGACATATCGTAATGTATATATATAGCTAAAGTACGCAGCCAAGGAGCTTTTACAGGATCCTTGGTTGAGAGGCTGAGCTAGCTGATAACTGCGACTATACTCTTGTGTTCTATATAGTTGATGACTGAGTGGGCTTCGGGACGGACTTTAGTTCAAAGTATTAGAAGTATGAATATACGGGGTCTAATGCGGTGCCCCTTTCACCATTATAAGAGATGCTCCTGGTTACACATGTTCTCAATACTTTGCAACCATACCAGTAGAGAGAGCCAACTAGAGCAATGGTATGGAACTGAGAACTGTGCAGTTGTAACAACCAAACAGGGCATGACTACTGACATCTGTAGTCCTCAATTCTAACATGAGAACTTCCGTAGTAGTCTTCCTGGTAACAGCAATGAATTCTTTAAGTGTCATCTCCCTTCCATTCATTAGCCCTTGATTGGCCGTGCCTTTTCTGCCATAATCGTACTTCTGGTGGACTAGGTAGATCTGGTACCCAGGGATTCCGAAAAGCTAAGCCGACCTAACCAGGTGCCCTTTGTATTCGACGTTAAGTGGCTAGAGCGGCCCGTCTGGTGAGAAATTAGCGTTGCCATGGATCGGCGGAAGGTGAAGAGTCCTCCACCGTCAGATTCCCATATATAGGGCCTCGCCCGACTCTACTTTGTACCAGAAAGTCTCTTGCTCCTCCCGCGCAACTTCATCCTCCTCTACCAGAAACAATTAATTATTCTTGTTCACACTCTCGACCACCCCTTAGGTCTACTAGTAAGTTGGGTATAGTCATCGATGTCAATAGCATCCCCCCAAGCGGCTGGTGGTTAAATGGCAACAAATCCTTATCATTGACATCCCACGGCATGACAGACAACACACCACTGACGCGGGAATTGTTCATAGATAACAACATGACGCTAGAAAATCAAGTCAATTCCAGACCTCGCTCGCGACAGGTCAGCAGAACGAGACGGTTCTTCGAGACAATGGCCATTACATCAGTGACCTCCTTGGTTGTCGGTACTTTAGAAGACGTCTTTCTTGCATCAGTGGATCCTCGCTCATGGCTTCATTTTATATTATATATCTCTTGTTACACGATGTTTAATTTCCTGTACGAGAAGGTTAGGTCTATGTAGATATATATGTATGTGAAAGTTTTAGAGGGTCTCCAGTACTCAATTATTAACGACACAGACAATCGCCTACGCATGATGCGCATGAGTCATGGAGTTGTGTTCATGTGTCCAGGGGCTTCCGATGAGGGGCTTTCGGAGTCCTAAATCTTGTTTACCCCAGACGTCCAACATTGGCTTGGAGGAGTTGATCAGAACGGGCTGACCAAACGTGATGTCTCGGATGTCTGGCCCCGATGTTACATTTGGATTGATCTGCATTCTAGGGCGACGCTATATCGGCACCATCTCCACATGTCAGACCTCCATACCTTCGTTCATTGGACTGTTGATTCGCCGGTGCAATCCGAAATCCTTGATATAAGAAAAAATCGCGCAATATAGTGCGGTTTGGTGTCCCTTCAGAAGTATCACTCTGAATCGTAAATTCTGTATCATATCATCTGCAGATACTATCTGCCATCCCTAGCCACGATGAAGGTATCTCATGGAACCAAATCTGCATACGCTACTCATTCGTTTCTTCTGCTGGTAGGGTAGCAAAGGGATGTCTCTGTGCTCTTTAACCGAGGCTCTCAACTAATGAACTTGGCTTTCCGGACCTGCATAGTGCTTCTCGGAGTAGGGTTTCCTGCATTTCCATTAAGGTGCCGGTGTTACGGTCGAAACAGGGCATGTCTTCCTAGGATACTGTTTCCCGCTGAAAACATTGACGAATCCACTGATGGTCGTTTTACCCCATCCCTATGGCCGTCGTCAACTTCCTAACCTGCAAGCCAAGCTAACTACGGCATGTGGTATAGTACCTTGTCACTCGATAGTTCATCGTTCACCGTAGATGATGAAGAGCTGCGAGATTCTATTATTGCTGCTGCAGCGAGAATGAATTCTTCCTTGGTCATTCTCCCGTTGTCCATGAGAGCTTTGTTCTCTTCGATCTGCTCCAGGTCTTCATCATACTTATCTAATTCTCCCACCTTTCGCGATGCGAATGCCTCCATTTCTCCTGCACAGTCAAATTCTTTCTCTCGCTTTGCCCAGCCATCGGCCCCAAAATGCTGTCGAAGCTTCGTAAAAGGAAAACTGCGGTGGTCGTTGAAGCTGGAGGAAAGGAGTAAGTGGAGCCACATGGCTCTAGATTCTTGCGACCACTTGACGAGGCTCGAAAGCTCTTTCTCTTCGTGGCCTGGAGATCTTGCCTCTTCTTCCTCTAAGATCTGTGTGAACTTATCTAGATACTCGAAGTACCTTGCAGCGATCTCGGGTGGCTCTTCGCCATTGTAGTCCCAGGCGCTATTTACAGGTCTATCCTGCAGAAGCCACCAGGGTGCCGAGCCGAACAGCTGCGCGGGTCCTATATAGGTCCACTCGAGGTCTATCACTCCAACAACAGTGAGATCATCCTTACTGTGGACAATCAGATTGGCAAGGCCGAAATCGTCGCATATCAACTTGAAATTGCCATGGTTATATTTTGGATGGACCAAGTCTGGCACAAAGGATCTTAGTGCCTTGAGAGCCACATACTTGTTTTGAGCATCGTATTCGCCGCAGACTGAATTTGGTTGGTGTACAAGCTGTTCCCAGTCCTGACCGACAACATACTGGAAGTATTCTGTTGTCGTCGCAAACCCCTTGGTTCGGTCACCTGGGAGCCATAGATTAGTCAAACTGGCATGAACTCACTGGAACAATGTGTATGCACCGAAAGTGTTCACTCCTCCATTCTGTAAGATACTGTGTGCCTTGAATGTTAGCGGGCGTGGCAGTGAAGTAGAGCAATGAGCTTGCTTCAGTGGCGGCGGAGGAAGACTGCCGATCTGGTCAAAATCGACTTTGAAAAGCTGAAGCATGATTCCCGCCATCTGTCTATAGATTGTTTCAACATCATGGCCGCTGATGTCCTCCCTCATAAGTCGGCTGGGGCGCTCGGCATTAGGATCCCGGAGGAGATCACTAAGGCTCACGCCGTCAATAAAACCATTATAATAAACGGACCGAGACCAAGTGGGTTGCTAGCAGCCGGGCCCCACGCGCGGACTCTCGGGACGGGGATGGCAGTCTTCTCACGGATGAGGCCCAGAGCCGCCACCTCCATCGCCACTTTCTCATCGGTGTAGTCGTCGCAGGTTTTCCCCACGCGAGGGAAACGTACCATCCAGACAGTGTTGTCACTGAACACCATTTTCAGGCCGGCATTAAATGCGCCATGGTGGAATGCACCCTCGAGTTTACAAGAAAGTTTGTCAGGATGGAATGTAGATACCCACGGACAGAGACGGCCCAATCTGTGGGTCTCGTTCATCTTATCGACCCAGAGCTGTCCTTGCACTTCATGGATAAGCTCGACAAGTGCATTCGTGTCCATTACACGAGTGTGGGCTTCAATGGAAGAGTGAGAGATACGAGTATGGTGAGGAAGCCGATCGAGAGGCGCGAGGTGGACAAAGTAAGGGGGACTTTGGTCCGTTTCGTGGTCGGGCAGCACGAGGTTCTGTGCCTCAGGCGTCTCCGAGGCAGCTTCTCCATCCAACGCATATACTAATACTACTCGGCAAAGTGCTACAATTACCGAATACTCCACTCAATCTTCAAAATGAATCCGATTGAGGAAAGGCACACTCGCTTCTTCAAATTGGCCTGGTCATAGATTCCAGAAGACCTAGGTTCTAGTCGATTACTAATTACATCTACAACTGAATAGAGATAGAATCATATAGCTCAACATAGCTTACTCCATAGTATATTACTGAGCGCTTTTCCGAGAGAGCACTTGACCCGAAACTAGAGAGAGTAACATTTAAACCGAAGCATTGTTGTATGTGCAACTGCAGGCAATTTTGAGCAGGACAGATCACAATTAAGAATTGACCATTGCTTACTTGCTTCCCCACAAAAGGTTGGCCATAACAGTTCCCGCAGGTGAAAGACAAGGTCCAAGCGTCAAGCACAACATAGTTTAGGTGCACAAGATGGCATTCGGTCATCTTCACCTGTTGTTATGCTCTGCCACTACAAGCATACGTGACCCTAGTGTTGAAGCTCAAGTACGGAGTACTTAGCACGAGGGATTTAGCTTCAAGATGGAATATCTTCATACTCAAAAGATGGGGGGTAAGCTACTTCATACTCATACTATAAGTCTATTTTGAATATAATAGTGACACTACTGGATAGTAATGTCCTTCAAACCATAACGCTCACCGGTTGTGGATAGTCTCATCATGTTTAGCCCGTCCTGGCTGTGTACTGCGGCTTGTGTATATATTACGAGCCTGAGGTTGAACAATGACTCGGAGTTAAGACTCGCAATTGAAACTGTACCTTGCCTTGCCGATGATAGATATAACTTATGTTTGAGTGATGCTCAACTATGGATCCTGAAAGGCGAACAGCCCAAGCCACCTTCTAAACCCTTACCCGACCCAAGTTTCCATGGTCCACCGTTCGGTATTCTGAGGCAGGCTCACCTCAGCACTCTCGGCGTAGGTTGCTTTTTTTAGAGGATATATCCGACAAACCCGACCGGCAGAATAATATCCGACAGATACTCCGAGGAACGGAATGGAAAATTTCAGAATAAGATTTATTTTGAGATACAATAATATGATGATTTAAGGTCTTACATTTCTCACTCACCACTTTATATCTGTAGAATTAAATACGGAATAAATAATATTAGTGCTTATAAACGGTTTATCTTATTACAAGTTTCCAGATAACAGACAAGACGGGAGTCATCATGGATAGTACTACCTAACTCCTCGCTTCTAGGCAACCGCATTCGGTAAGGCTGATTTGATTGATTTGACTTGCAAACCAGATCCACACTCTGCCGAACACCAAGCCTTTTTCACTTCCCGGTTGCCACTGCCACTGCCCAGTCGGAATTGCTATCGGAGATGCTTTCTCGATAACAAACTCCCTCTCACATGCGCTGCTGCTGTCCTACCCCCGAGCTTTTGTGCCCATCTGTCTAGATACTTTACCACCATTGGCTCCCCATCCCCCCCTAAGCCCCCTCGCAGCAAGTAGCAGCATTCCTTAACAGCACTTTTAACCGCCGTGTGTGTGTGACTCGTCATCCACCCTACCACTCAACTCACTGGGCTAACTAACCCCAAAACCCACCGCTAGTCGCCGCCTCTGTTGGCTGACGCGGCCCCTTACTGCGGGACTCTCTATATTATCGCTCCTAGCTATCTACCTATCTACGTAGTTTATCCTGATTCAGCCCCATCACCGGTGCCTAATATTATCTTGCGATGGCCCCATGAGTATTAAATCTGCCCGCACCCCCTGATAAGATAAATTTTTTTGTTTTGGCTTCTTGGCTCCGGTTCCGCTTCCCCATCATCAGCAAACACCAAACACCTACCTTTGTATACAACATGGGTGTTAAACCCTTCCTGCTATCGTCCCTTCTATGGGCCGCTAGCACCACCACCGCCACAGCAGCATCGCCATCAACAACGCAAAATGCCAACCACATCTTCAACTCCATCCACTCCTCCATGCGACAATGGGGCTCCTCCCTCCAACACAACGGCATGTCATTATTCCTTGCCTCCGTTCCCGCCGGCACGCAGTTCTACCACGGTACCTCGATCCCCGACCCCATCAACGGCACGGAGTGGCTTGCCTTCGAGCCGGAACATGCAATGGTGTTCGCGAGGGCGCACATGGGACCCCGTCCGGGTGGAGACGACGATGATAAGAAGAGGAAGGAGTTGAGGAAGCGCGATGAAGAAACAGAGGAAGAGAAAAGTTCGGGCTGGTTACATACCTATGTCGCTGCTAAGGATCTGCGACTGCTTTACGCCGATGGCATGTCAGCTGGAAAGACACGTAACGGGACGCTTGACTTCGAGGATCGGGTCCTGTTCCGGGATGAAGTAGGCGAAAAAGAGATGATGGGGGATCGCGAACGGGCGAACATGTTCTGTCGCATGGCGAAAGAGGAATGGGATGATCGGGTGGATGGCTTGTTGCGCATGGAGGCTGGGTTTGAGATCATCCTGTGTGATTTTGCTAGGGATTTGAAGGAGGTCAGGGTGACGCAGACGAAGCCGAGTTTCTCGTTTGGGGGACCCGGCGGCGGTGGAAATGATGACAAGAAGAAGAAGGGGGGTCCTGGAACCAATGGAGGTGGAGCATTGTGGTTCAAAGCGATTGCTGCGCGGTATGATGGCATTGGGGGTAACCGGGTGACGCTGAACTATGACAACTTCGTGTCGGCGTATACGTATGGGCTGGACCTGTTCCATTCGGTCAATGAGACTTTCACGCTGCCCCGGTTGACGCAGTTTACGTCGCAGCAGCTGGTCCCTATCAGGGAAGCGCTAAATGAGCTGGTGCTGCAACATGAGGCCAAGGAGGCTACCTTCAACTGGCAGACTGTCACGGATATGGTGGTGGAGCGGTACGCGCATGACATCCGCTACTTTGCATCGGGCCAGCTGTCGACGGTGGAGGAGATCCACACGAAGATAGAGAAGGTGCTGGGTCCGTTTGTTGACTACGGGGATCGCGATGGAGAAGAAGAGGCTGAGCGCTGCTCCATGCAGTTCATTCCAGGCGGGGCGTTCGATGGTGATGGCGATGCTGGGGTGGCGGCGACGGCCGTGCATGCAGTCACTCGCAGGATATGTGAGACGATGGTCCAGGGCTGGCAGGAGACGGACTACAACACGCTGATTGGGCTTTTCCAGGATCTGATGGAGTACCTGGCCTGGACGACGTGGAAGCAATGCAGCGGATGCGCCGACCACGAGATCTGCGTGGTGCCCATCTGGCCGATGGGAACTGTAGAAGACTACAATCATCCGCAGTGTCACGATGCAACGAAGCCCGAAAGCGAAGGTCAGAGCTATTGGGGTGGCCGGCCTGGTGGCCCTGGAGGTCATCGTCCTCCGTCTTCTGATTCTTCGTCGTCGGCCGGATGGATTCCGAGCTTAGTCTCGTTCCTGCGATCATTCCTGGGAGTCGCTCTGGGATTGCATTTCTAATGTGGGACAAAGAGGGATAAGAATTTTCCACGCTTATTATTTTTGATTTTTTCATACCTTCATCTAATTTGAACTTGATTTGACATCTTACATATGAACTTGAATTTCGGGCAGAGGAAACTCCGCTCAGGGGTGCCCTGCAAAACCAACATTTGCCTTAGCAAATAGAAACTGCGTGTAAGAAGAAAAAGAAGCGGAACAGAAAAAGGGTCAAAAAAAAAAAAAAAAAAAAAAAGCAACGATGACCTACCGAACCTGGTTTTCGGAGGATCGGAATTTGACAATTAAGCTGCCCGAAGAACAGTAGAACGGAAGTTAATTCGTTGCTCGTGCGCGGTTGAAGCTGCTCGAGGCGCCACTTCGATAGTTTGCTGCACGCTTGCATTAAGCGCTTTGTCGATCCCTTTGGTCCAGACACAAACACTTCTGCCTTTCACTCTCGCCCTCTTGGCCACGTCCTGATTTTTTAGTACTTTGGGTAGTTAATCACAATTTGTACCTTGAATATGGCGACTGCTCTTTGGTCGGGTTTCAGCTGCGGCGTCCACTATACAGCCACAATGAAGGTAGTCTTATCAGCTGGAGGCGAAAAGACCGGGTTAGCCATGTCTTGTAGGCCAGGATAGGGTAGTATGTTCGCAGTAGTACTAGCTGTGTAGGACAGGCATCAACCCAACATCAACACCATCAACTGAGGTAATAATGCACAATGCTTCACTTTTTGCCTCCCTCCCCCCTCCCCTAAAACTTGTTTGCTACAACGATGCTAAACAACATAGTTTCTTGATGGTGCTCCTGCCACCGGCACTTACGAATGCAGCCCGATTGCATTGCGTGCACGACACGACTCGAGTCTAGCCTATCTAGCCAGGACGATCCAAAAATTAGGGTCCCACTATCAACTCGATGGGTCTGGCAGCCCCAGTGGATCCCCCTTCCTTGACATTCACGGATCACGTACAAGTGCCGTCCACACTTGTCGATCCTCCGGATCATACACTGTCAGGTACCACTGAGCTTGCAGCCGGTGAGCCACCAAAGACAATAATCTTGGATAATGCGAGCTTGGCACAAGGAACACGGGGGGGGTGGAGACGGGGCTTAATGGTGTAATCTGTAATCTCAGTTCGTGGGGAATGCGAGCGAAAAGGAGAAATCGCCTCACGTTGAGCCGTGAGTGTAGATACTGCTCATCCGCATATAAATATGCCCTACTGCTGCTCTCTCTCCATCCCTTCCTCTTCTCTCGCAGGTCAAGCAAGTCTCTCTTTAATCTTAATCCTAATCCCTCCGCCTTCTCCCCTTCACTCTTTCCTCTTTTGCTTCCCTCGCTTCACGATTACCGCTCCTTTTGTCGCCGTTTAGTTCCATTCCTTCGCTTGTGTTTCTTCAATATGAAGGCTTCGATCCTAACGGCCCTCACTTTGGCCGCTTGCTCCTTCGCGAGCCCCGTCGGCCAGCTTCATGCTCGCGATGGCGAATGTACCTGCCAGCCTAATGGCGGTTCGAGCTCTGGCTCTGGCTCTGGCTCTGGACCTTACCCCGGCTCCGGCTCCGGCTCTGCTCCAGGATCGGGTTCTTACCCCGGCTCTGGCTCTGGCTCTGCCCCCGGTGCTGGCTCCTATCCTGGCTCGGGATCGGGATCTGGCTCAGGTCCAGCTCCTGGCTCTGGCGCTGGCTCCTACCCTGGCTCTGGCTCTGGAGCTGCTCCCAGTACTGGCTCCGGTTCCTACCCTGGCTCGGGATCCGGCTCTGCTCCTGGATCTGGGTCTTACCCCGGCTCCAGTTCTGGTTCTTACCCCGGCTCTGGCGCTGCTCCTAGCTCTGGTGCTGGCCCTGCTCCTGGGACTGGCTCCGGATCCGCACCCGGCACCGGTTCAGGCTCCTATCCCGGTTCAGGCTCAGGCTCTTACCCTGGCTCTGGCTCTAGCTCGGGATCTCAGCCCTCCGAGGTGTCGACCTACCCTGCTTCCCAGGTTCCAACGCTGCCTGGCTACCAGCCCCAGCCTACGATTACATTGACAACGACCGTTCCAGTCACTGCCTCCCCCGGCTCCCCGGAGTGTACTACAACTGCTCCTGCTGCTACCGCTGGTCAGCCGACTGGCCAACCCGCTGGCCCCGGTGCTCCTACCGGCCCTGCTGGCCAATCCCCTAGCCCTGCCGCTCCAGCTGGTCCTACCGGTCCTGCTGGACAACCTACTGGACCTTCTACACCTGCTGCCCAACCCTCTGGCCCTTCTGGACCGGCCAACTCTGGCTACCCTGGCAGCCCTAGCCCCTCATCTCCTTGGGGTACTCCCAGCTCTTCGGTCCCCGCTGGATCTCCCTCGCAGACTGCCAGCTGTGAAAACGGCCACTGCCACGGTACCGGCCACCTCCTCCAGGATCTGGGCGTTCAGGCTGATCACCTTCTGACCGTTGTTGGTGATGGCACCGAACAACTGCTTGTCCAGCTCAGCCAGCCCGTTGCGGACCTTCTTTCCAGCCTCGGCCTGACCGGCCTTGCTAAGCCCGTGGGCAAGATCATCAAGGACGCCGGCAGCATTGGCGAGCTGGTTAAGGATCTGGGTGCCCCCGTCGAGCAGCTTCTGGTCGTCACCGGCAAGGACACTGGCTACCTCTTGATTCAACTGGACCAGGACGTTAAGGGCCTCTTCGACAGCATTGGCCTGAACGCATTGGGCGAGCCCGTTGGTGACCTGCTGGGTGCCGTCGGCAGCAGCCTGAAGCGTCGTCAGAACTGGGACTACAACCCTTACGCCAAAAACTCTAACGGGCTCGTTGAGAAACTGGCACCGGTGATTGACTGCATCTTGGTGGTTACCGGCGAGGACGCCAAGGACCTTATCATCAAGCTCAGCAAGCCCGTGGCCGAGGTGTTTAAGGCACTGGGATTGACTGGCCTTGGCGACAGCGTAGGTCAGGTCGTTAAGACGCTCGGCAAAGATGCGGGTGACTTGGTTTCGGATTTGGGTCAGCCCACCGAAAAGTTGCTCACTGTGGTTGGCGATGGTGGCAGCAAGCTGGTGATCCAGTTGGCTCCCGATGTTGCAGACTTGGTTGGGGACCTGGGACTCCCCAAGGTTGGTGAGGCAGTGGGTGAGGTCCTTGGAGCAGTGGGTAACAACGTGTAAGAAGTCTCGACTATTCTTTCTTTTTCTATTTTTCCTTGGTCCTATGAACGGGTGATGGAATTGCATTGCATTGCATTTATTTGGATGCGATGGTGTTGAGGCTACTTACTAGTACCATATACTTTACAAGATGTAATTAGTGTAATTGATAATGATACCTAATCAAGAATATTTTGAATTGACTTCAATACTACAACTACTACTACTATTCAATATTACCTCCCACATTACTATCCATCCACACATCATAGTACATTTCCCCAAATTCTCTTATCCCCCATCCATTCATCCGCCGATTCCACTCCGAAGCAACCCTATTTTTCCCCTCTATTCAAAGGCGTACGTAAGCCGCATTCCACAGCCTCTCATTGCCTTTGCCTTGCCCCGGATGTAAATTGATTCGCCCCACGGGGTCTGACTGCCGATGTGGAGAAGCGAGCCGCCAGACTTGGCAAAGGCAAACCGTCATCCAACTGGAGAGTACTTGACATAATGTGTGAGTGAGTGAGTGGTGTGTGTGTGAGAGACTTTCCGGGGGGGAAGCACAGAGTTTCGCCTCCCGCTTCGTTCCCTCCAGCAATGAAATCATGGATTATTGTGGGACGTGGGGAGGCCATTCCCCCCAGCGGGTAAGATTATTCCCGCCGTGCCATTTCCGATTGCCGGTCAGAGTTCTCTATTTAATCCTCCAGTTCTCTCTACTTTTTCTTGCTCTGTTCAGCTTCAAAGTTCTTTCATTTTGTTTCTCATAGACACATCTCCACTCTGATTCTCCTTTCTTTACATACCATACTATCATCATGGCGCAAACTCCGCAAGACCTTAAGATTGCCATTCTGGGTGCAGGTATGTACATCCTTTTTTTTTCTGCCGCCTTATAATAGGCTTTAGTATAGGAAGTATGACAAGATACTAATAGTAGTGTTGTTCTATAGGCATGGGTGGCCTGACCTGCGCCTTGGCCCTGGCTAAGGAAGGCTTCAAGCACATCGACGTTTATGAGAATGCACACGATCTGGGCTTCGTTGGAGCTGGTATCCAACTGGCCCCGAACATGGCCCGCGTGCTGGACCGCCTGGGCGTCTGGAAGCCCATTGAGGCCGAGGCTGTTAACATTACTTCCACTAGCGTTAGAGGTATGTGTTGCATTCCCTCCCAAGAATGGAATATCTACAGTCCTTTCTGTGTGAAACATCGAGCTCAACGCTAATAAAACCGAACAGTCGGTGCCTCGGACTCCGAGTTGGCCCACGTCCCACTGGAATACATCCACGACACCTACGGATATCCCCACATGGTTGGCCACCGGTCTTCCCTCGCCGGTCACCTGTACCAAGGTTGCCTGCAGCACCCGGACCAGATCCGCTTCCACTTTGCCACTACCGCCAGCGACACCACCTTCGGTCCCAAGTCCTCCTTCACCGCTACCCCCCGCGACCACCCCGAGCAGGCCTACCGCGTTGAGGCCGATGTCCTCCTCGCCTGTGATGGCATCAAGTCCCAGTCCCGCGTGGCCATGCTCGACCTCCTCGGCATCAAGGCCAGCGTCAAGGACACCCACCAGGCCGCCTACCGTATCATGATCCACAAGGACCAGATCAAGGACGACCCCGAGCTCCTGGAGCTCATGAACGGCAACCGCGTGACTCGCTGGATCGGCGAGAAGCGTCATATCATTGCCTACCCCGTCTCTAACAACACCATCTACAACCTCTCCACCACCCAACCTGACACTCACTTCGCCGCCGCCACCAATGCCACCTACACCACCCGCGGTGACAAGTCCGTCATGCTGGGTGTCTTCGGCGACTTCTGCCCCATGGTCCAGCGTATGCTGAACTACGTCCCCGAGGGTGAGGTCTGCGAGTGGAAGCTGCGTGTCCACGAGCCCCTCCCTACCTGGGTGCACGAGACCGTCGCCCTTGTCGGCGATGCCTGCCACCCTACCCTGCCCCATCTCGCACAGGGTGCCGCCCAGGCCATCGAGGACGGTGGTGTCATCGGTGCTGTCCTCTCCAAGCTCCCCGATACTACCCCGGCTTCCATCCACAAGGCCCTCAAGGTCTACGAGAAGGTGCGCAAGGACCGTGCTTATGCTATCGTCGAGCTGGCTGCCGCTTCCGGCCGTGCTCTTCACTTGGGTGAAGGTGCCGCCAAGGAGGAGCGTGATCGCCAGTTCGCTGCTCTCCGCCAGGGTAAGGGCCCTGTGCCCGACAAGTGGGCGGATGCCGATGTGCAGAAGGAGCTGTATGGCGTTGATGCGACTAAAATCGCGCTGGAGCAGTTCGACGAGCTCTTTGCCTCTGTGTAAGCTTTGGCCTTATACCTTTTTCCCTATATCTTTTCTTTTTTCTTATCGCCTTCACGATTGAACCCGATGTATATTGTATATAGAGCTGATTGGTTGTATTGATGATTGAAGGTCGGGTCGTGAGGCGAAGTTGGCTTGATCGATTGATTGATTGGCCGGAATTAGTGTTCTTTTATCTAGCATTGCAGCCCCTTGCATATACAATGATGATGTTATGATTTGACTGTTATACTATATTTCCTTGTTCGTAGTATACTATCCCTATTCATGCATGTATTCATTGGATGAATGTATACACCCGTAGTTGTACAAAGACGGAAGTGGCTGGCTGCAGAGTTAGTCTGGTTTGTTTGTTAGTCATGGGTTGGATTTTACCCCGGATTTTCAGCCCCTCCTTTTGGTTTGATTTTCAAACCAAAATTAGATCAAACCCGAGGGGTTGGACCCCTTGGTCCTTGCACACTGGCCAGGCAACAATAATTAGATATATTTACCCCTCGAGTTCGTGTGGGATCTACGATAATGCCACCGCTGCATTGTACCCACGAGTCATTATCTGGGGTATACATTCCTCCCCTTCTCCACCACTGTGGGGATGCTTATTTCGCGAAAGGATTCTATGTCAGTGAGCATTGGGCATAAGTAATCATGAGATGCCTTATGCATAGAATTTAGAGCGCAAACTTTAGTACCTGACAATATCTGAATCGGGGTTTGAATCAAACCCGCGGGATTAGCTAGGGTCCATTTCTGCCTTGATTGATAGGTCCAAAGATTAGGTACCGGACAAAAGGGTCTCGACCCAAATTTCAAGGAGTAAAAAATTCTACGCTAGTGACGTTATCGCAAATTAGTGGTTTTACTTAGATCAAGATATATCCCCGCGGAGCAAAGTCTGTTGTAATGAAATCAATGTAGTTGTGACATAGCAAGCTTGTGTACAAGCCTCGGCGGCAGACGTATCCTGGGCTATAAGCTATGGTTAAACTTCTTATCAGATGTTGCTGACAGTGGCAAATCGAAGAATCCAGAACAATTCGAATTGAAAATAACTGCAAATCCATTGCTCGGGGAGACTTCCGGCTTGGCGCGCCGAGCTGAATCAGCCAGTGACGGAGTGGCTATTGCCGCATTGGGCAACTAGCAGGGCTCCTAGTCGCCTTCTTCCTTGCTGCGGCGTTTCTGTTTCTGTTTTCTCTTTCTCTCTTCTTCTGTCTGCTCGTCGCCTGCTCGTTCTCCCTCTCCAACCAGCTCAGTTGGATATGCAGGGTTCTTCTGATGCCAGCAGCGCGTCTGACGACCTCTCACCATCCCAGCCTACTCTCGATTCCGCCCCGTCCGCCAACCGCAACTTGAAGATTGCCATCCCTCGGCTGGCGCCGCCTTCCGTAAAGGCCAACCAGCAACGGACGCCACGCGCCTGTGTCGCCTGTCGCGCCAGAAAGACCAAATGTGATGGTCGTCAACCTGTTTGTCGCCAATGTCGTCGTCTGGATCTCGTCTGCAATTATGCCGGTTCTAAGCGCGAGCGACAACAATTGGAGCTCGAATCCGTTCGCAACAAGGTCGTCGCCTACGAATCGCTTCTCAGCGACATCATAACCGACACGCAGCGGACGGGGGCTTCTTCCATTGAGGACATTCTTAATGTGCGTAGTGCTTGCGATGTTGCCACTTCGCCTCTCCAGAGTACTCAAAGCATTGCCATACTGACCGGTTGCCACCTCCCCGCAGAGACACTTCCAAGCATCTCCAGATGTCTTTGCGGCGCTGCTAGCTGCCAGATCCATATCGGATCCTCAACTCTCACCGCGGCCAAAACCGGGGATTTCTTTAAACCGCATGCACATAACTTTGGCCACTAAACCAAACAGCACTCTTCATCCTCTCACTGAGACCCCTCTAGTACAGGTCAGCAACATCCAATCCTGGACCGACCTTGTCGATAACACCACAGCCAGCCACCTTCTCAGCCTCTTCTTTGCCTGGGAGAATCCAACATGGCGTTTAGTCGACCAGGAGATGTTCATCCGCGACCTGGAGAGCGGGAGTAAGCGGTTTTGCTCGTCGCTGCTCGTCCACACGCTCTTATTTTTCGGCTGTGTAAACGCCACTGCAGTCTGATGTCGAGTACTGAACGTCAACCACTAACGTTTCTCGATAGAGCTCTTCCTACCATTTGGGGCGCATCACTGATCGGCGGGAGGAGAAGGCTCTGGGCAAGAAGTTGTACTCTGCCCTGCAACATCTGTGGCAGTCAGAAAAGGATGATGCTAGCCTTCCCACGGCGCAGTCCAGCATCATGATCGGCCTGCTCTGTTGCACCTTTGGCATTGACCGCTTGGGGACCCGCTACATCATGCATGGCGCCCGGCTTAGTCGGCAGCTGGGGCTTCATCGCGAGTCGGCCCCTTACTTTGCTACTGATGTAGAGGCCGAGGTCGACTCGTTATCCCGGTGTCATAAGTTCGTTGCTTGTGGCGTTTTCGATGTGCAGGCGTAAGTAGCGACCCTCCATGTACGCTCGGGCCCTGACTGATGAGACACAACAGACTCGCGGCACAAGTTTACCGAAAGACACCGGTTTGGGATGAACCGCCTGCTGCGAGCTTCTCGCAGGAAGAGGCCGCGGTGTTGGATGAAGGCGGCGAAGAATGGAAGCCCTACCCTTTTCAGACCCCGGTCTTTCAGCCTTTCATTCACACGGCTTTGTGCTTCCGCAACAAACTGGTGGCGATTGTCAACGAGACTGCCAGGTTCGCGTTAAAGTTCCCGGACGTCAAGCTCACCCAAGACGATTGGGAGTACGGCCGTCAGACCTTTCAGAGACTACAGGAGTGGCGGGCAAGCTTACCATCCGTCCTTTTGCCAGATGAAAATCCTGCGCCGAATATTCTTACACTTCAGTGAGTTCGAGCATAGATTGTCGCTCGGTGCCTTACTAACGACCGACTGCAGCATGTACTATCAGGCGACGGTCGTGGCGTTGTGCCAAATCTTCAGTTTAAATGCCGACCCGAAAAGCAATCATCCTCAATATCCAGATTTCGACCCAGAATCGATCAAGTTACAGTCCCTGGATACACTTGGATCCCTCGTTCTCTTGTTCCAAGCATCCCACGGACTCAAATCTGTTCCCATCGTGATGCTACATTACTTCCTCGTGGGCGGCATGCATGCCATCTCTCAATTACGACCTATGGACTTCAAGTGGAGCTTTGTCCTAGAGGCTTGCGTGGTCGGGCTGTGGCACCTGAGCCTGGGATGGGGGCGCATGTGTACGGCATTTTTGCGGACGATTGAGCTTATCTTGGAAGCTACCAAACCGGACCCAACGCTGGTGCCGCCCAAGGTGACCGCTGTTCTGCGGCTTTTGAAGAGCAATCTTTGGACGGCGACCGATGTTACTTCTCTGTCCGCCGACTATGTGGTGCATCATGTGCCGGCTGCTGCAGGACACTCCGGGCCGCAGTTTCGGGCCGCAGGGCTAGAACAGCTGATCCGTTCTATGGACGATTTCGCCATCAGCTAATGGGCGGTGAGGACGGTATTCTGCCGTTTCCTGAATCATTCAAACGTTCTCCGTATACGATCGTCGGAACTAAACCGTATTTGGCAAGCTCTGCGACGCGTGTCTCCAATCAAGTTAGAGCCTACCTTAGGCCTGCTTCCGTCAACCTTCCGCTGGACATCAATCGGCGACAAACAGAGGCTGCCACCCCCGCTGTCTGACAACAACCCACACAGTCATCTGCGCCGATGCAAAGCAATCCCGCCGTCAGTGACAGTAGATCTGTATCCGTCGCTGGATGGTGCATCTGCGAGTATTGGGCAGTTGGACTAGCGCTATTCTATGACTAGTGATGGATAGGTATATGGTACATGTGTATACCTTGGTAGTAGATGCACCAAAAGTCCTTTCACTTCGATATGGTTATCTTTCGGGTCATATACCAGTTGATAATATGCTGCTTGATAATGAACACTCAATCTCATGCATATTGAAGCACATAGCTAGGATTCAATCATGTACCCTGACAATCTAAATCAAACCAGAACACCATTCAAACCTCTGATGCCCGTAACTCCTTTAAAGCAAATAACAACCCAACCATTAATCATCTCCCTCAAAACCATATACACTAAAATAATCACTCCCACTGCCCCCTCCCCAACGCCCCCAACCGATTCCTCGCATGTTTCTCCACCAACGCCTTCATATTCCCCTCTCTCCCTCCCCTCTCCTGCACTCTCAACTGCCTCTCCCGTTCCCTCTCCCTAGCAGCAGTATAATAATTCACCGCTCCACTCTTCCCCCCTCCCTTTCCAGAAGAAGAAACATTACCCGATTTACTCGTCGAAGACGATGATGAACCGGTACCCTTTGATGTCCTAGACGACATACTTCCAATCGAGGTAGAAGACCCCGTAGACGAAGCCGTAGTTCTCCGAACGAGTGGCGGGGGCCGCGCGAATCCAGAAAGTTCTGCCGCGCCGGAGCTGCCGGAGTGGAATGCCATTCTGTTTCCGCCGGGTGCTGGGACTGTGGCTCCGCTGGAATTAGTGGTGGTGGTGGAGGAGTTGGTGTTGGCTGAGTTGGAGGATGCTTGGCGGAGGAGAGCGAGGCGGTCGACGACGGGGCCGCGGGTGCGGCGCGGGTGTTGGCGTTGGGAAAGGGGGAGGGGTTGTTGTTGTTGTTGTTGTTGTTGGTCCTTTGGTTGGGGTTCTTGGGCGCCGTCTTGGGGTTGGGCTGTGGTGGAGAGGGGATCGTCGCCGTCTTCGTCTGTGTCGTTTTCCATATCCATGTCCATGTCCATATCATCCATGTCGATGGATGCGTCCTCGTGGAAGGAATCGTATTCGTGCGTTTCCGTGAGGAAGGATAGTGTTTCGCGGATCTCTGCTAATGTTGCGGGTTTCTTGGACATGGCGGAGACGGGTTTCGTGCGGCGGAGGTGTGGTGGGGGACGGGGTGGGAGGGATTGGGGGTCGGATGAGTCGTTCGTGTGGTCGAGGGGGCGTTTGCGGTTGTTGGTATTGTTATTGGTGGTGGTATGGTCGTTGGGTGTGGTGTTGTCTTGCGAGGATGGGTCGTCGGTTTGGGTGGATTCTTGTGGCTCGTCGAGGAAGTCGAATCCCACGTCGTCGTCATCGTCGTCGCGGTCTTCGACGGCGCGGAAGAATGCTGCTTTCTTGGGGTTTTCGGCGATTTCACCGATCTTCTCGTCTGCCAGGAGGGCTTTGCGCATGCGTGCGAACTCGCGCTGTTTCTCGCGCCGGCGGGCGAGGAGCTCGTCGTCTGAGTCGTCGAGGTCGAACTCGTCGTCGGCGTTGCGACGGCGGCGGAGAGCTCCTGTGGTGATGTCTTTGAGCAGTTTGGCGACTTGCTTTTCGTCGTTGGTGCGTTGGTGGAGACTGGTGCGTCATTGTTAGTTTCTAAATGGTATTATGGCTGGGTTTGGGAAAGCTTACGCATTCAGGGCTGCCAGCTGTTTCTCATCGACGGTCTCGCCGCTGTTGTCGTTGATCATTTGTCTGTCGTAGGCGTTCTCGGCTTCGTCGTCATCCTCGTCGCTGGCGCCTCCTAGACCGGCGTATTCATCGTCGGACTCTTCGGCTGCTTCTTCGACGATCTCCTTGGCTTTGCTCTTCTTGCGGTCGAAGGGCACGGCGGGCTTCTTGGTTGCCTTCTTCATTACGTCGAAGGCACTGGCGTCGATTTCAAAGTCGCCCTCGTTGTCGTTTTCTTCTTGCTCTTCGATCATGGAGAGGTCGGCTGTCCGTCCGCGCTTGAGCTGCTTCATTCTGCGGGCTGGGGCTGGCGATCCATCTTGGTTGTCGCGGTTGATGACAACGGTATCGATGGTCGACTGAGGAGTTCCGAGGAATCGTTTGTTAGGGTCGAAGGGCGAAAAGACGAATCCGGCATCCTGAGTAGGTTCTGGCATTTCGGAGAGCTGGGTCGATCGCGGAGCAGGAGACTCGGAGATTCGTGAATCAGACTGTGCGTAGCCTGCCAGCAGATCGACAGACCCCTTTCTTGGCTCTTGACTGTCTCTAATGATCGTCTGTGAGTCGGATGGTTCACGGTCTTCAACCATAAGATCCGGGTCAGGAGCAGAATAAGGAATCGTAGAACCAGTTTGCGCATTATCCTGGTGGCTGCCAGAGATTGTGCCGGCAAAGGCCTGCGTTAGACTCATCAGGTTGCTGGAGCTCTGTGTCGGAAGTTGTGGCCGCTCAACGGAACGTGTAGTAGGCGTAACGATGGATTTCGCAGGCGTCTTTGGATCGATCTCCTCATCTTCATCGTCTTCATCGTCGAGGACAACTCTTGTAGGCCGCTTTCGCCTCTGCGTTGGCGCATCATTCTCATCGACCGACATGGTTTCCGTCTGTTCATCTTCTGATTCATCGTCTTCGCCTGCTTCAAAATCGACAAGTCCGTCTTCACCGGCAGGCTTATCTTCTTCGTCCTCTTCCTCATCCTCATCCTCATCCTCCTCGGCTTCTTCCTCAGAACCAGAGTAGTCCCAGTCCTCGTCGTCTTCATCTCCACCCTTGGCCGCTTTCCGTTCTATCTTGGCGATATCTTCAGCCTCTTTCCGGGCCTTCTCTACGAGATTCTCGAGCTCATCCTCCATCGCGGCGCGTTCTTCCGCTGTCTCGATATGGATACCCTTAGCTTTCAGTTCCTCGATTCTCTGCTGCCTTTCCCTTGCAGCTTGTTGCTTCGCCTTCAACAGTACCGTGGCGGACAATTGGGCAGGGTGCATGGCGGATTTGCGTGTAGGAGAGGTGATGTGCGCCAGGGCTTTCAGCTTCATCAAAGACGCCGGTTCCTGAGCCTTTCTGGCGGGGACATTCTCGAACGCTGCAATACGTCGACACTTGGCGGGGGAGGTGACAATCTCGAGCTCACTGTCCGAGTCGTCCTTCTGTTGCCGGGCGACCTCCTCGCGCGTGAGACGCACGCGAACAGGTGGGCCCGTTAATTCCTTTCTCTCCTTCTTGGAAAGCGTCTTTCCCCGCTGTGTTGTATGCGCTTCATCAATTTCCATCCTCGCTACAACAGGTTGTTCAGCCTGCGGACGTGGATTCTCAAGTATATCCTCCAACGGACGGAACTCAGTCTCCGCCTCTTTGCCCAAACCCTCGCCGGCTTCCTTCTCGACCGGTCCAAGGACAGGCGAAGTACGCGGAGTCTCCTTTTCCTTCTGCGCCTCAGCATCAGACGAGTTCAACGAATCAGCAGTCGTGGACGAGTTCTCCCCCGGCGCCCCAGGCGCAGTCCGCTCATCAGACTTGACCGCATTAAATCGAGCGAAAAAGCTCTCTTTCGTAATCTTCTTCTTCGTCTGAGCCTGATGAGCCAACTGCATATTACGACTCATCCGTTGCGTCTCGCGATTCATCTCCTCCAGAGCCTTCTTGCTCGCCTTTCTCGCAGGACGCGACGCCTGCTGCGTCAACTTCCGTCCAGATCCATTTTCCCCCTCGCTTTCACTACCAGACAGAATTTCCGAGCTGAATTGTTCCTGTTGCTTGGCTCTCGCCGCTCTCTTCTCAGCCTCGGCCTTCTCCTTCTCCTCCCTCTCCTTGCGCTTCTGCGCAACTAACGCCAGGAACCGAGAATTAGCCTTCGGCTGCGCCTCTTCCTCATTACTCGACCCTGCTTGATCTCCATCCTCATCATCCTGACCCCTCCTAGGAGACGAGACAAACAAAGGCGACTCCGAGCGCGCCGGATGCCGCTCGTCCATCTCTACCTCCGGAACCATATCAGCAGTATTCCTCCCTCTCCTCCTCGGTCCAGCCGTAGGAAGATCATCCTCATCCTCATCCTCATCATCCATAACCACATCATCATCATCTTTCTTCTCCGTCCTCAACGTCTTCGAAACCCGTTCAAAGGCCGTCTGCCCCTCAGACTGATGCTGAGTCTGGCCCTGTAACCGCGCAGCCATGCGCCCCTTCGGCATGACAATATCCTCATCATCGTCCGAGTCGTCATCGTCCGAATCGGCTGGGTTCGTAGGCTGTGTGGAGATAGTGCTGTGTTTCAACGCATTACTGAGCGTAGTGGTAGATCGATCGGATTTCTGTTGTGCTTGTACATCATTTTCTGATTCGGAGTCGCTGTCAAAGGCTGCCATCATGGCTTTGATTTTTCGTCCGGGCGTGAGCATCATGTTGTCGTTGTTGGCGGCGTCGGGGGAGTTTGCGCGAGACGCGGTGCGCGTCGTGCGCGGTGTGGAGGGCGTGGATGACATTTTGTGATTGAGATTAGGGTATCTTTCGGGTTGGGTGTAGGTAGGTATTAGTTTGGTGTATTGGTAGAGGTCATGTCTATGGGTATTCTGGAATATGAATTCGAGGTCAATGGAGATGTGCACGGTGGTGTACACAGTGGGAGGAATGCAAGGGCGGAGAATCTACGGGGGTGGTAATTACTAGTCGGAATAGTTAGAATATAGTAAGTAATGGACGCGCCGCGCACGCGTTGCTATCACACGTGATCTGCCGATAAGCCGCGTTATCGGCCACAATCTACTCCGTACGGATTACTATGAACTATTGCGGAGGTATAGAAGCTGCGAAGAAAAGCGTAGATTTGTACAACTGGTGAAGCCAATTCATAAAGGTGCTTTATTCTTATCGTACAGCGCCCATATTATGTGTCTCGTTACGCCAATAAACACCGCCCCCTGGAATCCGACGCTGTCTCAAATGCTTCCCGAATAACAAAATCGTGCCATTTCCATCAGAAGCCGTCGGCAAGATCGTATATGCTGTATGTAGGATGCTAGTGGTGTGCTAGATGTGTCCAAATTTTTTTCCCTCATCCAAGATCAAATTTCAATGTCGAGCTCCAAATCCAAGGCCGCAATGTTTTCATCATCCATGTTCCGGTGCCGGATGGAGGCAACGCCACTTTTGCTGGTTTTCTTCTGGGATCCCGCCGGGGTACCGCTGGCCGGTGTGCTCGCTTTAGACGGTGTCTCCGAGGCAGTGTTCTCTTGGCTCGCGTTATTCTCAGTGGGGGTTCCGTTGCCATTGACGTCGTAATGAGTCCGCGCTTGGGTTCTAACGCGCATGAACGGGTTGTGGGCGGCTTCTCCACGAGCAACAGCTGCAGCCGCTTTACGGCTGGCCTTGCGCTCTTCTATCTGCGCCCGGCGCACATTCTCGATATTGAGCTTCTGGTTGCGTATGTTCAGCTCAGCAAGGCGTTCATGTTCCGAGGGCTTGTCCACGCGCGGCTTGGGATTGCTGCCAACTGCGAGCTTCGGTGTCGCCATGCTGGCCAACTCAGCCTCCAGCCGCTCCATTTCCGCATCATCGCCAGCTTCTCGAGCAAGCTTCAGCTGCTTCTCGATATCCACGCGCTTGAAGAACTTGTACTTCGTATCCAACGAGCCTTGCTTGCGTAGCTTCTCGTTCAACTCCTCGTTGGTGAACTTGTGGTTCAGCAACCGATTGATATCCGTGACTTTGTTGGCAACCATTGACTTTGTAGCCATCTTGCAGTCTTCGACGGCCATGGTTTGACGATACCGGTTGAACTCCGCCTACAGTGTATCAGTATATGCTAACACAGAGACGTGCCAAGTAGCTTACCTCTGTGAACGGAGAGTCGGAGCATGCAACAAAAGGAAACTCGCGCTCAGCCTTTCCATGTGCTAACACAGCATATTGATTCGTCACGAACGACCGGCCATTTTGGCCCTCCATCGCATAAGGCTTTCCCTCGGAAAATCCTGAACAAGTCAGCGACGAATAAACTAATGCGAACGTAAGAGGTTTTCCCTACTCTTAATCAAGCAAAGACGGTACTCGTTCTGACCGGTCTCACGGTTCGGCCCAATATTAACACGGGCATAGCAACCGGAGATAGCGTCATCAAACCCAGGATAGAAGCAGACCTGAGCAAAGTTACTCCGACCCACCCGAGTGCGTTGGATATCCCGCAATTCAGCAGGCGGGTCATCTTTCGGAGGCGACGGTGAGCGCTCCCTGTCATCCCATTCGACTTCACTCTCGCCTTCTGCGTCTTCGTCGGAGATCCGGTCATCGCGAGAACGGGCCTTCTCCTTGACCGGTTCACGACGGCGGAGCTCGTCACGCTTCCCCTTCTGCTCTCGTTGCCGCTTGTAGGCTTCAATAGCATCGGAGGTCTCTCCCACCTTACGGCCACCAAGCGTCATCTTCTGACGCGAACTCTTGCGGTTGCCCTCATCAAGATTTGCCACGCTGGCCTTTCGTTTGTTCTTTTTCGCTTTGCGGGCCTCCTCGCGCTCACGGGAAGCCAGAAGACGACGAAGAGCAAGATCTTGATTATGACGATCAACCTCCTGCGCACGCTCGGAGAGGAGCTGCTCTCGTTGAATCTCGGGCATCGCCATGATTTCCTCCTTGTCCTTAGCAGAGTAGTATAATTTCTCGTAAGGGAAGATAGGGCCTTCATCTTCAGCCTCAGGGGCTGAGCCTTCAGAATCCGATCCTGAAACCGATTCGGACATGCTAGCAGAGTCGAGCGATTCAGCAGCGGACCTAGAGAGAGTACTATATTAGCCGAGTCTGCAAGTCGCAGTGATGACCACAAAAAGCGGCATCGCAAACACGCGTGGCAAACAAAACATACAGTTCGCCATCCTCTTCATCCTCGTTTCTTCTCGACTTCCGGCCCCGTTTCACGGTCCTAGCAGTGCCTTTGCGACCCATAGCCGATGCGTCGGGAGACTGAGGGGATGATGATCGACTGCGAGATTGAACTCTCTCCTTGGCAGGGGGGGATGCTTCCTCATCGGAGGAGTCTCCCGCAAGAGCGAGAAGCTCGGCATCGAGGTCGTCAGCCATGGTGAATGATGGTAGAGGTTGCCTTGGAATTCAGGTCCTAGTAACACCAGTAACAAGGCAAGCGGCGCTAGACTGCTCAGGGAAGGAAGCCGCCAGCAGGAAAATGGATGGCTTCCAGGGTAACAGATGCCACCTGAACCGCAGTCGCGCCGAGTGAAAAGGAAGTTAGGTGGCCAGAGGGCGCTGACTCGGACGGGGTCGCTCTATAATAATAGTGGTGAACACCCTCACAGACTATTAATAGGGTCGCGTATCGAAATAATGAAACGGATGAGGCAGTGAGGCAGTGAATCCTATTGGGGGCGGTGTGGTGAAGGCGAAGGTGGTTAGTGAAGTGAAAGAGCAGAGCCGGGAAGTGAAAAGAAGCGATTGGAGCGATTCTCGACGCTCGTTCATGACGTTCCGGTCCAGGGATGGCGTGCCAAGGCGTGTAAGCGCGCGGCTGCGGCTTATCGATCGGGTTGGACCACCTCGGAACTCATGGCTGCTGCTGGCATTCCTCCGCGGCCTTAAACCTCGCCCTGAAGCTTGAACGGCCTTCCAATTGACCATTGGATCTTTTATCTTTGCCATGAAGGCCCTCAATTTGCTCCGAAGGGCTCCGCTGGCCCCTTCCCTTCGGCCAACACCTCCCGCCGTCCTCGACTTCCTCGCGCCTTCCACTTTACAAACCTGTCGTCAGTACAATTCTACAGCTACACGGCAGTCTGCAGCAAATACCTCCGTGTCACAGCAGACATCTGGATCATCGAAACCAAAATATGTTCTCAATCAGCAACAACGCGAGTTTCTCGACCGAGCCCTCCGCGTCAACCAAGCCGGCGAGCTAGCAGCCACCTTGATCTACACGGCGCAAACACCACAAGTCGTGCGCTCTCATCCTCACCTACGGCCGTTGATGAAACACATGTACGATCAGGAAGCGGGGCACTTTGACACGTTTAACCATCTCATTGCGAAACACCGAGTACGACCGACGGCCATGTATCCGGTATGGGAGGTCGCAGCAACGTTCCTGGGCTGGTCTACCGGAATGATGGGACGTGAGGCAGCAATGGCCTGTACGGAAGCTGTAGAAACCGAGATTGGGTCTCACTATAATGATCAAGTGCGGGAGATTCTATCCTGGAAGGCGGAGGCTGAAAGTCGGGGAGAAGAGTTGGATGAAGAATTGGAGGAAATGCTGGCAACTTTCCGGCGAATTCGCGATGAGGAGCTGGAGCATTTGGACCATGCTGTCGAAAATGACGCGAAGGAAGCCCGTCCGTACGATCCGCTGGTCAATGTCATCCGCTACGGATGCAAAGCTGCCATCAAAATCAGCGAACGGGTGTGAGCACACTATGGAAGCAAAAGGGTCAAATTTTGATTTTGTAAATGTACGATAAAAGCTGTACTATTATTATCTTGGTTTGTCACACTTATATAACCTCATGTAAAGGCCTGACTATTCGCTCAGCGAGTCTATAACTGGGTATCTACAACCAAACGCGCCCGAATGATTCTATCCAACGGCGCACTCTATGAAAGCCAAGCTCTCTATAACCCTATCAACTTAGTTCTCCGACTCCGAGCCCTGGTTCTTTTCCAAGTATTCCAGGAAGCTCTTCGAGAAACGCGTCACCTGCTGGTAGACCTCCTCGAAGCCGTTGACCCCACCATAGTAGGGATCCTGAACAACCTCACCTCCACCGACGCGCTCGTGCAAGACACCACCAGTACCAAAGTCACCAAACAGACGGACCTCCGCAACCTTGGCGCCTGCTTCCCCGCTCGCGGCAAGGGATGCCGCAGTCGCTGCCCGGGTACCCTTGGTGCCACGCGATGCAGGGCCAGACTTGTTCATAGATGCCAGAACCGACTCGCGAACATCCAACAGATCGCGCAGGTTATACTTGTCCATCGCGAGGAGGTAGTCAAAGTCGAGGAAGTCCTGCTTGGTGACTTTGCGGGCGGCATGGTTGTAGTTACGAATGTTGTGGCGACGGAGCGTGGACATGGTGCGAGAATCAGGATCTTCGCCGGCGTGGTAGGCACCTGTACCGGCAGAATCGATTTCATTGATTAGAGGATGGGAGGCTGCGACGTTGCGGAAAACTCCTTCTGCCATGGGGGAACGGCCTGGGTGGTTGAGTTAGCTTGCGGTGCGGTTTCACGATAATGCGGGGAGACCAGGACGTACAGATGTTGCCGAGACAGACGAAGAGGACATTGACTTGCCGGCCAGCGGGGGTGGAGTCGGTGACGGTCATTGTGATTATAGGCTTTTAAAGTGTCTATTGAGAAATCTATGGCTTGAATGAATGATGAATGAGTGTGGAGTGATTGTAAAGAAAGTTTGATTGAGTAGTGGTGATTGATTATTGATGGTGGCGGGGATTCCGCGCAGAATCTTTATCGATAGCGGAGGGCGGTAGTCCGTGCCTGATTCCTGAGGCGACGGCGCATTGTGATTATGTTGCGACACATTCCTCCCACATCCAGTTTGGCTCTGGCTTTACTCTGTCCTGGTGCATATTTGTCTGCATATGCAGTCTAATGCGCGCTAAAATATAGAAAGACGTGTCGTGAATGAACTACAAAAGTTTAGTAGAGACGAGCTAGCACAGCAGCTACAAATGGATGAAAAAGAAAAAAAAAAAAAAAAAAGGCGCCGGATCGGGGTATGTTAAAGTCACATGCTATCGATTTTCCGGGGTGCTAAAAGTATATTGAGTTGAATTGATTGTTCATCACAGAGACCTAACTGTGCTAGTTTGTTTGCAAACGCGCAGATATCGTACTTTATCTCTTTCTGCCTAAGAATATTAGCGCACCGGTTATCTACTATTGATTACACAATAGTACGAAGCACTGAAACATTTAGGCAGCATCTACATGGTGATCAAGCATTGCGATGTTTCCGCGTATTTGTGCCGTCGAAGGCAAATAACATGCCTTGTCAATCCACCATAATCACACAGTGCTCTTAATATCCACACTATAGTCTAACCAGACTATTCTTAGTCCGATGAATTTAAGGTGAGACCATCCGCCAACTATGACGTCGCGCAGGGGCTGTATGATCCGAGATGCAACCAGGCAGCTGCTTTTTTTTTTTCCACCCCATCAGAGACAGCCAAACTGACTGTAGGATATAAAAAGAACATGAACCATAAGTGCGACCATTGAACCCTGTTGTCTAAAGTGTTCAACGCACACAACTGTCGGACACCGCCACGCAGCCCGTGGCTGTGACACTTGAGGGCCGATCAGCTGTTGGCCCAGTGATAAAAGTGGAGATCCGATGAGCCATGGAGCCAAAACTCAGTATCCATGGGTGTTTGGGCGGATTGTTTCAGGGGAAAGGACAATCGGACAATTGTGTTGTGAGGTTCTAGTGGGACTCAGGTACTCTATGAAAGTTGATAGCATGTAGTCCATCAATCCATAGCATGATATCTAGAATTATTATTATACGATAGATAGCAAAGCCGCAGAGTGCCTCGTGGGTGCCTGTAGAAAAGGCGAGTGGAGACTCACATTCTTTTGTTATGATTATGACCCCCCAACTTCGGTCGGGATGACCCAATCAAGGCAAGTCAGAGTGCGAATCCACTTCACTAGACTCTTCAATCTATCCCAATCTGCTCGTCGTCATTGATCGTCCCCGCGGTTCCTTGGTCAACGGGCTTCAACTTTTTCCACCCTCAATCCTGCAGTGTTGTGTTAGGTATTAGTTAAATCAAATATTAGTGTTCCTGTCCGTGGCGCTGCGGCGACAAGGCCGAACCGCCGTCACGAGCAAAGCCCACGGCCCAAAAAAGCTGTCGTCTGCCAAAAGATCGGTTCAACCATTCTTCTTTCTGACATCCTGACCCCCGTTTATTACTTTGATTATTCTTCATTTCCCCTCTTCCCTTCTCCTGTCCCGTCCGTCCCTTATTTTCCCCATAAATCAGTCTCGCCTATCAGAATCTGAAACTCCCGCCAGCGACGGAGCCTTTGCGCTATCGCAGCGACCTGAACGCTCGTCGATTCCCACATTCCACCAGTCCCTCCTGGCGCAATCTCCAGTCTCGATTTTCCCCCCCTCCCCCTTTAGCCAGGAATTCACAAAGGGGGCTGGTCTATTGGAACGCTTAATTGTCCGACGCACTATCGGCCATTATGTCCTATAATCGTTTGGGTAGGTTCCTAATAATTTCTCCGCTGCTGGTCTACTTGGGACAGATTGCGCGGCCGTGACTTGTCGCGCATTCGCTCCCTTCTCCGCATCAATTTCCCTCCTGAAACCCTAGTGTCGGGAGCGAGCCTTACTATACGAGGGAAATTGCTCGTATCTGCATGCGAGAGCTACAGACCTTTTGTGTCTGTTGTGCTGTCATTGTCGCACCGCCATTTCATTTTCAATTGCGCATCCCGCATAGGGCGTTTATACTGACCGTCGAGTGCAGGAGACCCCTACGGGGAGGAAGAGAGTCACACTCCCATGATGAATCCTCACCATCTCGATGCTCGTTCCCCGTCACCGGGCCGGCCATTAAACGCCTACCAGCTGTCAGATAATCCCTATGCGCCTCGCGAACACCTGGAGATGCCCTCCAGCGATCGGCTGGCAGAACAACCGACGGTACGGATGTTCTTGGAGTTGTGATTGATGATGATGATGATGATGATGATGCTAATTGCCATGCTCGTGAACTAGTACTCGGTCGAGAGACTCCCAAACTCTTACGGTCATAACGAACTCTACGAAGATCACCACCCTCATGCCTACCCTGGTTACGAATACTCCCTCGACCCAGAAGCACATCACGACGCTTACTACACCCAACCTTACCAGCCGGCGGTAACGCCGCATGAAGACTATGACTTGGGGCAATATCCCGAGCATCAACAATCATATACCGATGATCGGGTTCCTATCCTGCAACCAGACAACCCATTCGGGCCGGATCCGTATGCCGATGAGTATGAAGAGGAGCCTACAATCGCACCTACGCCTAGTCCGGCGCCAGTTCGTCGATGGAAGACCGTCAAGGAGGTGCAGCTCTTCAACGGTAACCTCGTGCTGGATTGCCCAATTGCGCCCGCCCTGCTCAGTCAGGTCCCTCACGCCGAACCCCCGGGTCGAGATGAGTTCACGCACATGCGTTATTCTGCCGCCACGTGCGATCCAGCCGACTTCTTCGAAGAGCGTTTTACTCTGCGTCAGAAGCTTTTTGCCAAACCTCGACACACGGAGCTTTTCATCGCGGTCACCATGTACAATGAGGATGATTTCCTCTTCGCTCGGACGATGATTGGTGTGTTCAAGAACATTGAGTACATGTGCTCCAGGACATCAAGCAAGACGTGGGGCAAAGATGCATGGAAGAAGATTGTGGTGTGTGTCATCAGTGATGGTCGTGCGAAGATCAATCCGCGCACGCGCGCTGTCCTGGCTGGTTTGGGATGCTATCAGGATGGTATTGCCAAGCAGCAAGTCAACGGCAAGGATGTCACAGCACATATCTATGAATACACCACGCAGGTGGGACTAGAATTAAAGGGAAACCAGGTTAGCCTCAAGCCTCGGTCTGGTTGCCCCGTCCAAATGATCTTCTGTCTGAAGGAAAAGAACCAGAAGAAGATCAACTCGCACCGTTGGTTCTTCCAGGCATTTGGACGCGTGCTGGATCCGAACATCTGTGTTTTGTTGGATGCGGGTACGCGGCCCGGGAAGGACTCGATCTACCATCTATGGAAGGCCTTCGATGTTGACCCGATGTGTGGAGGTGCTTGTGGTGAGATCAAGGTCATGTTGTCGCATGGGAAGAAGCTGCTCAACCCGCTGGTTGCCGGGCAGAACTTCGAGTACAAGCTCAGTAACATCCTCGATAAGCCGCTGGAGTCGGCATTCGGTTTTATTACTGTCCTTCCGGGTGCCTTCTCCGCCTACCGATACGTCGCGCTGCAGAACGACAAGAACGGACAAGGTCCGCTAGAACGGTATTTCCTGGGAGAGAAGATGCATGGTGCCAATGCCGGTATTTTCACGGCAAACATGTACCTGGCCGAGGATCGTATTCTTTGCTTCGAGATCGTGTCGAAGCGCAACTGCCGCTGGCTGCTGCGATACGTTAAGTCGTCCAATGGTGAAACCGATGTCCCAGACCGGATGGCCGAATTTATCCTTCAACGTCGTCGTTGGCTCAACGGTAGTTTCTTCGCTGCAGTTTATGCCATTGCGCACTTCTGGCAGATCTGGCGAAGCGACCATAGCTTCATGCGGAAGTTCATGCTGTTCATCGAGTTCATCTATCAGACCATCAACATGCTGTTCGCGTGGTTTGGCATTGTAAGTAGCTTCTCACTCTCGGGCGAAACGTCACTAACAGACACAGGGCAATTTCTTCCTGGTTTTCCATATTCTTACAGAGTACCTGGGCGATGACGACCTGCTGGGCACAGTTGGTAAAGTGCTTGGCGTGGTATTCGAATGGCTCTACCTCGCGACGTTGGTAACTTGCTTTGTTCTGGCGCTGGGCAACCGACCTGGTGGATCGAACAAATTCTATATGACGATGGTCTATTTCTGGATTGGTATCATGATATACCTGGCATTCGCAGCGGTTTTCGTGACCGTAAAGTCCATTCAATCACAAGTGGAGGAAAGCGGGTTCACCTTTTCGGATCTTTTCACGAACTACCAGTTCTTCTCGATTATCGTGTCACTCGGCTCTACCTATGTGATGTGGTTCCTCGCCTCATTCATCTTCATGGACCCGTGGCACATGTTTACCTCCGTAAGTATTTCCACACCTCTACCGATGCCTTTATTTTCTAACCCAAGCAGTTCATCCAATACATTCTTCTCACCCCGACCTACATCAACGTGCTCAACATCTACGCCTTTTGTAACACTCACGACATCACATGGGGTACAAAGGGAGACGACAAGGCCGAGAAACTGCCGTCTGCGAACCTCAAGCCCGGCGGCAAGGTCGACGTCAACATCCCGCAGGACGATGGCGATCTGAACGCACAATATGAAGCCGAACTGGCTAAATTCGCCTCGAAACCACCCAAGGAGGAGAACATCGTCTCCGAGGAAGACCGCCAGGCCGACTATTACAAGGGATTCCGCAGTGCAGTCGTGCTGGTGTGGGTCTTTTGCAACTTTGCGCTGGCCGCGGTGGTACTCAGCGCGGCTGGTCTCGAAGAGTTCAGCAGCGACCAGGAGACGACGGAGAACACGCGCGCCACCATTTACATGGCGGTGGTGCTGTGGAGTGTAGCGGGATTGTCACTTTTCAAGTTCATGGGAGCGATGTGGTTCTTGACTGTGCGGATGGTAAGTTTGCCAGAACCTAAAGGTGTGGGTTTTACTAACGAGGGTTTAGTTCCGCGGTGTTTAATCTGGCGTTCGATGAGTCGGCTTAGATGGACAGATAAACAGACAGACAGCATACCGCTGCAGGCTCGGTATGGTATGATGATGACAAGCAATGACGGTTTCATGATACACGGGGCAATGGGATACCCGGTTGTTGATATGATAGATAGTTCTTTAGTTTATGTAACATATGACATTATGCGTTCTGCAACGTACACATATAACCCAAGTAACTCCGGGGGAAGAGAAGCAATATGCAGTCAATTCCCTGTCTCCACTTACATTTGTAATATGTATCATTAAAGAAACAACATAATATAACAACAGCATCATTGGTCTAGTGGTAGAATTCATCGTTGCCATCGATGAGGCCCGTGTTCGATTCACGGATGATGCACAACTTTTTTGTGATTTCTTTTTTTCCCACACCAATTCCAACCCCATCAACTACATACAAACAACGACACCAACATATAATACTACACTATACCCCTACAAACCCACAACACAATCTAGATACTAGTAATGAAGAAATATGAACTAAGCCATAACACAAACCGCAATCCCACCCAACACCAACGCCATCCCCAACCACGTCTCCCGCTCAATGACCTTCCTCTCAACATACCATTCGCCCAACACCGTGAACAAAAACGCACTGGAGTTGGCGAGGGGGACAGTTAATGATAATTCTATACATCACCATTAGTATATACACAATTACTCCATACCACACATTCACCCATAGAAGGTAACAATGTAAAGGGCATACATACCATGCTTCCCCACCAACAAAAAGAACCACACACTCCCGGTCAAATTCACAACCAGGGGAATAGAATACGCGGGCGTGCGAAGTAAATTAACAACCGTCCAGAATAACGTGATGATTTTTTTGCGGAGCCAGGATTGCTGTTTCGGCTGTTGCTGTTGCATCCATGCCGGTTGTTGCTGCTGTTCTTGGTGGCTAGCTGGGGGAGGATTATCTTCCTCGCTTTCTTCTCCCCGTTCATCCTCGGGGCGTGTCTCGTCGGTGTATTCGGGAGACACCGGTGTTAGGGGGACATTTGCCTCATCATTGGTGGTGGTGATGTTGTCGTCTGGTTGCTGTTTTTGTTGCTGGCGGGCTGCAAAGTCCGCGGCTGCGCGCCGGATGAAAGGGGTGGTGAAACCCCAAGCTACCCCGACTAGGAGGAAGGAGAGAATGTAGTTGATTACGGGAGGATTGGAGGGGTCTGCTGTGTCTGATTCTGGGTCCATCTTGGGGAATTTCTTTTTCGATGATAGGGAGGATGAGATGGGATTGGAATTGGGATGGGGGTTAAAACAGTTAAGGGAGGTGTGGAGATGGATGGATGGTTGATGCATGCATGCGGTTAGTTAGTTGAATTGATGGGGCTCGGCGGGAGGGCGGGTCGGGGAACTGCCAGGCGGGTGGAGATCACTTGGTTATCTGGTTATTTATTAGTTAATTTTGGGAGCTGGTCTGTTAGTCAATCTGTAGGATATGGAAATAAATTTATTGTAATGCTTGACTGTTTTGTTTTGTTTTGTTGTGATATTCTTTTGGGGAAATGTATTGTAGGGTTAATATATGATAGTTTATTGCGGTACAATGTACTATCTGTTGAGTGCCGTAATAACCCACTCTACTACTACAATTGAGCAACTACGGGAGAAGCTTTAAGTTCGAAAGGTCACTGTGTATTGATATCGCTTTTGATATACTAACATTGCAAGAACCTGCACCTGAATGACTAATTTGGTGTACAATGCTATTTCTGTTAACGTTTGGGAAATTTATATTACTACATGCTCCCGCAAGCCGCCGTTTCTGGGAATGTGTACAAGAACCGGAAAAGGCAGATGACATGGAATCATGAATCAAAATGAAAACCAGCTAGTAATGCATGGTAGATTCAACGGTTGATTGGCTCGATCACTTGAGACATGAGATGGCCAGAACCTCGCTTAAAATAACCAATTAGCGCATTTGGACTAGCCAGATGCTCCTTGCCTATAACCGAGTATAAGGGCTACTATCTATACAGGTTTGACGTGCGGATCAGCACTGACTTAGCGCTTCGTCTTATTGCTTTTCAGCTCGGCCTATATCCACAATATCTCCTTAGTCAAGCTGGCATTAGGTACAAAGCAGATAGCTACGCCGCTCGGTTCGACTGTGGTTGCAATCCTAGTACTTAGTTCCCTCGAGCGTTGTTTCCCATATCTCATCATCAAGATTTCCCATACCAAGTAAGCCGGGTAAATTCAAGACATATAAATAACCTATTCGAGCTTCATAGTCAATATATCCTGGGTTTACTAATCAAATAGATCATAAATCCAGGTGGCGACTAAGCCTTGGGCACAGCCTCAATGATACTATCCCGCAGGCTCATTGTATAAGTATACACTTGATTGATAGTCAGCCCAGCCTCTTCCGCCAGATGGTACCACTGCCCCTGGGTACGTTCCCTCGCTCCTAGAGTAGCCATCATCAACATATCCAATTGCGCCTGCTGCCAGTGCACCCCCGTGTTAGGCAATACCATCTCGTCAATCAAAAGATATGAGTCCGGTGCCATGGCTTCGATTATATCCTTGATAATCTCTAGAACTTTATAATCGGGCCAGTCATGGAAGATGTTCCGCAGATAGTAGAATTTCGCACCTGAATCTTCCATTGGATAAGTCACAATGAAGGATCAAAAGGGCACTGAGACAGGGATAGACTGTACCTTTTACAACCTGGGGCGTAAAGAAGTCATACGTCTGCTTCTCCACCCCAGGGAAGTCAATGGCGTGAGCTAAGGTCTGGGCAAGGTCCTGGACGATCACTCGGCCCTCCAGCTGGGGGTAGCGCTGTTTGAAGCCAATTGCTTGGTGTCCCAAGCCACCCCCAATATCAACGAATAGGGCTCTTTCAGGGCTCAGACCAGTCGCCTTCTCCAAGACTGGGTAGGCGTCTAGGAAAGTAGGCATACCGGCGCGATTAGACATCATGTGCTCCACAAAATAGCCTAGGGCCTCGGGATTCTGCTGCATATAGATGAAAGCTGGCACGTCGGTGTTGAGGGCTTTGTGAAAAGGAGTTCTGACATTGTCCTGAATGTCAGGGTAGTTGTTCTCCTTGAGCCAACTGGAAGGGCTTGGATTGTCTGACCGCAGTTGTTCCACCTGATAAGGGTAAAGTTGGTTTTTAATTTATTGAACCCGAAGTGGGGGTAAAGCGGTCGACTTACATATGACCAACCGCAGCTTGATGGCCGGATACGGCAAATGTCTTGGAAATATTTGATGCAGTGAAGGTATCTTTGGAGACCTCCTCGACTGCATAATAAGATGCCAAGTAGCGCAGTATACGAGCTGATAGGCTCAGATTAGAACCAGTGTTTGAAGAGAAATATTGAGCGAAAGCTCACCAAGGAAGACTGGATTGGCTCCCGTCTTCTGGCTCAGCTCATCCATAGTAAGGGGACCATCAAGCAATAGCTCGAAGAGCTTCAGGTCAATACCGATACGGATTCCGGCCAGTTGCATGTTCTTAACGAAGCATAGATTAGAATTGGAAGTTTGTATCTCAAGTTTGGCGTGTTTGTTTGCAATGGGGGGAGACGTACATTGAATGTAAGTCGCTTCACAGTGTCGTCCGGAGACTCAGTTGAGACACTCAGCTTATGCAGGGCATCCAAGACATCTTTGCGAGCTTTTTCATCACCAGCTTCAACCAGTCTGCGAACTTCTTTGGTAAGTGCTTCCATTGTGGTTCTTTCTCTGGAAGCTTAAGGTCTTGTTATTCAAGTTCAGGAGAGGCGCTTTGAGAGAGAGGAAGTATGTAGAGATCGCAATGAAGGCAGATGGAGAGAAGGCTTTAAAGTCTTAACTAAAAGTGTCGGTAAAAGAAAGAAGCGAATGGAGCCGAAGCGAGCGTCCATTGCTCGAGGCTCAATTGTCTCTTATCATACGGCGGTAGAAATAGTCCAGCTAAAATCTGACAAGCAGTTGGACACTACATTAGTGTAAGTATACACACTATACCACATGCTAGTAGCAGTTCATTTTATTTTAACCAATCAGAGACTATACTCCCATGACCAACTAAGTACACCAATACAATGGCACAGTATGTAGCTAGGATGCTTTCATTAGGGCTCACTCTCATCATATGAGCACTTCCAAAGTCAGGACCCGTATTCAGATCAGCTGGACAGCTTTTCTCTACTCTTTGCAACAAAACTTATGCAATACGTATAGCAGCTGGGTATCACATTCATATCTGCAAAATAACTATATACAAGGCAACACACCGATATCACCACTCCACCCGGTCATCATGCACTAATTGCACATCCCATCGTTCCTCCCCGCGCCATACCCTTCCCGGTCGATTCCGCCCCGCCACCGCCGTCCGCAGCGTGGTAATCATCCCCGCCGGACCGCTGGCGAGCACCCGCGTCGGACCATCGACCACCCGGTCCAGGAAATCCTCGACAATGTCCTTGAGGTCCGGATGATGATGGGCCGCTGCCGCTGTCCCAGCGACTGCAGTGTCTTCAGATGAGAGGGTATACTTCACGGAAACCCCAGAGTCCGACGACGCATTCGACCCCTCACAGCATGGCGATTTCTCGAGGTCGGAGACCTCAGGGACTGGTGCCGTCTCCCGCGTCACGAAGATGCGGACTCTGAACGTGTTCGAGTGGGTGGATGCCAGGCGCTGCAGGATGTCGAGCTCCGGGGCGATCCATTGCATGTCGGCCTTGCGGCGGATGATCCAGATGAGTTCGAGGATCTGCGTCGGTTGGTACCTGGAAGTGGATGTGTTGCTGAGTAAATGGAGAAGTGGGGGAAGCACGAAGGTGATGCCCGTGCCGCCGGCAATGCAGAGGAGGTTGCTGCTTCCAGCGGTTGTGGTTTCCTCCATGATGGACTGGCCGTAAGGTCCACAGAGAATCACTGGGGTTGTTGGGCCGGCGCTCGTCATCGTGGTGGTCTCACCATCACTCGGTTGAGAATCTTGTGACGAGATGCGTGCGAGGTGGGCGAGTTCCCGCGTCAGTCCCTTCCGGGCGCGGATGATGTAGGTGTGCGGCTGGCCGGTGGGTAAGGTGTCTGGTACGCTGCAGGGGGTGAGTGGGTGGGCTTGCCACAGACTCAACTGCGGGAAGCAGAGGAAGAAGTGCTGGCCGATGTGCCAGGAGTCGTGATTATGGTGAAAGTCAAGGCGGATGATGTCGCCATCGTCCGGGTTGGGGTGCAACTGAATCGCGGCGTGCGGGATGTGCAACCCTCCGGTGGTGGACGACGTCGTGGTCGGGACGTTCAGATGATGCAGCACGAAGACGCGAACGAGACGGATCCCCCGGTCCAGGAACCAGACTACCAGCGAGGCCAGCATCCAGCAGTACAGGTGTGACCAATGCGCCCAGCAAGCCCCGACATAGACCATGGCGACTACATAGTGGGCCTTGCGGAAGAACTCGTAGCCCGTCAGCTGGATGCCGCGCTTAGTGCTGTGGAAGACCAGGAAGGAGAGCAGAATCATGGCCACGATGCCCCAGATGATGTACGGCTGCGTGATGAAGCTGTTCCACTGCGCGGGCTGCGGCTGGTAGAGCTTCCCCTCAACGATGGTCCAGCCGATGGTGTGCATGGCCGACTGAATGTAGATCACCCATCCCAGCCAGCGGTGGAGGAAGTTGAAGTGATGGTATGGAACGCCCGTAATCAGCGAAAGCAATGATTCCCGACTGGAGAGCAGGATGGACAATGGCGTGAGGGCGAACGCCAGCACACCGATGCGGTCCGCCCACGGACCCAATCCACTGCGCGTGTTGTTGAGCGAACTGCCGCTAATGGGAGTGACCCAGGTCTTGTAGGTGATGCCCACCAGGGTAAATACCAGCAGATACCCGGAGATAATCAGGAATATGAGGACTTGCAGACGTGTGGTATGTCCAAACACCCAGGGCAAGGCTTCCGGGAGCAGATGTCGCCGGACAAGCGCCTGGATCGTCCGCGAAAGACGGTAGGGAGCACTCTGGCGGACAGGCTTGGGCGAGGTCCTGGCTACAGATCGATCAAACCGAACGAGGCGTCCCCCCAACGCCCACAGGAACAAAATTCCCACGACCACCGCCCACAGAATGAAGCTGTAGAGCATGCTGACATCGTGGCCGTGGTAAACCGCGTCCAAATAGGCGCAGGTACCGGCATCTTTGGTGCAGGGGACCTGGCGGGCAACATACCCCCAGTGGTATTCCATGGCGGAATCCTGGGAGAAGTCCTGAATATGCCCCATGGTGGAGGAAGTGTAGATGGGATAAAATTTGCAGGTGTGCTCGAGCCGGTGGCAGTGGCCATTTCTATATCCTCAGGATTGGATGTGGAGTCATCGCGGTGGAGTCGCCAAGGCCGATATCTGCTCATCGCCAAGCATCGTACGTGATAATCTGCTCAATTCACGCTTCGTATAAGTAGACCGTGCCATTCCCCTCTCCATTGGCCCCCAAACTGCAACACCATCACCATCACCACCATGGACATGCACATGGACATGTCCAGCTCCAATTCGAGCGCCTGCTCGGTAACCGTACGTCGTCTCACCCTCTGCTTGACATCTGATGATTAATCAACATGGCAGATGTTATGGAATTGGACCACCATCGATGCCTGTATGAATCCTTAGTACTCCGTATAGCTCTGATCCATCCAGCCCTAACAATTGCAGGTTTCCTCTCCTCCACCTGGCACATCAACACGGCGGGCCAATTCGCCGTCTCATGCATCGCAGTCGCCTTTCTCGTCGTTTTGCTCGACTTCCTCCGCCTCCTAAGCAAGCAATACGAGGAGCATCTCCAACGACAATTTCAGCGCTACGTTGCAGCGCAAACAACATCGGACCGCATGCAGTTTTTCTGCGGTGACAGCCTAGAGCACGGGCCAACGGTGCTTACCTTCCGAGCCAGTCCCTGGCAGCAGTTGGCGCGGGCGCTACTGCACACGCTGCAGTTCGGGCTCGCGTACATTATCATGCTGATTGCCATGTACTACAATGGGTACATGATCATCTCTATCTTCCTGGGGGCGTTTCTGGGGAAGGTGTTCTGCGACCGTGGCGAGTACCGTGTCGTGGTGGCGCGGCCAGGGGCCAGGGCAACGGATACGACGAAAGCAATGGAGATAGAGCCGGGGAAACAGACAGAAGAGTGGACGACGGGTTGTTGTGGGTAGTTATGATACAGTCTATAGTGCAACGAAGCCCATGATGTTTGAAGTTCACATTGTTTCAGATTAATATTGTAAAATTGGAGGGGCCCTTGAGTGCTTAGTCATTAATATAGTTGCTGCCTGATTATGGCCTTGTTGCCTGACTATGCCTCTTTTGTACCATCTTGTCAGAGCGCTGCCCTCAATCATACTCAGACCCACTTTAAACCCATCTTCCAATCTTGCTGTTCTGCGATTTTGAGTTAATTTCTCACGTCGCCAATGGTTAAAAATTGATGGGGCTCGGCGGGGCAACTGGTGGGTGGATAATTTCTTGATTACTATCTCCTTCAAAGCAATTCGTTGATCAGCGCATAACAGTATTGTTCAGTTACACCTAAGCTAATCTCTATTGTAAACCCTCAAAGCAGAATCCTTCTCAAACGTCTAACTCCCTGTTTATCACCTTCAAGCGTACCATCTGCCCACCTTTTTACCCACGGGGTCGTACAGTTCTTCCCAAACCCAATCAAACAAGCATCATCATTCACATCAATGAGTACATTATCAGCCTTAGGATCTCCCCAAAGCAAGTTCCACCGATGAAGAATCATTTTTTTAAAATGATTAAGTAGAATTTCTCTACTTATAGTCAGATAACGCTGAAAAGGTCTCTAGTATATAATATATATAAACTCAACACACTTTTCATACTGGAAAAGACTTATTTTTCCTTCGAATATGATTGTTAGGCATGCGGGCTAACAGTAGTTGCAGTGCGAGGTAACTACGGGTGTTTAATCTATATATCGCTGTTTAGCAATGATTTGCAAGAGTAAAGCGAATCTTTGAGGGACTTCTTACCTACGTGGCAACATGAACCGAACACATGTTGCTAACAAATATATTATATAAAGAAAAAAGGGCCAGGATGTAGTAAAGATATATACATTAATAATCCATAAATAAGAGCTGAACTGATCTGATTGAATAACTAAGGTTTAGTTATATTACTTATAGATTATTTAATCATCTAAAACAGTTAGCACAGGTTAGATGAGAAATTAGCATGGGCTAGGTGGGCTGCGTTCTGGCCGTTCGTAGCCTCGTGTTTCACAACTATCCGTTGCCCGCTCGCTGAGATTCTGATCTCAGCTGTCTCCTTAGCGGCGCTGTCTCCTCTTCCCCTCAGCCAACCCACCTTGTGATCCCACAGTCTTACTCCCTCAGCGCCCGCCTGCATGCTGAGGCCTTAGTCCGGGCTGGCGCGGGGCTAGCCGCTGGACAATCCCTGAAGCTTAATGCATGGCACCTATACAGAATTACGTGGCAGTCTTTGGCGAGGTCTACCCGCAGAATTTATTTTTGTGTCTCTATCAGAAAATTATGATTTAAGGCCTAAATTGCTGACTTACCTGTAGTATCATATCAGTAGTAAACAAAAACTGCCACGCAAAGTCTGCATATGTGCTATGCATCATGCTTTAATTCGGCTACTCGAGCTATACAGATCAATCAGCAAATAAAATTTCTAGAAACCCATCAATTACACCTTTTATTTTACTAGTGTTTTACTATACAGGTGGATATGCGTCTATGATGTTTCTGTCCTTAGCAATTTCAAGTACCTCTGGCTAGTCAGTGGAGGTGTAGGATAAAAATGTATCATAGTATTTGTTGAGTCTGATGTCACGAAATCCTGGTTCCAATCTTCCTGATTTGACGCTCTAGAGCCCGCTTGGACAGCAGGAGTTGATCAGGTGTGATTGAGGACACGGTGTAGTGAAAAAAATTCAATATTACACACAGTTTCTCTTTTAATAGACTTACTTCCGGGTAGACGGGTCGGCCCTGAGCGACCTACTATCTACGGAGTAGAGTATTGTGGTACGAGCACTAAATGAGAAAGCCCCACTTAATAGACCTGTGTCTGTGCGCCTGGTGAGAGCCTTGAGCTTACAGTGCTTTTATACCTCCGGAAAATTTTTCCTTTGAAACCCGAAGGAATAGTAACGTTTGTGGCGACAGTCTCTAGTTATTACGTCGAGAGAGACAACCAATATATCTAAGGCCAGGAATAATCAATCATCTGGGATATGCTACAGGCCATAAAAAATGATCAAGAAACCAAGGGAAAAGTTCTATACAAAAAGGATGTGAATCTCTTAGACTGCCTTCTGTTGGCAGGCTGAAAAGCAAACCCCGAAAGCACATTAGTGCCAGTAGAGCCCCGCAGTAATGGTGATTGAAGTTAGAGAGATTTAAACGTGTTACCAATACAACCTCTCATTGGAGGTCTATGCGTCGATGAAAAAGGAGGAGCAGCTGATATCCGTGGGGATAGTATTCTTCACACAGGAAAATATCTTGGGTTAAGATTTTACCCTCTAATCGAATGTGGAGTCGCCCGAAAGCATTGTATGAAGAATACTCTCGCGGAAAAGGCAGGGCTCGGCTTGCGACATGAATTATGAACAAATATCAGTTATTTCGTTTAGCGCAGGCAGTCGTGCTGTTGCAAATTTCGCAGCCTGGTGAGCAATCCAGTTGAGAGATTTCCGATGTCACCAATTACTGCCCCTCAAACATACATGCATAATGCAGGCCAGCAGAGGAAGTCGCATAACAAAGGTACGGGCCGTGCGGGGAGATGAGATTGTCTTTGCACTCTCACTCAAATGACTAAAATTGGCACGTAACTGATGCAGGTAGTCTAGCGATGTAATCTAGCCACTCCTCTGAGTGCATAATAAATTACCTGCTGATTTTTGCCATATGACAAATGTAATAGTGCCACTTGGTACAGCCTCGTTAACATTCATAATTATTTCAAGACACTGGCCTAACAGTAGATAGTACATTTACCTTTGCTTTGCTAAACTTCAATGTATCTTTATAATATAGATGAAGTAGGGATAAGACCCCCGGAGCAAGTAAAGGCCTTAACGCCCTCTTGATAGTGCAGCTAAGCCGCTGCATTACAAATCACCAAATATCAAGCCTGCAGTGTGATAAATGCAATGCAGTGAGCCTTCATGTACGGCATGCGGGAAGGTCATTCCAGCCAATAGAAAATATGGGTAATATTTGACAAGAAGTTCGAGATTATAGTCTTTCAGCTGAGAGCTGATCGATGTAGTCTCGCCCGGCTCGAAATTAGTAGAATCAGGCAATGCATATACACATTTCTCTAACCCGTGGGCTTTGGTAATGAGTCTAGAAGAGGGAATAATCATAGAATCAGCCAGCCACCTGCTCAACGAGCAAACAACCACCCCACACCCAAGAAATCACAGGTCAAGAGGGGTTATGGTCCGGTCTGCATGCGCAGTTGTATAAATTCGCCACCAAAGCCCCTACCAAACAGATATAAAGGAGGTCGTGATCCCCCGAGATAAAGAGCACAAACCAACATCATCTCTTTTCTCACCTTCGAGGCCCAGCTATCTGACCCGACGCTTTCATAGTCATTACCAAAAGCACTAGACAGGTATGAGAAGCTACTTTACACCAGAATTTCCCACCTGCTAACCTCATCGAGAACCAACTCAACAAAAATGGAAGTCTGGACCGAGCACAAAGAGCACACCGTGGAAGGCCACACCTTCACGGGCACGCTCAAATTCAGGGGTGAAACAATCTGGGGCCCCCGAAGCTGCCACGACAACACCCATCGTCTGGCAAAAGCTCTGCAAGATGCCGACTGGCGCTTTTCCTTGCTCCTAGAGCCTAAGGAGCACTCAGTCGAAGGACACGTGCGCTATATCAGCGTGAGGGACTGGAACGGCGGAATCCTCCTGGATAAACTCAGTACCCATGACAACATGGATTCGCTGGCTAGAGCTGTCTCGCAGGCAATCGCAGGAGCTGGAGGACCTCCTTGAGGTGCTTTACGGCTGTGTCACGGATTTTCTTAGTCGATCTGTATTGGGAGTGAGTTCATTCAACTGGACTCGCATGGACGGCTTGGGGATGTTTTTTTTCAATCATCATGTACTCAGACACTGATGTTGAGGGGATTGCTTGGTACAAGTACATTCTTTTATCAACCAATCAATTACTGATCTCCTCATCTATATTGAAGACCTTGGGACACATACGTAGGCCTAAGTCATGCAGGTTTGGCTATCAACAGATCACTGTAGCATCCGCTGAACTCTTCATTATTCTTGCCCCCTTTATTCAAACCCTGGAGTATGAAGTCCGGCGGAAATGCATTCTATTCCGTGGGTTAAACTACACCGATAGACTACTACTAGGCACTAATAACTCAGAATCCTGCATTGTGGACAAAGTAGGCTTTTAAACACAGCCCGATGTACTGTCTATATAATGACTAATCGAGCACCTCAGGGGCAGCCCGGCTAGGAAGTCCCATTCCATTGGAGGCAACAACTTCTCAGAAAGATATCCTTCAACACCTCGAGATAAACGACCTCCCAGATCGTTAGCTTGACATGTACCACATCGTGCCACTCTTGATTGGGAGCTTTTGCGGCCAATGCTTTGAAGGACTTTTTTCTTTTTCTGTTATACTCCTAAAAGTTTGTAAGCAACTGCTAATTGATAGAGGTTATTCATGGATTTTCTTGTATTGTTCTAACTGATAATCGAGAATACTACTTCTATATATGTAGGAGTAATGGAGATCGTGAAGCTCAATATTTTTTTGTCTTTGTATAGTCCACTGTCATGAATCATTAGAGGTACCGTGCAGGGACTGCTTAATGAAATACCATAACTCTGTATAGTATTATTAACAATATAGTGCTTAAGTTGAAAGAAACAGTTCAAAATATGTCTAAATGCACCTGAGCTGTATGAATGCAAGCTACCAAGCATCAATTACCAAAGCAACCCAAAAGAATACCAACCTATACTAACAACCTGTGAGCTAAGCGTCAGATGACCCCGCGCGTCAGAGGGCGTTTATTCAGAAGACTGGTCGCGCTGGCCTAGCATGTCATCTAGACAGTTCATAATGTCGTCCATAGAAACGCTGAGGTCGGAATCACTGGTGCCCCGTTGACTCTTGTACACCTCGAAAACGATATTGCGGGCCAGTGTTTCAACATCCCGGGCATTTGCCCAAGACCTTGTCTTTTGCAACTGGGCAAACAGGTCCCGAACGGTTGAATATTCCCATTCACTAATGGTAGGGCTTCGATCCACTCTTATCTGGAGCTTCCCTAGCTGCACTTCAAGATATTCGAGACAGTGAGCTGGGCTCATCGAGGGAAAGACAATATCGGTGGGCAACCGAGACCGTAAACCCGTATTAATATGAAGTATCCTATCCATATCATCCGAGTAGCCAGCTAGGACAATCACGAGCTTGCGAGAGTAGCGTGGCTTTGTCATACAGTCGACCAATTCTCCAACAGCTTCATTAGCAAAGCTCGAGCAGTTGCCAATGGACTTTCCCGCTAGCCGATAAGCTTCGTCGATAAATAGTACCTTGCCTAAAGCCCGCTCCAGAAGGTTGATCTCGTGTCCTGTTTGCCCTACATACTCGCCTATCAAATCTGTCGCAGAGCAATCAATGACTTCGGAGGCGGAGAGGAATCCCATTTCGTAGAATATATCACCAAGAATGCGAGCTGTAGTAGTTTTTACAGTCCCTGGTGGGCCCTTGAAGACCAACGCGAATGGGATATATAGTTGGTTTCCAACACAGATGTGTGAAGGTATGTCTTATGTCGGTATTTCAAGTCTCACACAGAATGAGCCTGGCCACTACACAGCATAGGCCTCTGGCCTAGCTATGGCGGAACGACTCCGGACGCATATATCATGTCTGATCTTAGCTACCAAACCAGGCAGCCTTGTCTGCCTGAGCCAGTGGAGCTGGTCGCAGGTTGAGGTGCATCCACACCCGCCTCCTTGCATGGCCAGGGCAGGGGAGAACACTTATAGGGCCTCTTCCGATCATGATAGATTTTGTTTTCACGCTCGTTGTGGTCGTGATCTATAAGGTCCTGTCAGAAGTATGGCGAAGAAGTTTTTGAAAGGGATGCTGCTCAGTTTTATGTGCTTATGTGTTAGGATCAAGCAAAGGCAGTTTTTCACCGCAGTGGGACTAGTCACTGTAGTAGGGATTTACCTAGTGTTGTCTCAGTTCAGTGAAGATGGAGTGTTGAAGGGAGCCATCGGTGCAGTCTAGCCATCTCAGGCTATTTGCACACCTAACACATGATTCAACTATCTGTAGGCAGAATTGATTGGAACTGCAGCTGATGTTTCTTTTATTGATAACGAGTTTTCGCGATTTAGTTCACTGTGAGTGGTTGGGTAAGGAGCACCTCACTTTCTCGCGGCGGAGGCAAAGGAGTTGGAAGCCCTAGCTCCCTCGTACCACCTGTACATGCTCGCTCCTCACCCTCCCGACCAACCTCTCCCCACCCGCTTATAAGCTTCCTGCTTACCCGCCATGAAGCTGGTGCCATCGTTGGCTACTTTACATCTCTGGTGATTATCATGCTTGGTATACGTAGTAACAGTCATAGCATTTCAACAAAAACACTCGAGGATGAACGCATTACAATATTTGGTCCAACGCATGATGAACCCACATCATGTACCTTGTCCAGAAAAGCTCAGCACCTGTGCACTCAGAGTGAGGCTAAAGCCAGTTCCGAGGGCTTCTGCCCAATGACAATATTCAGCTGCGGCGCGTATCCATGCTTCATCACGTCGTCCCGCAATTCGTCCAAGAAAGCATCGTACTCAGCCGGGGTTCTTGCCACCCCAGGGATACCGCCAGGGGGCATTTTATGCCCGAGGCTGCGGAATGTTTCCGCCAATAAATGAGCAGAGGTCACTTTCCACTGCTCCTCTCTAGCCATTGCACCATACCCCAAAGCGAACGATGTTTTCTTGATGTTCCTAAACCCCAGGTCACTGAGCAAATCCTCCAGTTCATAAGCAATATAAGCATTCATCCCGAAAGCAGCAGTGCTCCACTTTTCCATTTCCGACATCTTGGCAAGGGTAGGGAACTTAGCAGGGTCAATTGGTGTGTCACGATCTACCCATTGGGCTTCCACGAGCTGAATCCAGCCTCCAGGCTTCAACACTGAACGCAAGTTTCCCACGGCCTGTGGCCATTCCGAGCTTTTCAGGCCCCATATAAGATAACGTTGATGAACGATGTCGAAGCTTTCTGGTAGGTGCAGATGCTTTGGAATTGGCTCCCGGATGTCATGCTTCTGAAGATCCACAATCGGCCCGTCTGCAGATGGGGGCGGGAAAAGCGCGGAGCCAATGTCGATGCCATGAAGGGACCATTTCTGATTGGGATAGTGCTGTGCTAGAGAACGAAGCCAGGTTCCTACTCCAGCATCATGAGTCAACGGAGTTATCTTGACGCTAAAAGGGCTCCCTCCTCTCCACTTACCGTCCGCTGCACCAGCGTCCAGAATCCTGAGGGTAGCATTGGTCTCCACAGGCGTGCTCAGGAGAAGGCCTCCTGTGGACGACAGAATGAAGTTGTGCTGCCGTTGGAGACGGTCGATCTCCCGTCGGTGGTGCGGGAGGTTATAAATCCCTTCGGTTCCAACGAAAGCGTTGCCTTTCGGGGCGGCAGAGGTGGAACTCGCAATGGCCATGATGATACAAATGGGGATAAGGTGGGAACTCTTCCTGACACGTTTTCAAGACACCAGTGCCTTCCTAGCCTTTAAATAGGAAGCGGGGGCTTTGGTCGGGTGGAGCTGATGTGATGGATCCTGGACCCTTAACTCGGTAGTTATAGTCGCCTAGCATGTGCTTCATCCAAGGACACGAGCCATTCAGCTGCCGAAGCTTTCTGTATTGTATGAAGGGGTTAATGTAAGTGATCATCTGCAATCAGATTGGTCATTACGGTACTGATTGAAATAGACCACATCATGTGTCAAAATGCTGCCTGTGAGACCAGAAACGATATATCGGACAGCAGACGGAGCAATACGTCCGTCCCGACATCATACTACCTATAAAAGAGACCATTATTCTCCACTTCCATCAACCCCTCTTCTAAACACACAATCACACTCTTCCTCTAACATACTCTCCTCATCGAACTCATGATCGACCCAAAACCATCAATTCCCCCAAACAAGACAAAAACATTGAAACCCGAAAGAGACCATCATCACTCACCTCCCCTCCTCCAGCTAGTTCCCACTAACCTAAGATAGTCAGTTACCGACAATCAAACGCCACCCTACAACACTGCCAATCCTTCAACCCCCCAGCACAATCCTTACACGCCATCTTCTTCCCCAAATCAATTTTTCGTCCGGCATACCAAGCATCGCCCTCCGGTCTATTCCCACCGCCCTTAACATCAACTTCCACCGTCCACGGCAGCAACGAATGCAGAGACCAATGGCCCGTATCGAGACTCTGAGGCAGGGCCCCAAGCCCCCTACAGGAGCGATCGTAGACGTAGGTCTCGCGCAGCTGGACCCGGCCGTTGGGTGCGTACGTGGCGATTCCGAGGTTGCAGTAGTTTGCGCCTGTTGGGGTGCAGAGGTCGGAGACGAGGTCGTAGGGCGCAGAGGATGCGATGATATTGGCAGCGGATTGGGTGGCGTCGTGGGCGATGTCCAGGGCGGCGGTTAGGGGGTTGGTTGGGTGGGCGAGGGTGAAGGGGAGGAGAAGGGAGAGGGTGGTGAGGAGGTTCATTTTGGTAGATAGATAGTAGGCAGTAGTTGTGATAAGGTGGTAAGTAGTTTTTATTATCTGGTGTCTGTTTGAAGAGATTCCCTGGTCTGAGTTGTAGCTGATGATATGGAAGTAGATCATGGTCCTATATATAGGTTGTTCGTCCCTTATGATAGTCCATGTTCGGTCCTGGCTCAGTTCTAGTCATGTAACTGCCTAGTTCTCGGTACCCAGTACTTGGTCAATTGACCAACTCGTATCTGCATGACGTTAGGCATATACGGAGGGAACATACAAGTTCAATCTGTCTGGGGGATTGCAAACCCGGCTATCATGACGGACGGGGCAGTGTAGGGGTAAATACGCGCACAAGAGAGAATTAAACGACTGAAACACCATCCAAAAGTGACACAGTGACACAGCCGTTCGGATAATGAGGTAATGTGCATGTGGACGTGTATGATCCCAATTCAACCAGGGTCGTGTCTAGATTTGAGATCAATGAGGCGGCGGCTTCTAGTCTGGAATGTAATCTCGGATAGTATATAAGGGTCAAATCGACCATGTGTGCCTAATTCGTACTACACTTCAAATCTCGGTTATAGCTCGTTGGTGGTTATTGGACAGTTGGCTTTTTTTTTTTTTTTTTTTTCTTGGCCTTGGACTTTGCGTGTCTGCGCCCTGGGTCCAAGTAGTGCTGTTCAGTTAGGTGCCTAGATTGATGAGGCCGCTTAGGTGCTGAGGAGAGATTTATGAGCGTGTTGATTAAGGCCTAGCTCATCTGTATTTATAATGTTCTTGGTCTGGGTACTACGTCACTGGGAATTAATATGAAGGCACCGAGATACTGGTATTAGCGAGCAGTTACATGACCACCCTATTTGTTAAACCAATCGGTATAAGGGCTTCAGACAGTATGTCTGCAAAGTCCTCTGAAGCAAGCTGTAGAATTCTATGCCAAAATAAATTGCTGTTCAGATTCTTCTTCAAGGCAAATGCTACCAATGCCTTCACACAAGCAAAGCACCCGAATCCGAGCTCACTATCCGTCCAGTGACGTTCACATCCTTCATCAAATATATGTAAGCCTCTGCCACTTCTTCCGGTAGACCGACCCTTCCCGTCGGATTTTTCGCTGCGGCAAATTGGCATAGATTGTCTTGCTCCTCTTCATTCAACAGATCGTTCCATAGCGGAGTTTTCACCAGTCCAGGACTCACAGCGTTGACACGTATAGGCTTCAAATCCACCGCCAGATTACGTGCAACACTGCAAGTACCACCCAAGTATCCAGCTACCGCCGTCCAATTGGCCATCGGGCGTTCCCAATTGGTCCCCGTCGTCAAGGTAATTGATGACTCGGGACCCGGGGAGAGGTACCGAGAGCCGATCTTGGCAACGAGTACGGCCGCGAAAAAGCGCACTTGACCGGCAGCGATGAGCTTCTCCCGAGTAATTTCCTGCACGGGCATGATGGCTGGTGCATCGGTCGCGGTGAATACAATGTGGTCAACTTGGTTGGTTTTTTGGAAAAGCGCCTCGAGGTCTTCTTCGATCGTGTCTTTGGAAAGATCGCAGACGTGTCCTTGGATCTGGCCACTTGGAAATTCTGTCCTGAGATCTTGGATGGTGGATTCAATGCGTTTGCTTGAGGATGAAGACACGGTGACTCTGGCTGATGCAGCTAGTGATAGTTTGGCCACTCCCAGGCCTATGCCGGAGGTGCCTCCGAAGATCAGGACATGCTTGCCCGCGAGTTTGTTGTAGTTGTAGCTACTGGAGGACATTTTGTCTGGTTGAGGAGTTTTGAAGATGGGAAGAACGGATTTTGTGTTCCATGGGAAAACTCAATTATATCTATTGCAGTACAGCTCATGATGTCAAATATTAGTGTGTGTCCACTTAAGTCCGCTTAAGTCCGCGTCAGCACGTGGGGAGGAATCTCATCCCCACACACCCAGTCTCCGATCGTTAACACCTTTCTTTGGGGGTAGCAGACGTAAGCAGGAGATCACTTAGCTGTAAATTCATTGGAGTGGGAACTGGTGAAGGACTTGGCAGACATAAGTCAGTGGAAATACACCCTAGGCATGAATACTTTGTCCCGGTGCTGCTGGTGGGCGTTTGTTCAGCGGTAAGTTAGTCGAATACCTACTAGCAAATAACTCGGTCGAATCATCCTGCCAATAAGAATTGATACTCTACCTATTTTATATATTGAAGTGCTCTTTTATAACAGTCAGATCAAATTGTCTTCCTGAGGTTATACACTTGCAGGCAGTTTTAGAGGGATCCTAGTGCTAATTCATCAACTTTTAGGGTAAATTCTGGGAGATATTGGAGTAATCAAGATCATATCAGAGATTATTAGGTTTTTTCTTCCAAAGTTTGGTATTACATGCGGATAAGTTTATTCAGTACTATCAGGTTTTGTATACATCTATTGCGAGTCTCCACGTACCTATTCCCTTTAGTAATACTAGAGCTGGACAAGAGGCAACCTGTCAGATAAACTATAAGCAAACCCCCTTGCACTGAGTAATTTCCTTATCACGAGAACAGAGGTAGAGCAAGACTCCAGCTTCGGTCTCACTATCAAACCCGAGTGCGCCCGGTCTCCGATCATTATCTCCTTTGCTTATTGGTGTAGAAGTAGCAGCGATGTGCGAAATAATCCACCTGTCAGATTAGTGCTTACTTCCGATCCGGAGTAGAAATCACGGTCTCATTGTCAAATCCGAGGATCTGGGCGCAAAAATGAGACTTGTAAGATGTTTGCTTCTGGGGTTATCCATGCAAACAAGCACCCCATATCAACTAGATAGCCAATCACATGCCAGGATCCCCTCCAACAAACAGGGCAAACCAAGACACATATTTGTCATGAAGAGCGGCTGATCTGTGCCATCTCCGACATGGCCAGTCAAACAAGGTGATCTTGAACAGACCATAAATTGGGCCAGTTTCCTGCCAGAATGATGCTTCTGTGTACTTCATTATCCTCTCAATTATACAATAACAATTTTGACTTGAAATCCTGACAAAATGCAGTCACCCTTGGCGCAGAAGAGATTGGCCGGCTTTGACTTGGTCCAAACCAACTATAAAACAGTCGGCGATCACAACATCCGCGCCGATTTCATCATCCCCCAGTCAAACTACACCGGCAAGCGGCCAGTTATCATCCATTTCCATGGCGGGGGTTTCGTAAGTGGCTCACTCACTAGACCAAGCACCATCAATACGTACGATACTAACCTGCAGTAGGTAACCGGAGATGCGCTCTTCTTTGAATGGTTCCCCCAATACCTCTTCGACATCGCGAAACAACACAATGCGGTGATTGTATCTCCGAACTACCGCCTCCTTCCCGAGGTTACCACCCTCGACCTTTTCGACGACATTGAGGATTTCTGGATCTGGCTGCATTCGCCCGCAGTGGCGGAACTTCTCTCCTCCCAGACTAATCCAACAGAACTCGACCTGGATCGCATCATTACTGCCGGTGAATCCGCCGGGGGCACACTCAGCATCTGTCACGCCCTGGCGCACCCAGAGGAGATCCGGGCTGCAACAGCAAGCTTTCCTTGCTTTCTCAGTGCTCCTGTCGAGGATGTTTCCGTACGGAAGGACCCACCTCGTTTGAGCGGTCTGTCTCTGGAAGAGGCAAAGCGTGTTGTCGATGAAGCGATCAGAGATAGTGAAAAGGGAGTAGTCGAATCATCGATTACGTCGCCTGTGCGATTGACTTTAACGCTTGCCATTATTGAGGTTGCACGCCTCTATGAAGTCTACGAACGTGGAACTGAGAAAGACCCCCGGCGGGCATTGCGACACCCTATGGAACGGCTGGATGAGCCGGACGTCAAGTTCCCCCGTGGAGGTATCTCTATCCGACATGGCCTGGAAGATGACGTCGTACCTTTGGAGGTTAGTCAAGCCTTCGTGGACAAGGCAAGGAAAGTGATGGATGGGAAGCCGGGAGGGGATAAGATTGTTTTGGCACTGCGACCAGGGGGTCATGGCTTTGAAGGCGAGACCACAGGAGATGAGGAGTGGTTGCAGGAGAACCTGCGATTTGCTATCGAGGCGTGGCTGGAATAGATTACTTGATACGGTGTACCACGGCACGATCATTCCAGAAGCCTTTATGTCGGACTCAGCCAGAACATCTCTTTTTTTGTTGATAGATCAAGATGATACATAATCTAAATACTATTGCATTTCTAATTTTTATATTCATTCTTTAACTCTCATTGAATTACAGTTCGGTTCTCATCGCTGTACAAAGGTACCATTCTCTTCACAAAAGCACTGCGATGCGATCCGTCTTCCGCAGCCCGAAGAAGCAAGCAGGCACTAGCAAAAGTGAGACTACATTGTAGCTTAGATACTTCTTATAAGTTCTTACCATTCCCATCATCATTGAGCTCCCTAACCTGTATCTTACGAACATTCTCCCTCTCTCTGTGACATTCACAATGGGTTTATTTACCAAGTACAACCCCATTCAAATCAAAGTTATCATGCTAACCAACCGATCCAGATGCCCAATTTAAACGACAACCTAAACAAAGGCCCACCAGACATCCACGCCTGGCTTTAGACAGCTGGATACGGTATAACCCATAATCAACAATTTCCAGCAATCCACAATCACTACGTATATACAATCATGCTACTCTATATTTCGGGCTATTCATATGATCACATTTCATTAACATTACCATCATCATCATCAAATCAAAGAACACATATACCACATCATCCCCTCCACCAAACCCCCCATAAATCAGTACTTAATAAGTCCCATCCTCCCACTCCCCCTCATCAGCATCCTCATCCAACTCCCTAATAGCCCTAGTTCCCCCCGCAGCACCCATTCCACCCTGCGTATCCAACAACGCGGCCTCCCGACCCGCTGAATCAAATCTCCGCTCTTCGAAAACGGGCTCCTCGCCTAGATTCTGGTATCCGGTGCGGACGGTAGTAGCGCCAGTGGGGTCGGTGTGTGAGGTGGTGGCGTAGCGGTGGCCGGTCGATTCAGTTCGGGGGTTGTTGTTGTTGTTGTCGTTAGAGGTGGATGAGGAGTAAGAAGAGTAGGCGGAGGAGGAGCTGGATGTGGTGCGGTAGGACATTCTGTTTTTTTGTTGTTGTGTGGTGTTGTGGTGGTGGTGGTGGTGTGGTTGTTTTCGGTGAGAGTATAGATCGTTTCCGAGTATAATCAGAGAAAGTCTTAATCAATTGACAATTGACAATAGACCAATAGTTATACTCTGCAAAATATAATCAAACAATAGGCATTGTCCTCGAACGAAGAAGGGATACTTATAACCTCCCCCAGTGGCAACAAATGTGATGTCATCCCCTTCCCCCCCATAACAGTAAGTCGTCCCCACCAAACAAATAAGAGAAGATGTATGGGTGTGTCTCCGCACGGGTTCAATGTCAATCAATGGTTCATTATGAAGTCAATCTGAATCATGCTTTCTTTCCTTATTGGTTCGTGATGGTCTCATTCATTGCGGGTCTTGGCCCTTCGATTCTTCCATTGGGGTTCTAGAATTGCTTTCGTCCAGGTGTGTTGCTTGTTTTGCGTAGGTATTGGGCTCAAGAGGGGGGTCAATCGCGTGTACGGTGTGTAGTAAGTGAGGTCATTTTTGAACTATGTTGTGGTTGTTTATTGATTATCCGTAGGTCTACTCCACGTTAGGGGAGTCTACTGTACCAGTTGTTCATATGAAGACACTAGGCCTGGCTGTTCGCAGACTTATTCTATAAGCTGATTCGTTACTACCAATGTTCGCATATCGCTTCCTTCAGACACTGTGTAGAGACTTTTGATGAATAACATTGGTATCATAAAGATAGCTAGCTATCTGACATAAGAATGAAAACCTACTTAAACCGAAAGAAACAACATGGAAAGAAGCTATCTAAAGCAAACACTTGAACCTGCCAGAGACAAGAAGAAACGAAAACATCCTATCTAGAGGAAGAAGAAAAAATGCAGCACATCGCTGTCCATAACGCAAGGTGAACAAAGTATCTATCTAAGACACGTAACTAAGGGCATATCTTTTCATGCCTCGACCAGATCCTCCAATATCTATCGTATTGAGCTCTCGGCTCAGAGCATCGTAGCTTTGATCAATGTTTCCATAACTTTTTGTTGGTAACCCAACAGGCACCTTAGATGGTATAGGGGGGTTGTTTGCCGAGGCATATAGCCGTGAGGGAGAATTAGAGTATGCTTCGGACATGGACTTGCGATGTCCGTAGTCCTTGGGAGGACTGTCTCGATGAACGGGGCTGCGGAAACGAACAACAACTCCCGGCTTTTTGGTTTTTCGTTCGGGCTCTGGGGCCCAGGTATTTGTAGGCAAATGGTCAGAAGGATCAATTTCCCGACCATCATCCCCGATAATGGGGCCTGACTCTCGCGCTGCTGGCTCTCGCGCCGCTTCAGGCAGATAGGAATCGGGAGAAAACGGAACAGGAGACACCTCTCGGCTCCTCATCGATGGGGGTCGGGGGCTGACTGATTTTCTTCTAGGGACAAGCTGATTATTGGGAGCTGTCGAAGTTCGGCTCACAAGAGACCGAGTATCGACAGGTTTCTTCAGAGGATTCTCGTCATAGAGACCACGAGAATGTCTCCTGTTATCAACTGGCTGATGAACCATTTGCAGCGGATTTTCATCGAAATTACCGCTCCTTCGTCTGACTTCTCGCTCATACGCCGCACGATCCGATTCGGCTGCTGCAACTACCGGATCAAATCCAGGAACTAGACTTGCTGGCACAGCGTTTGCTGTGGCCACGGCAGTTTCCTGACGTCTGCCTCTGGGATAATCCCAATTGGGATCCCACGACGGGGTCGTATGCAGACTGTTGTCCGATGAAGGCTTTTCCATCGGCTCGGGCATGGTAACCTGCGGCAGAGGAGCTGGTTGTGTGTACGCCTGAGGAGCCGGTTGCATGTACGTCTGAGGGGCAGGTTGCGTGTACGCCTGAGGGGCAGGGTTCGGCGCCACTGGCACTGGTTGGTTGGAGGGAACCAGTCCTGAGCGATGAGCGGGTGGAGGGGGTGGAAGTCCGTCTTCTTCTTCATCCTCAACACGGGGTTGCATCATCGCGTATGACAGGGAAGAAGGCTGACTGTCGGTGAGAAGTGGGGGCGTATATCCAATCTGTGCATATTCACGATAATGCCCGTAGGCCGGCTGTTGTGCACTCGAGTTCGTCGAGGCAAACGAACTGCTATCTGGTATTTTTGTGTACTCCGCATGATAAGACGGACATGAACTTGTATTGTACGAGCTCGTGGCATTGCCGACGAGTGAGTTGCTGCTACTGTGAGGCGGTGCCTGGCTAGCGTACTCAACTCGGTGAGGGTTTGGAAGGAGTGGAAGCAAGCTGGAGCTGTCGCTCATCGGTGGGTTGCTATGCTCAACATGAGGCCTTGAGTATTCATGATTCTGATAAGTTGTCAATGAAGTCGTGCTATGTGTGGCACCTGAACCGCTGTCTGACGGATTAATAGGATAGGGACAAGGATTCGTGTGGTAGGATCCCGTGGGATTGGCAACGACCATACTGTTACTTTCCAGTCGTTGCGGGCTTGCGTATTCTCTATGGTTGTATGTAGGGAGCGAGGTGGTGCTATCACTCATTCCAGAGCTGCTGTTATCCACTCTTGGCTGTCTGAGGTCTTGATGATGGCTGTGACTGTGGTGGTGGAGGGTTGGAGCCGGGTTCGTGCTCTCATTTGCACGTACCGGTGAGCTGCTCGATGTGCTTGATTGCGCCGAAGATCTCGGGCGAGGATCCGAAGGGAGTGGCCGTCTTTTGACATCTTTCAACTGCCTGGGACCAGAGAGGGTACCAGGGCTAGGCGCCGCGGGACCTGAGCTGAAGGATGCAATCTTCCTAGGGTGGACCTTGTCAGATGCGTGCGTTCTTCTTTCGATCACCGCTTCATCTTCGGGTCGTGTATCATAGTAGGTCATTTCAAGCCGGACTTCGCCAGCGTATTTTCCACGGTATTGCAAGGGATGCCAGTGGTCGTTTTGACTGCCGCCCGGAATAATCAGATCACTCAGATCGACCCATGTTTCTCCAATGAGGTCGGTCTTTTTCTCATCGTTGAAAACAGAAACTTTCAATCTGTAGTAGTCTGGAGATTCGTGTACGTTGAAGCGAAGTTCATCATCCCTACGTCAGTTAGCTTCGTCTAAATGACGTCCAAGTTCAGATGGTGGCAAGATACATACCATTTGGGAGTTTGACCACCTCGCAGGTCTGTACCAGTCTTTTTTGCTTCTTTTCCAAGGCGCGCAGCACAGTACGGGTTCTGCTTGCCCATTGTTTTTCTGTTTGGGAGGTTTTTGGCGCGGTCGGCGACGACCACCAACGTGCCAATAATTGGGCCATCCACGGACATATCCGCAAAGATGCCCGCTGCATGAGCAGCGTGAGCCATTGACGTTAAGCCCCGCTTGGGGACTCTGGCGTCCATTATGTTGCTAGACTATCCTAGGGAGGAATATAATGAAGGAGTGACAAGACGCAGTTCGGTAGGGGTGGATTGATGGAGAGCGTGAAGGAGAGTAACGAAAGACAGATGAGCGTTGGTTGGATGGTTTTGTTTTTCAAATGTGGAGCAGCAAGGTAGAGCAGTAATAGTAACGAGAGACCAGTTCGTTTCGCGTGAAGTTGTTTTGCAGAAAAGAGTGCAGGGAGGGGAGAAAGGGAGGGAGGACGGGCATAGTTCTGGGAGCTGGAGGATCTCGGCTTATCGATAAGCTATGCGCGCACTGATTGGGTGGCGAAAACGGGTGGGGCCGGCCGTAAAAGGGGAGGTTGGGCGGGTGATGTGGCTGGGAGTGGGGCTCTGATTGGCCCGATCGCGCTTTCCTGCTTGATTTCATACAGATCAATACCAGTAATTCTCGTTAGATTACCCGCGTTGTTTGTTCTGATTGGTTGGTGGAGCTGGTGGCGGATCCCAGGAGTCACAAGGTGACAACCTTAGGGATCTGGGCCCCCATGTGGAGGCCGGGTTGTAGGATAACTTCCAGCCACGGATTTCTAACATGAGACGAGTATACAAGACAAAAGATGCTGCACACGCACCTGGATGGGCCTGAAAATGCCACGGTTCCCTTTCTCGCTCTCTCCTTCCATGAGTAGAGCTGTCTTTCAACCGTTCAAACGACACCAAACATGACCGTACTCGACCGCATCAGACGAGGCTATCGCACGAGGGATGATGCTTGCGGTGTCAGTGGAGATGGACAGTAAATCATCCGACGCTGCGGCCGCCCTGCTAGTTGGAGCGGCAGCTCCGTTACAGTGTCTGCCTCCACTCCTTGTGCTGTCGCTGCAGCTTCTGCGACGCCATTGCATACGTCAGTCCCAAAGATTCGTCGAATACGCCTACAATGCAGGGTGTCAATAGTATACAATTCTGCTGCCTGTGCGCTGCATCGGCTTCAGCTTATCCCAGCCACTAAATTAGGCTTGATTCATAGAAACACCACAAGCGAGATTGAGCTTCGTAGGCTGATGTCATGACGGGGCGAAGCAATCTGGTAAGGCGCTCTCGAAAAGTTCTAGTCGTGCCATTGTTCCACCAGGAACCCGTCAGGCCGTGAAGCTGGCAGATGTCTACTCCGTCTTCCGTCTCGGAGAGAGTCAATTGAATTCGCGGGCCCGCTGACTCCTGGTCTAGACTAACCTTGGAGTCGCACCCACGTGGAACACAGGCGGTTAACTGGTTAGTGGTTATTGTAGCCTGTGGCATTCCGCAAGACGATCGGCAGCGGCAGCTGGGGTGTGGCTGATCGGCTCTGCACGGCCGGGCACGAATAAGGATGGGTCGGACGCTTCCCACGGTGTCCCGGGTGCCTGGCAAGCTGGCCAATAGCGGGTGTCTGGGCTTCCGTGTAAAGTCAAAAAGATGAAGCGCCTGGAAAAATCAAGGAACGAGAAAACAAGGACAAACCCCACTCGAGTAGACATCTGCCGCAACTGGAAGCTTGCGATGGAGCAATACGATATGGCATGGTCTCCATGCTTTTTCCCCAAACCGGGCAATCGCCCTGTAGACGGGAAAAGTTCGGCCAGGCACATACGTAGATCAAGCTCCCCACAACTGATCCATAGCAGGATCCATTCTGTATACCCAAGTATAACTCCAATCCTGCCCGATCAGAATCAAAACGGTCGATGTCTCACTCCACAATGGTCCTTGGCTAATCTAAGCTACCATTGTCTGATGGTGACAGCATAGATGTCGGTGCTCAAGTGGGCCTCAGATTGGTGGGCATGAGGTCGGAGACATCGTCACATCTTGTTACACTTGACTGTGTTGTGAGGCGAATATCATTTTTGGTAAGGCGTTGATGAGGCTGTTGAGGCTGTTCAAGACCCCGAATCCAAGTTGTCCAATGCTTGGGTCTGTGTTGGTCAACACGCATAACTGTGGAGCAGACGGTGACTAGAATCTAGATAGAAGAGATAGGAGCTACCGGTCCGCAATGGTAATGGAACTATAGTAAGCGCATTGTCAGATACTGACTTGGACCAGCTTTGCAGTAGTTTCAGCACTTGATTCATGACGTGGTTTGGCGTTCGGCGGTGAGATGGGCCTGGGCCTTTGAATGCGGTCTGGACGTTTGCTGATTGCTGTCCAATGATGGATACGGGGATAATGGCAGTAAGAGAAGAAGAGAGGAGATAGTCCTATGTGTTGTCTGTGTGGATTTGATGATATGAACATTTGTGTGGCTGCCTCCGTTGTCAATAGTAGATATGCTGTTGTTAGTGTCAGGGAAGCTACGGCCCGGACAGACCAGCCGCGAGGTACTTCTGTCTTCCCCATTCATCTTCACCAAAAAGTGAGCAGAAAGAAAGATCCTGGTGACTTTTTGATTGCATAATTAATTGACTTTTATATATCTAGATATATATAACTATTTTGCAATTGAGACAATTGCTCTTCATAAGTATGGTTTCCGGTCTTCTAAGAGTCCTTAAAAATGCTTCTGTCAAATGCTATCCTACAAGTCACTTTCGGTTGTCAGCACTCAACCACATATACCTCAATACAACTTTCCTCTGGACTCTATCTTCATAATGATCGGAGATCAGTGACTACCAGGGTCTATCAACTAATACTAGTAACAGAATTTTTCTCACAATATCGAGAACTATCTCATGGAATACCCATCGTGAACACCTGAGAAAGCACACTACTCATGAGTAAGAGCTACTCAAAGCCACAATGCATGACAGTATATCCCAATTTTTAAATCTCATAAGGGCAAAACTCACAAGGTTCTTCCTGATGGATATAATTTGCTGATGGGATCAACTCCAAATGGACTATAGCAGTATCTCGCGCTAAACCTAATCGGGCGCCGATAGACTTTTCCCGATGCGATAGAGGCTCCGTCCAAAAAATTTCCCCGAACCACTTTGACGACGCCGACAACGTCCAAAGCGCAGGCTGCTGGCTGATCTCTCCCTCTCTCTCTCTAATACAATTCGGCAGTCTTACATTCTACTTCCTATTAATCTATCCCAACCTGGGCAATCGCAGCCATGGCTGCCCCCGTCCTCCCTTTGCAGCAGGTTAAGCTGCCGGCGCTGCCCTCGACTCGTTTGACGCCGGAGCAACAATATTGGAAGACTTTCAAAAATCCTCTCCTCATCCCCTCGCCTGCCAATGGCCCCGTCAACCTCATCACGCAACCTTCCGCTCCCTCCTCTGCCTCCGCCTTCCCCTCCCTCACCCAACCCCCCGATGTGTTCACTGTGACCACCGGCGCCCGCGTCCAGATCTACTCCATCCGCACTCGCAAACTCCTCCGCACAATCACCCGCTTCGATGATACGGTACGAGGTACAGATGTCCGTCCCGACGGGCGAGTCATCGCCGTCGGTGATGACTCTGGTACGGTGCAGGTGTTCGACGTGAGCTCCCGTGCTATCTTGAAGACATGGAAGGATCACAAGCAGCCCGTCTGGGTCACGAAATTCTCCCCCAGCGACCCTACATGCGTCATGACCGCCAGTGACGACCGGACGGTACGCCTGTGGGATTTGCCCAGCGAGAACAGCCAGAAGGTCTTCACTGGCCATACCGATTACGTGCGCAGCGGTGCATTCATGCCGGGGTCTCTGGCCTCCTCCGGCCTGGTGGTCTCCGGTAGTTACGACCGGACCGTGCGACTGTGGGATCCCCGTGTCGAAAACCGGTCCGCAATGACATTCAAGATGGGCGCAGCCATCGAGACGGTGCTGCCCATGCCCACGGGCACCACGGTGCTTGCGGCGGCCGACAACAAGATCGCGGTGCTGGATATCGTGGCCGGCAAGCCCCTGCACATGATTCAGAGCCACCAAAAGACCGTCACGTCGCTGGCGCTGGCGTCGAACGGCGAGCGCCTGCTCTCCGGTGCGCTGGACGGCCACATGAAGGTATTCGAAACGACCGGCTGGAACATGGTCTCGGGCTCCAAGTACCCGTCCCCCATTCTCTCACTGCGCGCGATCACATCGGGCCTCGCCCAGGAGGACAAGCACATTGCCGTCGGTATGCAGTCCGGTCTCCTGTCGATCAAGACCCGGCTGTCCGGACAGCAAAAGATCCGCGAGCGCGAGCGTCGCAAGGAGATGCAGGCGCTGCTGGAGGGCAAGCTGGAGGAGCACGACCGGAAGGCAGCCAAGCAGAAGAAGCAGCGCGGATCCGGGTGGGAGAAGCGCCTGCGCGGACAGGACTTTGTCGGCGAGGGCGTGGACATTGTGATCGAGGGGCGGGACCTCAAGAAGCGGAAGAAGGAGCAACCGTGGGAACTCGACCTGCGCAAGGCGAAGTACTCTGCAGCCCTGGACCAGGTGCTGCGATCGAACGACAAGACGGCACAATTGACGCTATTGACGGCGCTGCGGCATCGGTCCGCGCTGCGGGCGTCCCTGCAGAACCGCGACGAGGTGACGCTGCAGCCAGTACTGCAATGGGTGCATAAGAACATCACGGAGCCGCGACTGGTGCAGCTGAGCGTGGAGGTGGCGATGAACGTACTGGACATCTACTCGGGCAACCTGGGCCAGTCGGCGCAAATCGACAAGATGGTGGAGCGCTTGCACCGACGAGTGCGCGACGAGGTGGAGATGGCGCATCAAGCGTACCAGACGAAGGGAATGTTGGAGATGCTTGCTGCGTGAGCAGAGGCCAAAAAACAAAAAAATAAAACAGATACAAAAAGCATGACCGTTATAGTACTATAGTTACTACTATTGGATACCTGGATGGAGTTTGGTGGCTACATAGATGATACATACATGCATAACTTCCTTTAACCCTCTTCTATACACCCCTACATCCAGTAGATAACTACTACTACTACTACTACTACTACTACTACTACTAGGTAGAATGATCATCATACAACCTCGAAAATCCCTCCCCAGTCGGCTGCAACCAATTCCTCCCATCATACTCCCATCCCTCCGCCCCCTCAATAACATGAAATGTATAAGCAAACCGACTCTTATCCCCCGTATTCCTCTCACTCTTATGCAACACATTACCATGAATCAACACCAACGACCCCGCCTTAACATCCACCACCTCGACCTCCTCCTCCTCCCCTTCACCCCCTTCAACCTTATCATCATCATCAATCTCCAACCCTTTAGGAAACCTCCCTCCCTCGGCATTCTCCACAAACCCCGTCCCATCCACCTCCCCATTTTCATTATAAACCCTAACAAACCTCCTCCCCACCCCGCCATCCCCCCGTCTATGACTCCCCCTCACCATCCCCAAACTCGCATTCCCCTTCCCAGCATCCTGCAACGCAATCCACCACCCAACCGCACTCGGCGGATCCGTATACAAGAACTCGCTATCACGGTGCGGGGGCACCGCCCCTCCAATCCCCGGCTGCTTGCAAATCACCATGCTTTGCAATACCCTTGGGTCTTTGAAGCCCAGGGATCGGGCGATATCTGCGTTGCGTTGCGAAAGTGTGATGGACTTGAAGGGTTCGGAGAGCGTGTGCAAACTATGTCCGATTTTGTTCACCGCGAGGTGTTTGGGCTTGAGCAGGGTGGAGGTGGCTGGGTTGATGGCGGAGGGCTCGAAGAAGAAGCGGATTTTGTCCCCGCTTTCGAGGAAGTAGGTGTCGCCGACGTGTTTGTCTGTTGGGGAGGAGGTGTCGCCGGTGGTGAATTGGGTGAGGGGGTGGGTGTCTAGTGGGAAGGTTGTCAGGAGGTTGTTGGTTTCGGTTAGGCAGGCGGAGATTTCGCTGGGGGTGAGGTAGTCGGGGATTATAAGGTAGCCGGTGGTGTTAAAGGCCTCGAGTTGGGCGGGGGTGAGGCCGGGCATGGTTGTGGTGGTTGTGGTTGTGGTGGTGAATTTGGTGGTTTAGGTGAGTGTATGTGAAATGTGAGGATGTTGTTGGTTAGTTGGTTGTGGGTGTGGGGGAAGGAAAATAGGTGGGTGGGGTCGGTGTCAAGTTGGTGCATGGGCTTTTTATATGCAGGGACTTGAGTTACTTATCGGCTTATCGGTGGGCGGGGGTTATCTCTGTTACTAGTTAGTTACTAAGTATCTGGGGTTGGGTCAGCTGATGAACTGAGTGATGGGAGAAAATGGTACAGTAAGTGTGCGTATAAGAGAAGTAATGTAGAGTAAAAGTGCCTACATCTCCATAACTATGGAGTATAAGGTTGATCACTACACAGCATCCTGATCACCACTCTGATAAAAGCAAAGGGAACAGCAAACAGTTACACAACCACATGTACACCACACTCATCAAACTAAAGCAGCTATATCTCGTACAACACACAGGTTCTAGTCCATCAACGCGGATAATTTTACACCAGTAGGCCAGCAAAAAGTAATGCGGATATATGTGATAATCAGCTACTAAAGCATGCATAGCTACCTTGATGGCTCTGGCTCTCTGCAAGTGTATCTGAACCAAAACACAGATATGAGTAGGTGACAGAAGGGAAAAGGTGGTAATACACAATAGTATCATCATATTTTCTTGATTATATCACGTTAACTATACCAGCTAACTACACCATTTTCAAAATACCAATAACAATAACATCAGGCTGAAAAAGCATACTGCAATCATCCACCAACGCCACTCATTACCAATCAAATCATATCCCTCATTATAGTGTTGCATCCATCTTTAGTTCCATGAGCTCGAGCTCGAGCTCAATCAGTTGATCTGATCCGGGATCAACTCATAACCACCCTCCGACGGCAGCGTAGTACCCGCCAGGATCAACACCCCGGCGACAAATAGACTCACACACCAACTCACGGTGCAGAAGATCCACGACTCATCCAATACCCATCCACTAGCAAACCGGTCTTCATTATCGACGAGATATGCCTATCCCTTCTTAGCATGCCACTAAGCAAATTAAATCATCACCGGGGAACTCACCACAAGCGACATGCTAGCTGCCTGCACCGCCGCCGACAGAATAATCAACAAACTAACGATCTTCCACCCCGACTCGCGCAGACGCTTCCCCCCAGACAAGACAATCAAATACGCGACCACGGTCATTCCCTCCAACACGATGGCAAACGACATCAGAAACCCGACGGAGCGCCACATGGAGCAGAAGTAGCGGTTGTCGCCGTGGCATTCATCATTTTGGGGGAAAGTCTCGCATAAGCCGGTTACATGGGAGCAGCGACGGTGGAGGCCGTAGGTGTAACGCCATTTGGGCTGTATAGTTGTCGATTCTTGTTAGTGGCCGATCGGGCACAGTTGGAAAGGGACGGCATAACCAACATCTTTATCCGTATAGGTGACCCATTTTGGAACGACGATGGAGGCTACGGTGAGACCAAAGGCTGTGTGGAGAGACTTGTTAGTTGTGTCGTGTGCGCATGCACGAATTGCATCGATGGCAGGAGAGCTGGAGCTACTAATTGCTAGCTCCATAGCCAGCGAATCGGACGAGTGCCACATGACTTACAGGCCAGAAATACAATCAGCGAGGCCGTATAGACAATGGTTTTGGTGAGGAACCCAGTATAATTACGGTCTTCCCCTCGAGGCACCAGATGGAAATCCATCACGGCGGGGGAAGCGAGCGGCCAGTAGCGATGACGACAACAAGCAGCAGAGGCCGTGCAGACGAGTAGATGGGGGATGGGCGGTGAAAGGGGAACCAAGGGGGGAAGAAGGGAGAAAAAGAATGAATAAAAGTGATAATTTTATAGGGAGGGAAGAAATGAGAATCCCGACCGGGATAAAGAGAAGAAGAAGAAGAAGAAAAGAATCAGGGGAATCAAGAGGAGAAGAGGAGAAAAGAGGTGGTCTAAAAAGCCGGATTGAAGGCAGAAACAAGCAGGACTGGTCAGGTGGTGACAATGACAGTTGCGCTCGGGAGCTTATCCCCGAAAGCATCAAATCAGTCCATTCAGTATTATCATCATCAAGGGAAAGTGATAAACATCTCTACTCTCGACCTCGAGGACCTCCCACTTCATAAGAAATACCTCAGCATCGTGAAAAGGACCGAGAAGGAGGAGGGGGGTAAGGAAGAGTAATTAATGTATGACAAGACTGACCTGGTCATGTCCTCATGGTTCGCATGTTTGAATGAGGAAAGGGAGGGAGGATAGTTAGTTAGTGAACCCTCTCCATCTGGCATGATACTTCAGTCCATCACCATTCTCCACCGGTATTTCCCTCAGCCATCAGCGGACACAACAGACGAATAAAACATTCCTACCACCGAGTGACTGTCGATCCTTTCGGTCAAAGCGCCCTCCTTCCCATGGCGGGGATGAACTGCTTTGAAGTTTGAAAAGTGTCTACCAACCGGTTCCCGAACGTTGCACTGCAGCTGCTGCCCGGCTTCTATGCTCTTTACTATGTTAGATAGGTATCAGTCATGCCAACTTCGGAAGCAAGGGGCCCGGCCATCCACCGGGTCACCAGAGAGCTTGTTTACCAGGAATTGAGTCTTCATCGGTGTTGCTGCGGGTCACATTGACCTATAGTTACCTCTCATTAGTTTAGTTAACTACTAACTATACTAGTTAGTGGTTACATCAACTGATCTCTCTCTACTCCTGAGGAATTCCTGCAACTCCCCGACCGGTTGACTTGCTTGCTTCCTTCACAACCTGGTCGGTCCACGTGCTGTTTCCATCTGCCAGGATTCTCGGAATGATTGGTGATTGACAGATCAGCTTTACTATAGGATGATTCCTATCGATCTATACATGGTATTTGGAATTACCTTACCGTAAAGTGGTTACCCACATCTACAACGGTATCATTCACAAGGAAAGCAATAACAATAAAGGGAATAATAATAATCTACATTCAACTTCAGCCGGCGGCAGGGTTAAGGCTATATGATAATACACAAAGCGGCAAATGCAAACGCATCAGCAAGAACTTCTCAACATCAGCACTGGCCGGTAGAAGGTCAAATTCACATCACGCCAAGTCGAAATCTTAGCAAAAGTTTAGCAAGAGTAGTAAGAGTAGTAGTCGTCATTAGCAAGCGGAGAGGTAACGCCGGTTCCCGCCATGCCATCCTGTGCGCCGCGCCCTCCCTCAACCCGCTCGACTCCGCTGGATCATCGCTCGGAAGTCTTCATTGCTCTTTTTCGTGCTCTGCCCCTCGCTCGGGGCGGCGCTGTCGGTCGTCATCGTCGTCTTCGTGGTCGTCGTGGTCGTCGTCTGCCCGTTCGCCGTGCTCGTCGCCGTCGCCCGTTTCACTCCCAGCCCGCCGCGCTTGCCGCCGCGCGCGCCTGGCTGCGGCGGGCGCTTGATCGGCTTCGCGACGGGGAAGAGTCCACTGGGCTTCTCTTTGGCCTTGCTGCTGCCGCTGCTACCTTGGCTGGGTCCGTTGCTGCTCTTCTTCTCCGCCGATTGCTTCATCATCTCCGGTACCGTGCCAATGTGCAGTTTGCGCCCGGGGGTAATTTCCTGCCCTTCCAACTCCAGGGACGCTTTGCCGGCTTCATGTACGTCCGCAAACTCAACAATCGCTCCCTGGTGATCAGGCCGCAGTACAATCTTGATCAGCTTGCCATACGGCTCGACGAGTGCTCGGATCCGCGCATCATTCACCGTGTCCGGGACATTCATCAGGCCCAGCGTGCGTGCTTGCCGTTCACTGTTTGGCACCTCCTCGCTCGCCTCACGCTTGGCCCCGTTGACCTCGACCGATGGGGACCGGGTCCCAACGCGAGACAGAATGGTTGTCGCGCTTCGTTTGGCCCCTTGCGGGGTGGACAGCTTCACATGAAGCGGGCGCGAGCGGAACTGCTGCTCGTGCATCACTAACGACGCCTCGGCTTCCTCCTGCAAGATGCATTAGCTCAAAAAGTCTCGCGCATTGGCGCCATCCTTCGGAACACATACCTTAGACGAGAAGACCACGTAGCAGAAGCCCTTGCTGCCGCCGTCCACCTTGCGCGGGATGCGCACCAGCTCCACAGTTCCAAACCGTAGGAATAGCTCCTCCACATCCTGCTCACTGGCTTTCCAGTCGAGGTTTGACACATGAATCTCGCGTCCCTCGTACATGGGGCCCTGGCGGTCCTGTCGGCGAGTCGGGTCCGAGATCTTGGCAACCAGGTGCAGGCCATTGCCGACCGTCGCCCCGTCTAACTGCGTGGCGCTATAAGCCTCTCCGGCCGTCTTGAACTGCACGTAGCAGAATCGCCGGTGCGTGTTATACTTGAGGGACGGGAAGCGGATATCGATAATCTCGCCGTGCTACAGAGTCGGTTAGCCAACGTTTGGATCAGTGAAACACCGGGGGGAAGTCACCTCACGGAACAGGTCGCGAATGTATTGTTCATCAGCTGTCGCTGGGAAGTTGGTCACAAACACCGTAGAACCCGATCCAAACTGAACCTCAATCGTATGCTCATCAATGATCTTCTGATCACGCGTCTGCGCGACAACGGCCTCATCTTTGGAGTTGAACTCGATAATGGCTGTCTCGGACTTGCCGTCATCACTGGACAGCAATTTAGCACTATTTATCGTACCACACTATAACTCAGTTAGCTACTACAATCTCAACGCACTCAGTAAGGGGCAACTCACATGGCGGAAGAACTGCCGGACTTTGTGTTCGGTGATGCCATGGGGCAGATTCTTAACGACGATCGTGGCATTCTCACGATCACGACGAAGAGCGACCGGCTCGGCGGCCACGGGAACCGATACTTCGGCCTCCTCTGCACGAGCTCTTTTGGCAGGGAGTCCGTTCATGCCCGTCTCCTCCTCCCGTTTGCGCTTTTCCGCCTGCGGGGTGGCTTGTTCCACCACGGCAGCTTGTTCAGCCTGCCGCGCGGCCAGCTCCCTTGCGTCGCGCTCGCGGCGGGCAGTCACGGCTCTCATCGCTTTGCGCGTCTCCAAAATCGCCAGCTGCAGCTCATCCGAGTCCTCGTAGTCCTCGCAGTGCGCAATGTAGGTCTGCATGATCTTCTCGGGCCAATCGAGGTCGGTTCGCTTGATCGCCTGCTTCAGCACTGCAGTGGCGTAGCTGGGGTTCGGAGTGCGCCGGGCGGCATCGATCGTAGTCTCGTTCTGAACAAACTTACTCCAGGAGATCAGCTCCCACTCATAGTAAGTCAGCCAGAACTCGTAGCTATTGCCACGACGTCCCACGAGACCCTTGAAAGTCTCCCGCGCGCTGTCCCAACTGCCACTCTCGCTAAGATAACGAATATAGATGCGCTCCAACCGGAACAATGGGTCGCCCTGGTAGTTGCGGCCATACTTCTTCTCGCCCAGTTCCTGGACGCTTTCGATAGCAGACCGGATACCAACTTCTGCCACGTCAATGTCTTCGTCGGTGGAATCGGACAGGAAAGCCCGTCGACGAAGGTAGCTACACCATGCTGTATGCACTTTGAGCACTTCCTCCATGCCGCCCGCGTCCAGCAGACCCGTACTGGTGGCCTTGTGCTTGATATCCGCGATCTTGGAAAACGACTGGCCTTCCCGCTCGGAACTGAGCAGGTACTGTGACCAGAGGCTGCCGGAGCAGGGGCAGTGCCGGGTCGCACGGTCGAGTGTGGAAATCGTCGTGGTATTCGTATTACCGTGCATGGATTCGTCGATCAGGAACATGATGAAATCTTCCCACATGTTCGCATCGGTCGGAAAGCGCAGCACGGCGCGCTGGTATACTGCATTAACTAGGTCGAAATTTGTGTGCCGCTTGCGACGGTTGCGATTGAGCTCCCATTCGAGATATTCGGTGAACACAACCCATTCCTGTCCCATGTCGCCCGCCTCGGCCGCGTTGCGCAACCGGATCTCGAAGTCTTCGCGGGCGGAGTACGTCTCCTTGCTTGCCGTAGAATATTTCCCGGCCATTTCTGCCATGATATTCTCGTAGTTTGCGTTATAATACGTCGAGATGAACCCGGAAAATAACTGGAAGGTCTGATCCCAGGTGGCATGGGGAGTCGCGAGGCGGAGGTCGAAAAACCCTCGCACATGGTTGATCTTGTCCTGTGATGGGTTGCGAGAGAGATCTTGCACGAGCAAGTCAAGGAATCGATCCCAGACCAGATGGCTGTCGTGGATTCTCCACCGCGTAGATTCGGCACCTCGTTGCCACACGTCGAGGACGGACTGCCAAGAAAAGACTTCGCGACCGACCATGCGGTCTTCCTCGGTCCACTGGCTTTGACTGGCGTCGCCGTTGGCCGAGTTGTAGAGATACAGGAGCCACTCGCCGTAGATGCCCCACAGCTTGGTGCTACCGTATTCTTCCTCGATCGAACGCTGACAGAGCTCCATCACTGCGATGCGCTCTTCCACCGATTGTGCCAGCATGCTTTCATCCTGAATCCACTCCGCCCAGAGATCTTCACCCATGGCGAACAGTTTGTCCATCTCCTCTCGAGCCGTCCGCATGTCTTTAAGCAGATCGTACTTCCGGGGGTCGCCATGGATATCGGGGTTATTCGGAGGGTAAACGTGGTTAACGAAGCCAGCGTGCAAAAGGCGAACGAAGCGAACATGCGCGTCGTAGGACTGAGGGTTTTCCTGAATCTGAGCGAACAGTTCCGTCGCCTGTCGCTGGGCGTTGGGGACCAAGGAGGTATCCATATAGCTTCGACGGGCGCTTTCGCGCGGACCATCCGACATTGCGATATCAAACGAGGAGCGCGGGGTAGGAGTGTTATGAGAGATTGGGTTGACGTGGGGGTACATGGTGGAAGGGGACAGCTGGTGCTCGTAGGCCTCGGTGCTGCGCAGGATAGGGGCATTGGATCGCGGCGGTTGATGATGCTGCATTGATGCCAGGTCGGCCAGGGTGTCCATGCCGGGGGTAGACGGTTGTCTTGGGGGAGGGAGGTCAGCCGCTGGGGGAGTACCATTCCCACCTCCCACGCTAGGACCGACCTTGGGACTTATGGCGGGCGGCGAAGGTTCAGGCAGGTGGGATGGGGCATAGACATGCTGCGCAAGCGGCGAGGAAGTCATGCCTTGCTTGGTCGAGCCGGGGCGACTCTTTCGCAAGGGCTTCGGATGAGGAGCAGAGGTCGGGGCAGAGGAAGAGGAATTATTGGGGACGGAGGAAGAACCCGCCGAGGGGGGTGAGCGCCCGGACTGTGAATTGGCATCCTGGGGCGAAAGGAGTGAATTGATGTCCATCATCAAGACTGGTGGCCGGACTGGCGGGGGAGGGAAGAAGGACCAGGGAACGGCAAATGCCAAAGCTGATGGATAGAGGAAAGAGTCAAAGCGCCAGCGAGACTGGTGCTGACGTAAGTAGCAGAGCCGAAGGGAAGTTTAAGGACCTCAGGCAGAGAATCAAAAGGGTAAAAGGAAAGGATGTCAAGTAAATAAGGCAAGAAAATAAGGGAAACCTAGATTAAAAGAACCACCGCAAGACGCCTCATCAACGAGTCCATTCCTGCACCGGTTCAACAGCCTGTCTTGTCCAGACCTTATGACCGGGCGAAGGTTAACTGTCCAGGATTTGGCCGTTCCTTGTCCTTGTCCTGGTCCTGAGAGGGTGGAGGGGTGGCCGGAGTTTGACAGTAGAAATGATGGAGTGGATAGGGAATTAGTCCCGAAGGAAAACAAAGACAATAAAAAGTCTGGAAGTGAGGATAGTATGACAAGTGGAAAAGAGATTCAGAGAAGAAGGGAAGAAGAAGAAGGAAAAAGAAAAGAAAATCAGAAAGGGAAAAAAAGGTGTGGATCTAAAGGAAAATAAAAAGGGAAAAACCAAACAATTGACGATGTGGTGAATTATCGTTGTTGTTGTTAGTTAGTTATTTCCTCTTCCGTTTCTCTTGATCTTGTTGTATGTTATTTTCTATTTTGCTGGTTTCCGGCCCTTTCGGTAGTTCTCTGCAGGTAGAAGAGAGCTTGACGAGTTGGGCGCTTGCGAAACGCTGCTAAAGTGAGGCGCGGACGGAGGGAGAACGAGAACGAGACACTTCTGCGTGGAGGGACCGACGGACTCCCAAGGCTTAAGGCTTAAGCTCTCCTGGTCCGAGCGATAGCGAACCTGGACGGGCTGGTCAGCGGAGAAGTTCTCGGCGGGAACGGATGGGGGAAAGGGAGGAGAAAATGGGTCGATGGAGGGGGGGCAGGAAGGCTGAAGCATACAGGGCAAAAAGAATAATAGAAACGTGGGAACAAACACGCACGGGAAGTCCCTGGATGGCAGAGGATGGGAAAAGAGGGAAGAAAAGGGAGGAGGGAGGAGAACGGAAAAGACCAGAGTGAGGAAAAGATATGTGAGGCCGATGAGAAGAGAGCAGTGGATCGACGCGGTGGAGATGGGAGTTGAGCTCGGCATGAGAAAAGCTGAGCAGACAGCAGAGAGGTTAATGGTTCAGATAATTAATATTAACTAACAATCAATCAATCACCAGAAAGACAACTACACCCTATATCATCTCTCTATCTATCTACCTACTTACCTAGCTACCCTCCACTTCGGACTTGGAAAATTAACAATACTAGCAGACAAAAAAAAGCAAATAAGAAAATACTCTCACCCACCATCTGAAACGATCCAGAGCTGTGACGATCCAGCTAGTTAGCTGCTAACCACCCATGCAAGTGCCTGGAATATCGTCATCGTCATCGTGAAAAAGAAAAGGGTGCACGGGGAGGGGAGGTTCCTGCTTTTTCCCCGCCAACGACCTCGGTGTTTCTCCTTAGTTATAACCTACCCCTACTCTAACTACTATTATTTGTTACTGCCCTGTACTGTTCTTCCCCAATTGCTAGTAACTGGGCTGTGTACATGTGAAGCTGAGAAGGGAAAAAATGTGACGAGGGTTGTTTACAACCTTCCCAGACAGTCAGTCATAGATGAGTTGCTTGTTACCTATCTACTGCCCCGGCTCAACAACCCCCCCTACACCTCTACAAGGCTAGCGATGCAGGCTCACACTCGGACTCGACCCGAGGATTTCATCTCGACTAGTGATGCACTCGGCCAACAATCCCACCGCTTGATTGGTTCTGCGGGCTGTGGAGGCTTGACGATGTCACGGAATGACGAAAGAGCAAAAAATGCTTCCACGCGGATTCGAACCGCGGACCTCATGATTACTAGTCATGCGCTCTACCAACTGAGCCATAGAAGCTGATTGGTTGATATGCTTGCTCATATCACAAGCTTTAGTTCCCATATTTGTAGGTACTGCATAAGGCAAAAAATTGCTTCCACGCGGATTCGAACCGCGGACCTCATGATTACTAGTCATGCGCTCTACCAACTGAGCCATAGAAGCTGGTTGATGTGAATAACTTGCATCTTATGCTACTTGTTCCTATGCTAAACACCCGCTGCCCTGGAATTGGACGGTCCGCGCCTTCCAGAAAGATACGTTATTGTTGCTATCATTACTACTATGCAAACACCTCTTGAGACACGTTTAAGCATATTGAGTAGTACTGCAAGAGTTCTTATTCCCTTTCTATCCACCATACTGTCTATATTCTTTTGCCTAAAGCTTGTCAATCTTGCAGATGTTTTGCCGCTACATTCGCCAGCTTTCCGTGCACACTATATATACTATCGGACACCGTGCCATCATGATGTTGACCACCCACACAGGCCAACTAATAATACCAGTATCACCTATAGCAACTACCACAACGTGTTATTTGATGAGATTGAAGCCAACAGATACCAGCTGAGCCCACCACCGCGCTCATCATAATGCAAACCCCGAGAACCCATCCACCCAATACAAAACCTACAATGCCAGCAGAGGATCATACCCACACCGTCAGCATACTACAGGAGCCTGGCCGAGAACAGAATTGAAAATAGTATCACTGAAGCAGTAATAGTCAATGCACGGTCAGTGTCTCCGCTGTTACCATGCGAACGCACGAGAGAGGTCACCTAGCATGTGTCACACAACAGGCACCCGTGGAAGGTGAGGTATCAAAGAACACCGGCGGTAGCATATAGACCACCAACGGAGACATCTTCCTGCAGGGTATGTTGCTGACAGTTCAGCAGGAAAGTACCTCTAACAGAAGTCCATGGAAGTCTCACCAAGGCCATTGCCCCCACCTCCCTCAATATGATACTTCACGATCGGTATTCACCATTATCACAAATAACAAGAACTCCGCCAATATCGTGCGACGCAGCAGTACCCACGCCATGTGTATGCCCAGCCCAAACCAACCTTCCATACAGCACCTCTACCTCAGATCCTCGCAGCCATTACCCCCACACACGTACAGGGAGCACAGCCAGCCACTTTCTGCAATCCTAATCTAACCTCGCACTTCCCCACCCACTGCTCGGATAGCACCCTTACTTGGATGAGCCTGAACATACACAGCAGGCTTTCCTCGAGCCAATTACCCCGCGTTGACACTGACTCATACACGGTGACTAACCATCCACGAAGCCCATTATCTAGCCCAAATATCCCAATTTGTATCGCCAATTGGTCCAGCGCCACCTCCCTAGCACCTGCCGTGTTACTATCCGCTGCCCACCATTACGGAATTAGTTCGGCGCCGCTAATATATAGCGATGACTGAAAGTAAGACTTATGGCAGTAACCGATTATCGAGACATACAAGAGAGTCACCGAGACAATGCCCCATCTCGAGGCCTCGGATGAAAAAGAGAAGTCTTAAGGGCTTCTTGTCTACCTCTCGAGGCTGGCGCACGGTGTCTACCCGCACCAAGGTCTGCCGAGTGCCAACAATCAGAAACACCCCATACAAAGTCATGAAAAGCCCTAGGAACGGTAGGGGGTGGGCAAGTGGGCCACAAATAAGAACAAAGTATCCAAAAGATCCATGGATCTCCAACCCAATTCCTATACCCTAACTTACAACCCGTATAGAAGCTCATTGCTGGTTGATCACAAGGCCTGGGATATCTTGGATACTGGCGGCTCACTCCACAGGGTAGCCGACCAACAACCACTTAATTTACTTTAACTGGCAAATGTTACCTTCATCACCGGTACCACTGTCAAAAGACGGGCTGATAACGATATGCCTGGGCAAAAATCGGAAGGGCAAAAAATGCTTCCACGCGGATTCGAACCGCGGACCTCATGATTACTAGTCATGCGCTCTACCAACTGAGCCATAGAAGCTGGTTGTTGTGTAGGAATTTTCGGCTGTGATACAATGGATACAACAAGAAATGAATAATGCTGATTCTATGAAAGGTGAAAAGACGGGCATCAATCACCAACTTTGCATTGAGAGAACAGGGGGATTACCACTAAGCTGATAGACCATGAACGCATGTCAAGTGATACCAGTCCTAGCAGTCTGCATTCTCCAGCAGCTTTGCGGCTGGATCCCATCTGCAAAAGCAGGGAATCTCGACTTTGATCGATCTTTCGTGCTGTGTAACCGGCCAGTGATTTAGCTCGGGAGACGGGTAACTATAAATGGCCAGTGGCTGGAGGACCCAGACACTCAGGCGCGATCCGAGCCCTGGAGGATGCATGGCCAAGTCTAAACTTTGTTCTCAGCAGGCATGGATGGATGCATGTAGTACACCTCCTCAATGGGAGGGCCTGGCCGGCTGCTACCCGAACGGGCAAGGCGGTTTAGGCCGAGGCCACCACACCCTTCCGGGGTATGAGGTCATCGTACAGATGGTCTTACGCCGTGATTGGCAGGACCGGGGTTCCCTTTCCAGCCAAAGCCACATGATCCAGCCGCGGCTGACCCTTCCACAATTAGACTAGTGCTTGCCTTGCGGCTTGGAATCTTGACACCGGAAATATCAGGTGTTAAGGCAGAAGCATCCGGCGGACCAGACAGACCCGAGACGCACCGCCAAGGCCCAGTCTTCATCCCGACACTTTTTTCCCTCTGATCTCCGGACCCCGTGCTATCACCTCCAGATTCATCGTCCGTCATGGCCTCAATGGGTGCTGTCCCCCAGTATGGGCAGCTGATCCGGTCCAGTAAGTACTCGCAAGACACATAACCCTATTTTCTTCCCAATTGTGGCCCCTCTCATCCTCACGTCTTCCCTGCAGTCTCTTCAGCCCGGACCGGCCTGACCTACGTCCCTCGCCGCACACTGGCCTACACTGTTCCTCGTCAAGCCTCCGAAGACGGCCCCAACGGCCCCAATGACAAGTCCGAGTCCGAATCGAAGTCCTCCACCTTGTCTTCGATCAAGAACTTCTTCTTCGGCGGCAAGCCCGGCGCCGCCAAGCCCAAAGCTCGCCGCACCACCGCTCCCGCCAAACGCGAGGGTTCCCTGAGCGCCGACTCTATCTTCGCAGAGGATGAAGCCAGCCCCAAACTGGTGGCCTCCGGCCGTACGCCCGCAGCTCGCAAGCAAGCAGGTGCCACCGAGGAGGGCCAGGAAGAGATCGACTATGCCGTTGACCGACGAAACCGGGAGACGATGCAGGCAGTGCTGGACCCGAACCCCAAGGCGCGCACGCGCTGGGAACAAAAGATGGTTGCTCGCGAGATCCGTCGTCGTGGCCGCATCTCGCCCACCGAGCTGATCATGCGGACGGAGCGTGAGTCCCTCTCCAAGTCCCATTGGTTCAAGACCTCCGTCAAGAAGCTGGGTCCTCTTGCTCGTCAAATCGCTGGCAAGAACATCGACGATGCCATGCTGCAGATGCGTCTGAGCAAGAAGAAGGCCGCCAAGGAGGTTCTCGAGCACCTCGAGCATGCTAAGAACGTCGCCGTGGTGCGTTCCGGTATGGGTCTGGGAGCCGTCGAGGGCAAGACCGCCAACCAGAAGCCCGTCACCATCACTCTCAAGAACGGAGAGCGCAAGACCATCAACGACCCTACCTCCATTTACATCGACCAAGCGTGGGTTAACCGTGGCCCGTACGGTTACGACTACGACCACCGCGCGCGTGGCAACATCAATCTCATGCGTCCGCCGTACACCTCTCTGTCGGTGGTGCTGAAGGAGGAGCAGACGCGTATCCGTCAATGGCAGAACCGGGAGGCCGAGGAGCTGCGCAAGCGTAAGGCTAAGCTCTGGACGCCGCTGCCGGACCGCAAGATCACGGCACAGAACCAGTTCTACAGCTGGTGATCAATGTTTCGATTATACGTTTTCGGCGTTGTTTTTTTCTGCTCAATATTCCTAGACCGTTAAGAAGCACTTTATTCCTCTCTGGTGGATTTTCTCAGCATGTGTTTTAAAAACCTCTTTTTCTTGGTTACCTTCCCCCCCGTGTCTCTATCCTAACGTGCGTGTATGATGAGGGTTGCTTCGATCCAAGAATCAATGTACAATACAATATCTATCATCTATATACTTCTTAGTTTCTTTTTCTCTATATGCAACACCAACTATGACATGTCTAGACAAATCACTTAGGAACCCCAAACCAAGGCTCCACCTCCATAACCGGCAACGGCCCCGGAACTCTCTCCCCACGAACAAAAACCGGAATAACACCGCCGGTCTCAAGCGGCGAAAACCTCCGATGCCCAAAAACATTCAAAAGGCTCGTAATTGCCCCGGAATGCGCCGTCAACGACAAGAACATCTTCTCCTCATCGGTAGAAAAGATATCCTGCATCAGATCACGGAAGCGCTTGTCCCGCGCGGAATCGGATTCCCGGAGCTCGGCATCATACATCTCGTCGTTCTCGGTGAAGCCTTCCTCGATGATGTAGGTCGGGTATTCAGTCATTATGGCTGTTTTGCTGGATCGGCTGTCGCAGGTGTGTTGGCCGATGGTTTCGCGGAGGAGCTGCAATCGACAAATCAGTATTTCAGCAGCCTGGAGGGAAGCAAAACAAAGAAATGGGAGAAGGGGAGGAAGGTATATACTATATATTACATACCTCCTTAACAACCGGCCTAAACGGCTCCGTACCCTCCATCCCCGTTCCAACGAAAGTAATCCACGCCGTCTCAAGACATCTATTCAACGGACTAACGTAGAATTTCTCCGGAGTGGGGATATGATGTTCCTTGAGTTGCTGTTTCCAGGTATTGTGCGCGGTTTGCGCTTGGGATTTTCCCACCTCTGTGAGACGGGCGTCGACCCAGTTGCTTGTGCCGTTGCCGGGGAGGAGGGAGTAATGTTTCTTTTTTTATTTCAATATTATCAACAATGGGGTTTTATGGTGGAGAGGGAGGTTTGAGTTTAGATAACTGGTTTACTTACATCCCATTCCTCCGTGCCGTACTCCCGTTCCGCTACGTTATGGTAGCCCTCTCCGTGGCGGCCGAGGAAGAGCACCTTGTAGCGGACATTAGGGTCAGTGGATTGGGCGTTGAGGGTGCGCACGTGGTGGGCGAAGCGCTCCCAGGTGGTTTTTTGGCTATTGTTGTTAGGGCCTAGATCTGCATCTGTGGGGTAGGCGCGGGGGATGAGGCCGAAGTTGGAGGATGCCTGGGAGTGTTTGATATTTAGTTTTATGAGTTGGGATAGGGGAATTTTGGGGTGGACGTACGTAATTGAAGGTGTTGGGGTCGGTGGTGGGCTCGCTTTGGTAAAAGTAGCCTGTTACGGTGGAGAATCGCCAATGCGATTCGGTGGGGGTGGAGGGGGTCATTGAGGTGAGGATAGGGAGAGGGTTGGGTTTGGTTTCTTTTGGATGGAGGAAGTGAGATGAGAATTGGAGATGGAATGGATGGATGGATTGATGGATGGATCCATTCGGTTTGGGGCCCGCTGGAACGCGGATGATGGAGGGCTGTTGATTGGTTGGTGGGATTGTATAGCAGTGGGGACGGTGGACTCGGGATTCGCAGTATGGGATGTCCTTGAGTATAGGGCTACTCCTGATTACCGGTTACTTGAGAGGTCCTGTTCAAAGTTCAGTCAGTATGTGGTCAACTCTACCTGTCAGTTGCTTGAATAGGAGATCAATAAAAGTTAAACATCAGAATGAAATGTATGAAATGAATGTATGAAATGTATGAAATGACCATTCCTAACTGTTCACCTCATGCTCTAGCATGGACGATGGTATCAAGCATAGACAGAACTAACACCGCTAAATAACTGGTAAATGTACATATAAATCAGAGGAAACACGCTTATGCAAAGTTTTAAATCTCAATCAACCCCATCGAAATCCCTTCCCCGCGAGCCAATGCCGTCTAGTCGATATCATGACGAGCTTGCCAAGTCTGGAAAAGCTCCAGGTTTTGTCAAAGCACGTACTCAACCAAGAAGCGAAGCATACAGATAAATCCAAGAAGTGAGAGACCGAAAAGACGCTTTGAAGTACCCTTGACACAATTGTCCGCGACGCAAATTGGTCGTGGACATCGTTGGCTTGTACGGCCAACGAGTGGGGTGTCGATGGATATACCGAAGATCTGATGCGCCAGGAACTGGCGTGTCTCTCGAATATGGCACTGGTCTCAGTGCCGCGGTTGGATTGCACGCTTGCTGTGGCAGCAGCACCCGACGAGGGGCTGGGCCCGCATAGTACGCCGCTGACAGCAGCTGTACTGGATCGGGATGGAATTGATGCCTGGACTGACACATGCATGCGGGCTGTCACAGCCTGGTTTGCTTGTTGTCTGTCCGGAGCATGACGAAGAGCCAGTGCTCCCCGATCTGCCTGACTTGATGTCGAACAGATCTGCAGTCTCTTCGACAGTGAATGGACGAGGCCGACCCTGCGGTCGGAACCAGGTGACCTTGGTGATTGCTGTTGTCCCGAGCAGTCCCGGAACGTTGTCGGACGACCTGTACCGCCATTGAGGTCTACGTCGCCACGACAGCTTGCAGCTGACTTGACTGAGTGTGGCGAGTGGTGTCCAAATTGAGGATCCATCGACGTAGGAGTGGATGGCAAACGGTGGCGATGCCGAAGTTGAACGTATTGAAGCTCCTTTGAACCCAAGCCTCCTGTCGGCTGTGAAACAGTTGACTTACTGGCTGGTGTCGGCGTCGTGCTCACAAGAAGAGATTCTCGTTCGGATCTGTGAACATGTCGTTGCGTGCTGAAGGTCGACTTCAATGGTATGTTGCAAGTAGAAACAGCCTTTTGGCTGACAGCAATTTGGGAGGCAGCCTTCTCGAGACAGTTGCACTATACCTGGATCAGTACACCAATATCCGGCTGCTCTGGGGGTTTACTTACCCGCTTGTGTTGTTTCCTGTGCTTCTCGCAAGCACCATGCTTTCGAACTTTGATGTAGTTTTCTTTCTGAGCTTGCGACCGAGGCTTTTGCTTCTTTGGTACGTTTGTGGTTGTGTTCATGTTAAGATCAAGCACCAGTTCCATGGCCCCAGATGCAGACTCAGAGCCCAAGACTGGTGTGCGCGTTACATCGGGCAGAGGTGTGGTAGCTGGGGTTGTACATGTCCCACCCTGATAAACGCTTGCTGCAGAGTCGGACCAGCGAGGGGATGGGAATGTTGTGCTCGAGTCCGACGACAGTTCCAGGTCCTGCATTGCTGCTTCCTGGAGGCGTTGCATGTGAAGAGCAATAGACGCCTCCATGCGCTTTTCTTTGCTAGACAAGGCGCTTGGATCAGCAGCAGCTTGGAACTCTACCATCTGTCGGACAGTGGTGTAGAAGGGGTCGTCAACCCCGCCCATGTCCTGTGACCATAGGTCGGTCAGTTCCGATCCCATCAGCCCGGGAGTCGGAGATGCGGGCATCTGGTGGAAGGACCCGGTGGGATCCAGCATGGATGGCGAGGCGTCCAATGCATGTTCTCCAAAGCCCTCCATAGGCGCATCATAGTTGACCAGATCAGCGAATAGCTCCTGAGTGCAGACCCCAGGACTCGGACCCCAATTGCAGTCATCAAAGTCGGCAAAAGTTAGATCCATATCTTTAGGGGAGACAGAATCCACCGAAGTGGGATTGCTTCCCACACCTCCGTAGGGGATGTCGAAGGAGTTGTCAAAGTCAAACCACTCTTCACCGGGAGTGGAATGAGCGATGGACTGGAGCAACTGGTCGGCAGCCATGATCGAAAGAGAGACGAGGCTTTGAGGGAGAGTTGATGCCCGGGAATTCAGGATGACCGGAAGGACGGAGGGGGGAAAAGCCGGCCTTGAGATTATTGCCTGATAAGGAAAGACGGAGGAGAAACCTTTCCGACGGGGTGAGTCACGTCGAACCCGGCACTTGGCAAAGCCTTCAAAGATGAAGAGAGGCAAACAACGAAAGAAGGTAACCCTCAGGAGTGTCCCTGGAGATGATGAAGAATCAGGCAGACAAAAAGGAGTGAAGGAAATCGAAGGATGGACCGGCGGTGGTACAAGGCTTACATACAATGGCCTGAACGAGGCTCATCTGCCCCAGCCTGGCGCTATGCCCCTTTCGAGACCCCGACTGCCTGCCGCTAGGCCGCTTTGGGACCCCGACACCCGCGCGCCCCGCGACTGGATCATTGATCTTCCGGCCTAATTTGGCACTGCCCCTTTGGGTTTCACATGGCTATGCTTCACACCGCTTGTGTGGGCATTCGTTACTTCATATAATTCGTTCGATTCTTTGAACTTCAAAGCCGAGGGTTGGTTGCTTACTATTGTGCAGAAACTAGTAATAACCCTATGGCTATCATCAACCTGCAGACTTTCGTCATCCGGGGTGCCCAAACTGTCCCGCACTGGCTCCGCAAGGACAGTCAGTCACATGACAACGTTATTTATAATGATAAGCCTGGAATAAATGACATGATCAGATATGGTAGTCAGTATAAGATTCCATTCATCTAACTAAGATGTCCAATAAACGGAGAGAGCACTGCATCCAGGCCACTACAAGTCTGCTGCTTCAATACATGGTCTACTTGTTTTAGATAGACTCACCATATTCCCCTACTGACGAAAAGGAATTGACGAATGACTGTACTAAACTGTTGTCACTAACATAGTAGGCAGGAGTGCTGCCGACAGAGATCCTGTCAGTAGGCCAAAGACATATCTCACTGGCCGCCTGGAGCATAATGGGGAACAAGAATGTCTCAACAATGACTACCAATGACCATTCCAAAGCTTAAACTTTATGACTTCCATAACCCTATGCGATTTTACGGCAAGAAGATAAACAATTAAACTTAGACATGGAGCAATCCTGCTACCAGCAGCCGTTTGGGTATCTAAAAATAGTAAACAATAAAGAACCAAGCAGATATCTCATCCTCCTCATTATCTACCAACATCCATGGAAATACTAACAAAGAACGACGCATGGATTTGACCCCCAACAACAAAGAGTCTCCCCATCTCATTATTTCATGAATTATATCTACCCGATAGCTCCTTTATAGGTTTCATACCTCAATGCTATAAGTCTATGGTTTATCTCCAGTCTGTGACTCTTCCGCCTGAAATAAGCCGTTGATAAGACCATATAAGGAACAATAGTCCCCGACACAGCATGCTACGAATCCATGGAACCAAGAGATGTTTCCCCAAGATGATCTAAATATGGGCAAGACAAAGCAGTCCTGAACAGATGCTTTGTGCCGAAGGTTTACCAACGCTCATTATGTTACACCGCAGGTTACCGGAAGAGGCCCGTTTTCATAATGGCAGCTTCCGAATACTTAAACCCCCGAAAGTTAGCCAACCCAATACAGGCGGAGCCTGTAGCTACCCAAATCAGACCGAGAAGCCTCAAAGACGTCACTGCCCATCCCACCAATTCATTCTAATCATACCACAACCACCTGATCTATGGCTGCGAAAAGAGTTTCGGACAACGGTCCGAAAGATACCTCCAGTTCACGAAAACGATCTTTGAGGAAGCGGAGGCAAGAGGAAGGAGGAGACGCAGATAGTTCTCCTAGCAAACGGCCCAAAAGGAGTTCCCCCGCTCCATCCCGAACATTGCGATCCCAGACACAGCGGGAACAAGAAGGAGAAGACGAAGACATCTCTCCTAGCAAACAGTCTGAGACAATCCCCCCTACTCCATCAGAGACATCAGAGTCTCAGGAGGGGCAAGGACAAGAAGGAGAGGCATACAGCTCTCCAAGTAAACGGGGCAATACGACTCTCCACACTCCATCCCAGCCACTACAATCCCAGGAGGAGCAGCGGCAGGAAGGAGGAGAAGACACAGAAAGCTCTTCCAGAAATCGACCCAACACGAGCTTTCCCGCCCCAGCGCAACTATCAGGATCCCAAACAAAGCGGCGACAAGAAGGAGAAGATGCAGACAATACTCCTAACAAACGACTCAAGATGGGCACCTTCCAGCCCCGCCCATTATCCCCAGCATCTATACAGGATAGAGACCAGATCCTGCATGCGTTCATGTACGACTTATATGAGGTCAACAAAATACACAACGAAAGTGAAAACAACAGGGTGGCAAGATTGGACTACGAGGCGCGGTGTATTTACGCATCACGGGCCTTAGAAAAGGCCCTTACTTGCACAATATGGTCATTTGATGAGGCCAATATGGATTGCGAGGAGCGAGAAGCGAGCCGACTACGGATTTTCGCCGAGAACTTCGGCTGGCCCATGCTTGCGATATGTGTACAGGCGGAAGCCTTTCGAAGGCTATGTAAGGAAGAAAGCACATTAATGTGGAAAGCCGTATATGGGAAATTTCAGGAACACCACTATAATATCTGGATTCAGGCTTCTACGCGTGGTTTTGAATGGCGCAAATTGTTGGCGCCATATGCGGGGGATGCTGCTCCACCCAAGCTCAACCATGCATTGGCTTCCAGGATTGAAGCGGATGATCTCAGACATACGCATCCTCATGAAATAGTCATAATTGAAGAGGAGAGACAAGTTCGCTCACCGAAATTCCAAAATCGCTTACAGAAACATGTCGAAGCTAGCATTTTTCACCCAAGGGATTGGCAAACGGCGAAGGATCCAGAGCATCGGGGGCTGAAGAAGGATCCAACCCTGCGAGAGGGCCTTAATTATGGTCTTTGCGATCTCTGCGCGGAAGGGAAAATCTGTGAATGTCAAATAAAAAAGGCCCCCTTTGAATTCGTGCAGTTGGTGGAAACACCTAAGGGTGTCGGGGTACGTGCTCTTGCGCGATTTGAGAAAGGAGATATCCTGGGTGAATATGTTGGCGAGCTCCATCCACCTTGCTATAAAGGTGACCTCATATATGCGCTTACGATGCAGGGTAAAGTCGACGTAGATGAGGAAATTGCTGTAATTTGCCCGATGGAATATGGGAATTTCACTCGGTTTATCAACCACTCCTGCAGGCCTAATACAACTTTTGAACGGCGGACAATTGGAAACCGGGCAACGATGACCGTGGAGGTCGTGCGGGATATTCAACCTTTCGAGGAACTCACGATCAACTATGGCCGGGAATATTGGAAAGGTCGAACATGTATTTGTGGAGAGGAAGGGTGTTACACTCAGCAAGAGAGGAGGAAAAAACGGCAACAGGAACGGGAGATGGAACGGCGAAAGCAAAGGGATATGCAACTTGAAGCATCTAAGAACGGTGCAGAGGAAGTGAACAAAGATAAAGAAGAATGTTTAGCCAAGGAGGTTAATGAGGAAGAGGCAGCAGCAGCAGCAGCAGCAGCAGAAGAAACCGACGAAGAAGAAACCGACGAAGAAGAAACCGACGAAGAAGAAACCGACGAAGAAGAGACCGACGAAGAAGAGACCGAAGAAGAAGAGGCTAGAGAAGAAGAGGCCGGAGAAGAAGCGGTCGAAGAAAGGCCACCAAACAAGAAACCCGAAGAAGCAAAAGCGTCATCAAGGAAGGGGTCAAAAGAAGGATCATCATTGGAAGCAGAAGAAGGGCCATCAAAGAGAAAGCCCAAAGAAAAGATAGCACCATCTAAAGATGGGACAGGAAAGGATAGGGAAGAGAAAGAGAGAGCAGCACAAAGAATACATCAAGATTGGGTTCCTATCCTTGAAGACTACAATGATTACCCTCGTTGCAATGACGAAGAAGAGAGAGGAGGAGGAAAAGGGAAGGGAAAAGGGAAAGAAAAAGAGAAAGGGGAAGAAGAATTGGAAGGAGAAGGAACAGATGAACAACAAGAAACATCGGAAGAATCGTCATCAAGAGAGTCAGAAGGATCCCCTTACGTGTTTGTCGACGAGGAGGAAGAAGAAGAAGAAGAAGAAAGAGAAGGAAGAGAACACTGAATTATAATGTTTCTTCTCATGGAATGAATTATATCAAAGGGGCTATATACACTTCAGATGTTGTCTATAACAGGTGCATTTAGAGAGTTGCTTTTCGCACCTTACTACTCTCTATTCCAAATTAAGTTTAGCCTAATTTCAAATGAACTCATCACCACCACCAACCCCATGTCTACTACATCACCCAACATTCTCGTCACCTTCCAATAGAATTGCCCGTCTAAACTAATCCTATACCTCCAATCCGAACCCAAACCCAAACACAATCACAACCGAGCCAATATGCCCCCAACTCCCGGCGAATCCAACCTCCAAACCCTCCTCGCCTCCCTCTCACCATTTCTCCACCCGGACATTTTCGTCTTTCTCACCATCCCCCACACCAGCATCTCCCAAGCAAGTCCGGATCTCCACACCCTGCAACCGCAGCTCCTCTTCCAGGAAGCAGAAGGCACCACGTACATTGTGACTCGTGAACGTGCCGAAGCACACGGCTTCACGGACTATGTCTTCCCCTGCCGCATGATTACCATCAGCGTGCATTCTAGTCTTGAGGCAGTGGGGCTGATGGCTGCTATTAGCGCTAAGCTTAAGGAGGCTGGGGTGAGTGCGAATGTGGTTAGTGGGTTCTATCATGATCATGTTTTTGTTCCTGAGGGGAGGGAGGAGGTTGCGATGAGGGCGTTGGAGGAGTTGTCGGGGAAGTGAGGTGAAGGAAATTGTTTGGTGTGAGGGAGCATATTTCTTGTAGTATTGATTGGGGGCATTGGGTAGATATTGATATTGAAGGGAGCTTTGTAGCATGTCATTAGGGGATGGTGTTGAGATGTACTATTAGTATCCTTAACCGTGCTGTTTTTTATGACCAAAGTTATCCAGTTTGCAATATCGATGCTAACCCACACTAATCCAAATATTATATAACGATACAATGTGTCTCAAGAACCATAAATTATTACCCAGTTGATCATAAACGTAGCGTCCAGCGCCAGTACGTCAACAAATCCAGCGTATCTACTTGCAGTTCATCGTCTCAATCGTAGTTTGGCCGCACGCACCGCCAAGCCAATACCGCGTGATCAATTGCGCAGATTCGGTGTTCTTGCGCGAAAAGTCGTACAGCTTGGAATGAGCATCTCACCGTCAAATTCGGCTTCCAGGACGCGGGCATGGCGAGGGCCCATTAGAGATATGACCAGCATCTGTCGATCCAAATTAGTTTATCATAGCGTAAGTACTATATGAGTGCATACTGGGGCAATGATATGCGATCGTAGAGACCTGGTTCTCAGACGAGCAGCCATGATATCGGTGATAGTCATAATCTCCCCGCGGAGCAATCGACCATCCCAATCGCTTCACTTTCTAACATAGCTTTGAAGTGTGGGTAGTTCCCTTCTGGATATTCGGTCACTGTTACGGCGTACCAGTTGAACCCGACAGACTCCAGCAGTTGACCGAATTTGTAGTCTCCAATTCTGTCATAAATGGTCAGACACACTGCTTACCATAAAAAGGTAAGATTGGTGCTGAAAGGGGACATACTCTCGATATATGCCAGAGGGAGGAGGGTTATCAGGATACTCATCTGATGCATATTCCCAGCTATTGCTGAAATGGTTGGTAAAAAAGATCTCCATATCACGAGTATCCCACAGGATATGCTTCGGATCGGGGGGAAATTCTAGAAGATCCTTCTCATTCTCCTTCTCTGGGAGGGGCAATTCTTCTGGATATGGGTTGAAGAAGCGTGGGTGATGTTCACTATCCCCATCAAGAGATAATGGTAAGTGACGAATACTAGCTGCTTTCAGGTCGGAGGGTTCAACATGCTGGCTAGGAGTTTGCCTGTTCAGCTCTTCAGTCCTAGCCAACTTGTGATCGCGATCAGCTCGCTCGCGCGCGAGAACCTCATCCATCTTGACTTCTGCAAGTGAATGAATAGAAGTAGATCGGTGATTTGGGAAGAGATCGGGAGAGAAGAGTCCGTTACCAAAGGGGTGCAGGCTGCAAGGGTGGCGACCGCTGCAATCTAAGGCACAAGTCATCTTGATGTGGGCCCTGATATGGATCGGGTTGGGTGCATTTGTATCTGTCCGAATACAATGAGATGAGCATTACTCACCAATCAGTGTGGAATGGCCTAATGTACCACGGATATTGGTACTACAATTTTCAGTCTAGAACAAACACATCTAGATAGAGAGACAAATTGGGGGGGGTGGGTGGGTGAATGTGGCTTCGGTTATTCTCGGGCCAAAGTAGTCAGGAACCAATTGAAGGGCAGCCCTAAATTAAGCTGGGGATTCATCCTAGTAAGCTTCATTTCTCCGCCCGGGGATCGGAACAGTTCCGGCCTGAGGAACAAGAGTACAAAGTAGCTACTTGTATATCCCCGATTTTATCCCTGGTAGAGCTATCATAACCAGTGCCCCAAGAGTGCTGTTGATTAAGATTAAGTACTCAAATCAATTGAGTATTGAGTGTTACTGCAATAATAGCTGCAGGTACTAGTGTCCCAAATAGGCAAGCCGCCTGCATCAACCCCGCATCTACAGGACACGTGAGTCCCGGCCACATTCCTCCAGCTGCCTTTAAATTACTCCATCTCTTCAGCTCTTCATTCTTCATTTTGCCAATTGTCAAGGCTAGATTTCAGCTCGTGTTCACTACTCTTCAAGTTTGCGTGGCGCAGTCCGTGCTCTTAGATATCCGCCGACAATCCCTGGTTGAGCCAATCTAGACCCAGCTTTTGGTGAAGCTAGAAGCAAGGGGAGGTACATCCTGGTGACGAACGCCACGATCGCCACCTGTGTATGGGTAGAGTGCTATGAGCATACCTTGCCACAAAGCCAGATGCGCGTCGCTTCAGTTAACTGTAGAGGGCTTTTTCACAGAAGATGCTCTGTGAGGAGGCCCCTCCCGGTGGCAGCATTACCGGGAAGACGTGGACTGTTAACGACAAGCTATTCTCGAGGTCCTACAGAAGTAAGCATGCTCATGCCATGTTCGGTCAACGTGGTATCGATGCAATCTATTGACATAATATCAGCCTCCACTGTTAGATACAGTGATCGGAGAGCACTTTGAAAAGGTCGTCAGCCAATATGGCGATAGACCAGCGTACGCTTCCCCTCTACCATCAAGCTTGTACTTTTGAGGAGCGGTTCTGACATGGATAAGTGTCATATGCAAGCAACAAAATGATCGAGCGACATATTCTTCCCTTGATGCTAGAAGCAATGCCCTTGCGCGTGGTCTTGAATCTGTCGGTGTCCAGACCGGAGACCGTGTGGGCGTCATGCTAGGGAACTCCATGGAACATGCTGTTGTATGCTGCCAGCCTGTGAAAGTCTTTCTCAGATATCTCGTAATAACCAAAGATCTCGCAGGCAACCTATGCACTTTTCAAGCTGGGTGCGATCCTGGTAGGTAGAACGCTTACACGCCATTAGACCAGGGCTGATACAGCATTAGGTTCCACTCAATCCATCATTCAACGCGACTCAAGTAGTCTCCGCCCTGGCTCATCTAGAAGCAAGTCATCTGATAATTAGCACCGAATCAAACCTCCCCCGAAAGGACCCAAGAAGCAATATCCCACTTCTTCAACACCTGATTCCGGACCTCTCCAAGACCTGCATCGAGTCAGAATTAGTTCCCTCACTGAAGAACATCATCTCAGTCGACAACTCATCCGGTCGTGTCAACACCTCCGACTTCAACTGCTTAACAGCCTACAAATCACTTACCTCTGACGCAACGTCCGACAAGAGCGCCCTACCACCTCGCAACTTATCCCCAACCGACATAGTTAACATCCAATTCACATCCGGAACGACCGCAATGCCCAAAGCAGCATGCCTAAGCCATCGATCTATTCTCAACAACGGCTCCCAAATCGGCGACAGAATGCGCCTCACCCCGGAGGACATTGTATGCTGTCCGCCCCCATTATTCCACTGCTTCGGATCCGTACTAGGATACATGGCCACCGCCACCCACGGTGCGGCCATCGCATTCCCAACAGAAGCCTTCAATGCCAAAGCAGCCCTCCGAACTGTGCAAGAAGAAAAGTGCACTGCACTTTACGGCGTACCGACAATGTTTATCGAAGAGCTCAGTCTTCTAGACGAAGGGGAAATCCCCAACGAAGGCTTCCAGTACCTACGTACAGGCATCGCAGCCGGAAGTAGCATACCCGCGGAGTTGATGAAAAGACTACACAAGGTCCTAAATCTCACCGAGCTGACAATATGCTACGGAATGACAGAGACCAGCCCCGTCTCTGCAATGACCACGACAGACGACCCCATTGACAAACGGATAAACACCGTTGGAAGACTACTCCCGCATGTTGAAGCAAAGGTCGTGAGCCTGGATGATCACAATAACATTTTGCCCATCAATACTCGCGGAGAGCTCGCAGTGAGCGGCTATCTCCTGATGAAAGAGTACTGGAATGATCCGGTAAAAACGGCAGAAATTATGATTCCTGATAATGACGGAAAAATTTGGATGCATGTGAGTACTACACATTCTACCAAAATAAACACAGTAAAGCTTGCTTGCTCCTTATTAACCTTTTTGATTTAGACGGGCGATGAAGCCTCCATGTCTCCCGACGGTTACATTACCATCACGGGCCGTGTAAAAGACCTCATCATCCGCGGCGGAGAGAACATCCACCCATTGGAAATTGAGAATTGTCTCTTGACATACCCCGGCGTGATCGATGCCTCGGCTGTGGGCGTGCCAGATGAGCGTTATGGAGAGGCTGTGGCTGTGTTCATTATCCACCGGGGACCTGAGAGTGAAGCTGCGGATGAGGATAAGATCCGGCAGTGGGTTCGTGAGAAGCTGAGTAACCATCTTGGTATGTTTCATTTAATTCACCGAAATGCTCTGTCAAATCTTAAGAGATCGCTAATTGGTTGGTATAGTGCCAAAATACGTTTTCTTTCTGCAACCATCAGAGTCATTCCCCAAGACTGCAAGCGGCAAGGTGCAGAAGTTCAAGCTTCGGGAAGATGCCGTCAAGATGCTAAAGGAGAAGTATATTCCTAGCTGAGTAGTTATATTTTGGCGGTATTCATCTACATAGAGGAACTTTGGAGTGGTATATAGGGCATACAATCTTATTAGTTCAAGTATATCATCTGAAAGAGCGTACCGAAAATGGTAACTCGACTGTTAATTATTGGACATATGTACTTGAATATTCTATATCGTATGCTCCAGAACTGCCGGTAGATATATACCAGGTCTTCAGTCAACTTTTTCTAAATCAGATTCTACGTTGCTTTGATTGTCATCATGTTCCAGATGTCATGACTGGATAATCTATTCATAATAGAGCGGGTTGTTGTTTTGTTAATAGCTTAACGTTATATATAAGCTGGTAGGAAGGAGGGCCCCAGGCTGCTCCAAATAAAGTAGAATCGAACTCCAACCCCGCTCCTCCTTCAAGTCATGTACTATCTATGCCGGAACCGGCGCATCTTAAAGACAGAACTCGACCTCTCCTCCCGTCTATCTAAGGGTGGGGGTTAAAAGATCCAGAGGGGAGTGGGTCGCCATTCTACTTCTTAGATTAGCGTGGCTTGTCATACTTATATCCGAGTCGCTGTCCCGGCTCTTCCGTGCTCTGCCAGGGTTCGTCTGTCACGTCCGGCCTCACTACCTCTCCCGATGTCACTGTTGTCAGACACGCGGGGCCGCGGAGCACTCTTGTCTCCCTGGTGTTCTGCCCCCAGGTCCCTAAGAAGGCTGCCTCGCTGTGTCGTTCGAAAGCGTCTCTAGGTCCGTTCCGTCATTATCCGTCGTCGGATATACTAGTAGTCTACTAGGTTCGTTACGATCGCGACCCGTCCCGACAGGCAGTGCTGGTATGCGAAGGATTAATTATGGTACGCCTTTTACAGATAAATTAGTTATAATAGAGTTATCTTATCAGAAGCTCAGGGACGCCACTTCTTAGAAGAACAGGCAGGATTGTATCATCAATAAGTGAGAAATGAGATTCAATATACTTAATTGGTTGTTTCCCGGCCACTCCTGGACGTGGAGATGACCGAAAAGCCTCTCTGGTCAAGCAGTCGAACTGGGATGTGCAAATACCCTACTTGGACTAGCAATGCTCGCTTGGATTCAGTGTCCAGCCAGCCACAGTGGGATCATCCCGCGGGTACAGCATGCTAGGTATGCACCTTGCTGCATGCTTGGCCAATCAACAAGCGTCACGCAATCAGATTCAGTCAAAATACACGCAAGGCCTGTTCAATTCAGCTGAGCTGGCGCACAGATGAACATAACTCACTACCCCTGAACAACAGAGCTCGTGCAATATTCTATGTATAATGCAACGGTCGAAGATATAAGCAGCGGATTATCTACACCAAAGGGGTTGCAGTGCCATAATGTCAAGAGAGATGGTCGATATGTGCGTCAGGTGGCATTTAAACATGCATTGGCCGGAATTGCCGAGGTGCTTTGTGAAGCGGACGAGGTACTTCAGATCTCGAATATCGGTATCTGGAATGGAAGATCAGCAGCGACTCAGGTGAAGAGATCGCACCTACTAGATGAGACACTGCACACACCACCGATTTACAGTTTGTCTGTAATGAGTGGTGGGTCCCACAATTGAGTCTGTGCTGTAGAGAAACCGCATATCACTTCCCAGAACAACGGAAGTTTATGCATGTATACATTACCAGCTGAACTGTGGGGCTTTGTTAGATTAATCTCTCTACCCTCCATGGGGTTGTGTCCTTTCATGTCCTACTTACATCTTTTTCTCTGCGAGCAATTATCTGACAACCCCCATACGCGAACGGCAGATTGACCAGACTGAAGGCAAAATGTTTGACAAGCTGAAGAAGAAGCTACACCATCACAAGAACAAAAGTCATGCTGCCGAAGCACCTGTGAGTATCAAGGAAAAATATGTTGTGTTGTTGCGTAAAGCTCACATCTTCATTTAGGAGTTGCCGACGGCAGATGATGCAAAGGTAGCTTCTCCCGGACTCGAAGAAGAGAAGAAACTCCCAACCAGGAAAGCCGCAAATTCGTTGCAGGCCGACCCACAGCCTGCGGCACAGCCAAATGCTTTTGCAAAAGATCTCTGGTGGGACGCCCTCCAGAAACTGCCCGCTGCGAAGCAGACTCAACTGAAGAGCATGGGATTCGGAAAGCTCGGCTCGGGGGAATCGGTCGAGACTGGTATCGACGATCTCGTGGAGGCTGTCAACAAGAAGCAGGAAGAGTGTGAGAAAAAATTCTGGCGTGTCTCAGTTGGAGATAACGACATTGTCCTGCGGAACTATACAACGAAGATCGTCGGTTGGGTGCAGAAAGCCGGTGATATTGCAATTCAGTTCGCACCGCCGCAAGCTAGTATGCCATGGTCTGCTATCAAGTCCCTCATGCAGGTGGGTGCTTCACAAGAGGTTATCTGTTCAATTGTACATGCAAAACTCACAATCAATAGGTCCCCGTCATTGAAGGGGAACAGATGGCCGCCTTGCTAGGAGCCACTGAGAAGATTGTTCGCATCGTCAGTCGGGGACAAGTCTATGAACAAGTGTACTTGTCAAATGTCCCCGGCTCACCCGAAGATAAACTATCGAGGGGTCTGCAGGATGCCTTATTGAGGATCTACACTACCTCATTGGAGCTTCTAGCAGATTCGGGCGGTCTATTCTCTAAAAATACCGCTCATAGGACCCTTGATGCGATCCTGAACCCGGGGAATGTTTCTAGCGGGCTCTCAGCTCTTGCACAGCAAGAAGATGAGCTTCTTCGTGATGTCCAAGCATGTGAGACTCGACGCAGTGCAGCAGCAGATGATCGAATGATCGGGATGCTTGACGCTCTGAATGCTCCATTAACACGAGTGGATAAGAATGTACAGACTCTTCTTAAAGGGATGGAGAAGGAAGGGCGCATTGCATTGCTGGAATGGATTTCGTCGGTGCCGTTTGGTGACCATCATGGCAACGTGAAAGAGGGGAGGACACCCGGAACGGGTGAATGGCTGTTACAGGACAGTAGTTTTTGTAGTTGGGAAGAAGCCAGCTCATCTGGTATTTTCTGGCTTCAAGGCTCTCGTAAGTCTTCAGTACACTCACCATTTGTTCTTCCATACTAAAGCAAAGCTAGCCGGTACGGGAAAGACGTACCTCACATCGCGAGTCATCGATCTTTATCAGAGCATGCTGAGCGACCCTCCCAAAGATGAGGGTTTCGCCTTCTTTTACTGCAACAGGAATGAAGAGGATCGTGGAAAGGCACTGTCTGTTTTCCGAAGCTATGTGCGCCAACTTTCAACTACCCCGGCCAGTCCCGAATCAATCCAGACTGAGTTGAAGAAGGCATGCTCGGAGGCTCGAGAAAGCGGATCAAAGCTCAGCTTCGAAACCTGCAAGGAACTAATTGCTGAGTCTTTGAATGTGTACCCAAAGACTACGCTGGTGATTGACGCTCTCGACGAATGTGATTCAGAATCTCGCGATATAATAATTGATACGCTGAACACTCTTGTGTCTGAAACGAACAATACCGTCAAAATATTTATCTCAAGTCGACCTGATCCGGATATTCAGGCTCTATTGGTGAGGAGTACCAGCGTCGCTATTCAAGCAAGTCACAATCAAGCCGACATTCAGAAATTTCTCGAAATACAACTGGACAACCTCGCCAGAAAGACCGCCTTCATTGGCCGGATGAAGGCAAAAATCATTGCTAAGCTTCTGGAGGGTTGCCAGGGAATGTAAGATTCCGGGATCACCCATCCAACAGTACAAGGTTGCTAATGTTCGATAGGTTTCAATGGGCGTCGTTGCAGGTTCACCAAATTTTTAGATGTAAAACTGAATCAAGCGCTTGGAAGCGACTCGAAAACCTTCCAGAGGATCTTCAGAAGGCATATGATGAGATATGGAATGAGATTGAAGCTTTAGAGGAGCCAGACAAGACCCTCACTAAACGCGCGTTGACATGGGTAATGGCCGCACACAAGCCCATGAAGACCAATATGCTCCTATCTGCGATCCGTGTAGGATCAAAAGATGACGAAGAATTCTTGGCTGATGAGATTGACGAGCAAGGGTTACTATCACTTTGTAACAACTTCCTTGTGATTGATTCAAAGATGGGGGTGTGGCGTTTCTCACATGCTTCGGTCATAGAATACTTGGAAAGCAGGCACAATTGGACCCTCCCTCAGGCACATTGCCATGCCGCTACTGCTTGTCTCTCGTTTTTCATCAACGTCTACGAGGATGATCTGGAAACTGTGCCCAATGAAGAGCTGCAGGATTTCTGGCGGAGCGAAGAGTCCATTCCAGATGGAAAGTTCGACATCATCGACATACGGAACCCATTTCACATCTACATTAGACACTACTGGGTTGTCCACGTGCATGGATCCGGCTGTTCCGAAGAAAGCACGGTGGCATCCCTTTTGAAGACCTTCCTCGGGGCCCCCGATGACAGCAGTGTACAATATCGGACATGGTACAGGCAAGTGCGGCTTGATGCGAGCATGAAGCCCCTTCTTGACAACTCAACTGGCTGGGACATCTCTGGCTTCGATAGCAATACCTTCAACTACTACCTCCCTCCCCTGGAACTTATCTATATTCAGATTGGGTATATTTGGGGGAGCGAACTAGAACCAGAAGATGCCGCCATTTTCGCCATGTGTCGCTTCGCATTTGACAAGATTCTGTGGGGATGGTGACAAAACAGAGATATCAATATCTCTCGTCTGAACCAACGAGGCCACGACCTTCTCACGGTTGCCGCCATAGGGGGCAGTGTGCCGATATGCCAGCACTTGATCGCCAAGGGCGTCGATGTCAACTTCCGGATAGCCGCTGAGGGAGATAACATTGACTACGGAAGTGCTCTTGTTGCAGCAGCACATAAAGGACGAACTGCAGCCGTCCGCTGTTTAGTGGAATCCGGAGCTGACGTGAATATGTCATACTCCTATGGACAAGGGCGATTTAGGAACGCACTGGTAGCTGCCGTGGATGGGGGTCATCTTGAAACCGTCAAGTATCTGGTTCAGACGGCGAAGGCTGACCCCAACATACCACCAGAGGATACAGATCACCTGGGTTCTGCTCTGGGAAGAGCAATTGTACAGAAAAACCATGAAATGGTCAAGTGCTTGGTGGACGCTGGAGCAGATGTGAGCAAGCCGCTAGGACGCATCGACTACTACAGTGCCCTTGAGGCTGCCGCTCACAAGGGGCAACTCAAGACTGTTAAGTACCTGGTTCAGAAAGGAGCAGATGCAAACATGGTTGCCCAACCGTGCAGCCTTGAAGGTTACTTTCACGGTACTGCCATTGAAGCCGCAGCGCATGCTGGAAAGATTGATGTTGTCAGGTACTTGGCTCAAGAGGCACATGCCGAAGTGAACGTGGCACATTCTTATGGCCATGGCAGTCCTCTTGTAGCTGCGCTCGCAGGCGACAGGTCGAGGTGGGATGGCGATGACGGGGCCGACGAGGATGGTGTCGACTACCTGGAAACCGTCAGGTGTTTGATCCACGAAGCGGGAGCTGACGTCAACTTACCACTTCGCTGTGGTGAATATGGCAGTGCTCTCGCAGCCGCAGACGAGATTCACGAAGTCAAGCTTTTGCTGGAAGCAGGATCTGATGTGAACATGCCATTGACCCAGGGTAAATATGGCAGTGCTCTTGCAGCTACCGCTGCAACGTCTAGAGACCCCGAGATTCTGGAAGCTCTGCTAGAAGCGGGAGCCAATTTGAATATGCCTCTTCCCGGTGGGGAATATGGCAGCGCCCTCGCTGCTGCATCTGCAGTAAATGAGACTGAGGCGGTCAAAGTCCTTCTACAAGCCGGAGCAGACGCAAATATGCAAATTCCTTACGGAAGCTATGGCAGCGCCCTTATTGCTGCGTCCGCAAGAGATAATACTGAGGTGGTAGAGATCCTCCTAGAAGCCGGAGCAGACGTAAATATGCAAGTTACTGTTGGGGAATACGGTACCGCCCTGATAGCGGCAGCTTCAGCTTGGGCTGCCACGGAAACTGTCAAGTGCCTTTTGACATCCGGTGCTGATGTGAACGCACTGCCGGCAATTGGAAATTATGGAAGCGCCCTAGCAGCAGCAACTAACCACGACATTGTCAAATGGTTTCTTGAAGCAGGAGCAGATGTGAACGCGCATCTGCCTCGTGGCGAATACGGAAGTGCACTTGCGGCAGCAGCCTCCCACAACTTATCGGATATTGTTAGAACACTGATAGATGCAGGGGCCGATGCCAACATGCCACTACAATCCGGAGAGTACACCAATGCCTTTGAAGCAGCAATTCCTACGTTGAATCTTGACATCCTCAAGGCCTTTATAGACGCAAAAGCAGATGTTAATCAGCCAGTGAAGAAGAAAGACTACGGCAATGCCATCACCATTGCTGCGATGTCTGAATATGACATCGACAAGCTTGAATTCTTGATTGAGGCTGGTGCAGACCTGAACCAGACCCACCCCGAGGCGAAATATGCGACTGCTCTAATTGCTGCTGCGTTCTTTGGACTAAAGGATTCGGCGAAGCGCTTAATTGAGGCTGGAGCGGACGTGAATATCCGGCTGGAAAGAGCGGGCCTTGCTACTGCTCTGCAGGCTGCCCAAACTGCTGTCACGGAGGAAGATATCGAGAAGTTTAAGACATACTGTTCCACGGATGAGCGAGTGGCTGAGGAGGTTAAGGAATTGGAGAATGGGAGAGCTGAAGTAGCCGAGCTACTTCATCAGCATGGCGCGACTTCTTGATTGAATGAGGAGCCTTCTAAACAGATCAACGGCTAAATCGAAGACAGGCGTTTCTAATTGAATAGTGCTAAGTATTTGCGTCTATAAAGGCCTTGAAAATGTCAAGATCCAAACTGTCATTACTGAAGAGATTTACGATTTAATTTATAAGGCCACAAGCACATGTTGTAGTTCAAAGTAAAAATTGGTTCTCGATCACATCCGGAAACTTGAGGGCCCTATACACGAAATGGATACCAGAGAGATTGAAAATCAACAATCGTATCCTAAGCGAATATGAAGCTCTGTTATTTACTTGGCCGAGCCTTCTAGTATCACAACAGGATGACTTGGCCACTAATCTCATGTTCCGTAGTAATGGGAATAAGATCTACTTCCCTGACTGAAGACAGAGTATATACACCATTAAGCCCACATGTACTTCAATTGTTTTTAAGACAAAGAACACCTATAGTACAGATACCATAAGAGCATAATTTGGTACATATCTAGTGCAAACCGAATAAGTTCGGTCTGCCAACCCGCTAACCATACTCAACACCAGCGACTTTGGCCACTTCCCCGGCGTAGGTTTCTAGATCCTCGCATCAGCTGAGATACGCAGCTATCGGTCGGTTTGAACCTCGCTTCAACGTGGTCATTTTCTGAGTAAGTTGGAAAGGCGCGTATAGTCCCTTCCACGCGGTACCTGTTCATGTATGGCAAATACAGCCGTGGAGATCGTACCACGATTCTGGGTTCTTTAAAGCCACATCAAAATAATGGAAAGGATATCAGGGGTGGGAAAACAGGTCCATTCATCCTTGAACTTATATCACTGAAATTTTGTAAATTGTTTTGATATTGAGGACACATCTTAGGTAGTAACCACAAATAGGGCAATGAAAGGACAGGTAGATGAGCCCCTATTGGGTCCAAACCAGATAAATCAATGAACAAGTAGCAGAAATCTGCCCGTACCAGCATGGGGGGATAGAAAGGGTTCATGTATGGAAATATATTAGCCAGCACGCAGGCTTCATACCATCATTTCTTTGTGTTTCAGTTTTGTTCGACGAATGCGAGAGACTCGTCAATGTGGAAATTGGTAGCATGATACCTTCTGGCTTTGATTCTCTGAGCTATTAGAGTCTCATGGTATATGTATCTTATCTTTCAGGGCCTTTGTATAGTAATATGAGGTTTTAGGTTTTTCTGTCTTCTCTTACAAAAAGATGAAGTAGTAATATAGTATCATATTCAAGTCTTCTAGGTGGCCTTTACGTGCCTGAGAGCCTCCCAGAGTACTAATCGCGGCTTGATAATAAGAAAGCATCATTTTCACGCAGACGAAAGGATAGAAATGTGCAATGTTGATAGATGGATAGTTATACTAGGTATTTTTCAGGTCTCCTGTATTTCAAATCGACAGGAGAATATAAGAATATCATCCAATCATATACTGCTTCCTTGCTCGAATTAGCCCTCTAGATCTTCTTAATTCGAGCTAGTCTTTCAAGAGTCTCGCCCCTTCGAGGCGTAGTCACTAACGTCAACATATTAGAGTAATTCTGTTGACACACAGCGGCGAAGTGGACATCTTATCCAAAAGTAGCGGCACGATAACAGTCGGCTTGTTGTATATAATCGAGTTTGAAGCATCAACTTAGAACATATTAGATATCGGTTCGTTGACTTGGTATGTGTCATTGAAGTCAATTGCGACCATAATTTGGGGCCCAATTCTTTAGAGGATGAACCGCAGTATTATCATTGCACCGCGGTTCAATGTGTGTAGTAAGCTGAGAATATTTTCTCAACTAGAGGATTGATTCGAGGACCATCGACCCGAGTTGAATTGGCTCTTAGTGACTTATTCATCACTCACTTGAATATACTCGCCTAATGATGTCATTTGACTTGGTTGTCTCGGTGTCCGTGTCTGATGAGTGCCGTGGTGGTGACAGCCCCTGGGAACCTGACAATGATGATGAGTATCAGGAGGAGAGGCAGAGTCTGTAGAATCTGTTTCAAGCCCGAACGGAGAACAGCAATCAATAGCTTGAATGCAGGGACTATTCAAGGCTTCGTCGATGGTGAGCCTTTTCTCGGGGTAAATGTGCAGCATCAGGAGGATCAGAGACCATATGTAAGGGCTCGGGTAGTCTGCAGGCCGGAACCCTGGCTGCCATTTGTGGATATCAGCCCAATCAATAAGGCTGACAGAACGGCTTTTACGAAATTCCGCCCAATTAAGTACAAACCTTTGGAAATGCCTATCCTTTTCAATGTCGGCGACCTCCCAGGCCATGTTATGGTTGAACAAGTATCGTCCGATCAAGGCACAGGCCCATACATCAAGCCGGCGAGGGTCATAGTATCTACTGTACCATACCTCATGTGGCAGATAGGGTTCGGTACCGCAGATGTTTTTATTCGAACACTGGCGGACACTATCGGGATTTATCTCGGGGTCCCTGAAGACTACGGCGAAACCAAAGTCGGTTATCTTGAGAACACCCTTTTCCGTGAGGAGCAGATTATCTGGCTTCAGGTCTCGATGGGCGATGCCATGGTTATGAAGGTGGGATACACCACGTAAAAGCTGCTTGAACAGGCATAATTTGCCAGTGGTGCTTAGCCGACCGATCGAAAGGACATCTAAGAGGTCACCCTGGCTGCAGTATTCCATGACAATGCTACACTGCCTCTCCTTGATGCAAAGGTCAACAGATTTGACGACATTTGGATGACAAGCATGACGAGCGACGATGAATTCTTTACGAATATCGCGCACGAAAACATCGTATGGGGCATACTTCCTCTCGAAGAACTCCTTGGCAACATAACGAGTTGTCTTGTCTTCGCCGTTGCGCTTATAGACGACGCGGACCTGTGCGTAGGCTCCTCTGCCAAGAACCTCGCCTTTGCTACTGTAGAAGGCTTCCTTCATCTTATAGGCTTTCATCTCCTCGAGCACATACATACTATTGGATGCTTCGGAGGTTAGGCTCGTGTCGAAGTCGTCGGGGACCTCCACAGCTTGGTAGTCGCTGCTTTGGCTAGAAGTGGGCTTGGAGCCTGGCATGATCAACTTCCCAAGGCAATCATCCAGCTCGCTGGAGCCGACACTATGGTCGATGCTCGAGAAGGAAGAGGAAGAAGCAGTGGAAGACATCGTATTTATATCAATACGAGTCTGTTGAGACGAGTGGATCTTGATCCGAGCCACGATGGGATATACCTGGAAGCAAGGTATATCCGATGAGATACCGTTGTGTAGGTCACAACGAGAAATAAAGGGGAAAGGATAGAGAAGGGAGTGGAGGAGCAAGTTTTTGCAGCCAATATAGCAAATGGTCGACTGCAATAGTTAGAAAGCTAAGTTGGGCTTATAGAGCTATGTCCTGCTATAGCTAGAGCCAACAGTACTTTGCAGAACAAGAGTTGAACGATGGAAAGGAGGATGTTGGCGACGGGGGAGTTTCTGTGGGAAGGAAGCGGCATCTAGGCAGTAGAGTCATGTCATACTTGCACTTCGACGAGTTTTCTCACGACATCATGACATGACTATGGCAGGGCAAGCGATGCCATCAGCAACACCAGCCTGGAGCGTCATCGCTCCAGAGCCATGAAGGCCGCAGGCAAAATCTCGGAGATGATGTAGACGCCTATTTCCTTCTAAAGGGTACATAATAGATATAGATACAGATATAGAGTATGGATATAACAAATTCACCAGGTGCTAATCGATGAAATTGAATGGCATCAGGGAAGCGAGTCTATTCTGAGTATTGAATGACCGAGGCAAGCTACTTTAGGAAGGACAAGATTAGATTCAACGAAAGTTGGCTCTGTTGATGCTATAGACGAGCGTTAACACTACTTAGTGGAGTCCAGCCGCCAGTCTGACGTTTCATTCTTCCCAGACTTCCCAAAGCACATTGAACTGGGCCAAGGCAACATGACCCAACCACTTAACTATGCTGTTCCTGCGTCTACAGCACATATGGTCAACGCATGAGCAATAACCGACATCATTGTTGGAGCCTCTCAGTAGGCCACTTGGCGGACTGAGTTATCAAGATGCTGGTCCTGTGAAGCAGTGAGGATGCCGACTGAATGGCACGTGACATAGCTAACGTATCCAGTATTGTTCCATCTTGGATATAGTTGCCTTGTTCCACAGGTATGTCCACGGAATGCAAATTCATCATTGCTAAACCAATGTATAGCAAAGAGCACTGCATTCTCATTGCGGCGTGGGGGTGACAAGCTTGCTAAAGCAAGAGCTTTGAGGTATTTCCCTTGCTCATTTATGACAGTTCCGATAGTGTGCTATGGACATGGGGTTTACCCATTCAGCGAGAACACACTGCAAACAAGTGCAGCAGAAACTTCCGCTCCGAAGCCAAAACCGCAAAGCAGTTGAATGATTTAGAACCTGCAGGTAAGCGCAGAATTCGAAGGAGAACGCTGTGCGTCAATAGCCACCAGGATTTCCGAGCAAGCCACAACACCCAATCGAGCAACATCGGAGTCCTGATTTGACCATCAGAAATCCTGAATACCAGTTTCGCCTTGCAGATGAGACTTGACTTCTCCATCGTCTACTCCTTCAACAAGCCACTCTGGTTCTTCATCGTCAAAGTACTTTTCCTGCTCGACGTTCCAATCATCGTACTCGTCATTGTCATCAACCGCAGTATAATCGAAATCGCCGTCTTCACCCCTTAAAAACCGCAAGGTCATCTCCCATCGCCATGCCTTCTCCCCTTCTTCCTTATTCGGGGGAATTTCGTCTCGATCTTCCGCGAGGATCTCTCCGTTGGGACCACGAGTATAGCTGAACATGGCGTGAGGATCAGGGTGGGAAAGAGCCTCGAACTTGGCCTCGGATCTACACAGGTCCGCTTGCAGCACACCTGAGAAGCCTTTGGCACGTCCTTCGGCCTCCCTCTCGGCTGGAGTCTGGAATCGACGGATTAAGCGATCATACAGCAAGGGGTCTGCAGGGCTGGCATATTAGCTTGGCTTAAACATCCCCTGTCATAGACAGAGCGACTGAATGTGAAACCAATCAGTCTAAAGGAGACAGAGCGAGCGGACCGGCTAGCTCGAGATCAGCAGAGAAATACTCCGGATGCATGTCCAGATAGCGCTTGCGCCGATTTTTGATTCTCGTCGCCGCAGATGGTGACTGGGTTCTTTTTACGGGGTCCGACTCCATCTGCGAAGAGCCTGCCTCAGGAGCGACACCCGTACCCATGGGAAAAAGAGGCATAATGGGGGTAGTAGTTGAACCGAGGTGGATGATGACGATGGGAAGTTGGAGGATGATGAGAAGCGCGGCGAGACACGCGGGGAAACTAAACCCATTCGGGCCGGAAGCGCGCGGACGGCAAATGGAAATTATCCTCAGCGTCAAAACGTCGCCCGAGCGAATAATGACCGTCCGTTGATCAGTCCGACTTTCTATCTGAAAAGTACCGGTAAGACTAGCCTGGTTTCAATCTGTTTCACAACGTGGGTCCCTCAGGGATTCTTCTTGGCTCACGTTGTGGCGTTGCATTGAAGCTCCCCGCCCCAGCTCTTCCGCTGTTAAATAGAAGCCAACAAACATACAGTCGCGAGATGGACCTAGACTAATTGGTTCCTACAGAAGCTCTCAATTGATCGGTCTTACCGGATTCCCTCAGGGTTGGAGGTCTGACATCATGTCTTCCCTAGCTGGTCTTGTCCAGCCCACCACCAGACAGCTGCTGACTGGCACTGCTCTGCTGTTTCTGACGGCATTCTACTCGCCATTGACGGTGCTGATGCTGACGCCAGTATATGGCTCGGCTCCTGCCCATATCTTCCATGGCTATGGAGTGGCACTTGTTGGCGCTGCTGGATGGTTCCTTAAGGACTACATCCAGCGATTGACCGGCCGCCGGGCTCTTTTCCTGCTCCCTGTTGTGGCATTCTGGGTTCCTACCCTTCAGAGTTTCTTGTTCGCATCAAGCTCCGTTATGGGAAACCCCTTCGGAGCTGTGGTCACCGAGGTCATTTCCTACTACCCTTTGGTTCTGCTCTCTGTGGCTTGTGCTGGTAAGCTGGTGCAGTCGGGCTTGGATCTGGGCCAACACGGTGATGCAGTCGCCGAGCACGTTCCTCTCGTGGTCTCCTATATCCTCTACAAGACCGGCGAGAAGTTCGCCAAAGCATTCCTGGCCAAGTTCATTGGAACAACCTTCTTCTTTTCTCGTGCTGGTCTCCAACTCTTGCTCCCAGTCTTCTACACCGCTATTGCTCCTTCCAAGTTCCTGCTCTTCGCTATTCCCTCCCTTCTGTTCTCCATGACGTCCAATGTCCACATGAACTCTGGAGCCTTGAACTCTTTCCTCAACGAGGAGGGATTCGCCCTTGTTGCCCGCCAGGACTCTACCACCGGCTACATCTCCGTCTTGGATAACCTGAATGATGGGTTCCGTGTCATGCGTTGCGACCACAGCCTGCTCGGCGGCCAGTGGACCAAAATGCCCAACAACTACAACCCTGCCGTGATGGACCCGATCTACTCGGTCTTCACCATGCTCGAGGCCGTCCGTCTGGTTGAGACCGACCACGGCGAGCCCCGCGTTGATGCCAACAGTAAGGCACTCGTCATGTAAGCTCAGCAGCGACCCCCTCTCACTCCAAAATTTTAACCTCTCGCAGCGGCCTCGGTGTCGGCACCACCCCCTCTGCCCTCATCCACCACGGCATCGAGACCACCATCGTGGAACTCGACCCTGTCGTGCACAAGTTCGCCACCGAATACTTCCACCTTCCCTCGAACCACATCGCCGCCATCGAAGACGCCACCACCTTCGTGAAGCGCACCCCCCCAGCCCAGTACGACTACATCGTCCACGACGTCTTCACCGGAGGCGTCGAGCCCCTCGAGCTCTTCACTCTCGAGTTCCTCGAAAGCTTATCCTCCCTCCTTAAGGACGACGGAGTCATTGCCATCGTAAGCCCTCCCTCCCCTCTAAACTCCCATCACCTCCCCATCATCCCACAACTAACCCCCCCAAAAGAACTACGCCGGCGACATCTCCCTCTACCCCGCCGCCCTAACCGTCCGCACCATCCAATACGTCTTCCCGACCTGCCGCATTTTCCGCGAAGCCTCCGACTCCGACCTCACCACCGACTTCACCAACATGGTGATCTTCTGCAAGAAGAGCTCCGCCACGCCGCTCACCTTCCGCGACCCCGTTCCGGCCGATTACATGGGCAGCAAGTTCCGCCAGATGTATCTGATGCCGAAGGTGGAGATCGATGCGAGTCGCTTCGAGAGTATCGAGAAGGGCGGTCGTCGTGTCCTTCACTCTATGAACACCCACCTGCTTCATAAGTACCAGGATCGGTCGGCTCTCGAGCATTGGAGTATTATGCGTCATGTGTTGCCTGATTTTGTTTGGGAGAATTGGTGATGGCTTTGATACTATACTCTTCTTTCGGTATGTAATTTTTTTACTGTGTCTCTGAGAGATAGATTGATTGGTGTTCGTTGTTGTGGGTTCGGATATTTGTATTCCTACTAGTACTAGGTGTGGTTTTGGGTGGTTATTGCATAATATAACTTTATAATATCATGATTTAGTTTTGAGTTTGGGAGTACATAGTGTGTCTGTTCTGTCTTTAAAACCACGCCCAACACAGAGTATACAATTGAAGCTATTCAATATCTATTCCTCAATACCCACAAGTCGGACTCCAAAGCAACGCTAACGAAGAGAAGTCTTTCAACCAACCATATTCAAAAGCTAAAAAGCAAGCACCGTAAAAAACGCAATAGATACTATCGAAAAAAATTCATTCATCTTTCTCCGACTCCTAAGAAAAAAAAGAAAAGCCAGCCTAATCCATTCTGGTATCACAAACAGCAACAGCAGCAGCAACGAGAAAGCAGCAGCAGTAACAACAACGAGATGTCACCAAGCCAGCCAGGCCACAATCCCCCCGCGTTAGTTATAATCACTCATTCCAAATATGTTATCTATGTACTGCATCGTGAATGTGTGAAAAGGAAAATGAAAATGAAAAAGAGAAAGAGGGAATAAAGCTGAAAGAAAAAGGAAAGAATAAAATTACAATCCAACATCAACATCAACATGAACAATGACCGCCCTAATGACAGGATGGAAAAGAAAAAAGAAAAAGAAGAAACAGCATCTACTACCCATCGCCGGTGTATCTGATTTATCTTTTTACGCTGATGGGCTGCCGCGGGGACTTGCCCCGGGTTTCTTGACCAGGCCGGCGAAGAAGTTCGCCAATGCTTGGTTGTGGGCTTTTTCGTCGCCGGCGGATGATGAGAGGGTTTCTTTTCTTTGGGAGCGGCTGGCTTCGCGTTCCTGTTTGGGGTTGGGGTGGTTAGAGATATGCTAGATTGGGATAGGGGATGGTGAGTGGGTTATCTTACCTTTAGCTTGCGGAGCATGTCGTCTGCGTCGACTTGGATTCCTCCCATGTTGAATTGTACGGGACCGATATGTTCATTGACTCGCCCGTTGTCGTCTAATGGGGACATCTCGAGCTGGGGCACCTTCTTCACGGAGCGGTCTTTCTCGTCCTCCGCCTTCAGTTGCTCTAGGACCTCGAGCTGCTTCGTGAGGAAGCTCTGCATATCGGATGTGTCCACTTCGATCTTGTTTCCGTTCCGTTGGCTGCCTGTTAGAGCCATTGATGTGTCGCGCTTCGGGTCCTGGATGGTTTGCTCGAAGATCGCTACGGCGCTGGTTCCGTCGTCCACTGCGTTTGCGGTTTGTTCGTCGGAGTTGCGATCGTCCACGCCGTTCGTGAGAGGCTCCGGGGGATCCTGAATCTCGATCGACCATGCTGTTGATATGCCTTCCATGTCAAAGCCTTCACGGATGATTCGGATCTTGCCCCAAGAATCCCAATTCGAGGGAACCAGGATCTTGTCCCGGTCGATCACGTTGTGTTTGAGGGACTGTCTTTTTAAGAGAGAGTGTATGCCGAGGGAGGACTGTATTAGGCTCTGCAGGGAGTTTGCGAGGAACGGTGTGGTGTAGATCAACGACGCGCCGTCTGTTGCTGTTAGAATCGGATCTCAAGCGGTATTGGCTGCTGTACTTACGCTTGAGTAGTAGTGTTCTCATGAACTGAAGGATAAAGTCGAATTGCTCTTCGTGCCATCCGTGGTCCTTCTCCAGCTTTTCAATTTTGTCCGCCTGCATAAGACTGTCAATATAGACTTCCCGGAAGCCCGAAGTAGATCAACATACCCCTTGGCAGACCACACACATGGGGATTCCAAGCCCCTCATCCCACTCGCCTGGCCCCAGCGGTATCGTCACAGGGCCTCCGGAGCTGGTAAATCCTTGTGCCCCTCCTGAACTCGGATCCGTGCCTCGTTTCCGGTCCCTCCACTCTGTGAGATTCTCTTCCATGACGATCTTCGTCTCGTCATCGAGCGATATCAGCACGTGTCGGAGAAGACGGACCCATTCCCGGAGTCGCCGAATCCATGTCCATGGGTCCGACCAATCCAGTAGGATCACGACGAGTGTTTCCGGAATCGATTGAGGGGTCAGGAGCGGCTTGAGGAGGGGAGCGAAAGATAGAGAAGGTTCAGAGAGTAGGTATGCAGAGACGCGCGCAAGAGTATCTATTCGCCGGAGCACTTTTGTTCAGCCACCCATATAATGCAGGCTGAGCCTACCACTCAGCCCAACTCAGGGAACAAATTACCTTCGTGGTCCGCATCCAGCACATCCTGATATGTATACCCCAAAGCGAACTGGTTGGCTACCGGCGGTACCCTCCCCTTTCGCTTATCGTTTGACAGACTAGGATCGGAAGAATCGGCGGCGAGTGTGTCCAGGAATTCTCTTTGACTCTCAGGCGTGCCTCCTGGAAATCAGTCCAAGTATTAGCGACCCACCCCAAAAACAGTAAAATGCCGATGCCGTTCGACGGCAGCAGAAACCAGGTCTTCGCACCTAGGATAAGCAAATTCTTCTCAGGCAGACGCTTTCCATTCGCGACACTATCCAGCATAGAAGACCAGATATTCTTCTTCGGTCCATCCTTGCTCGACGGCCGGCTATTGTTTCCGGTGCCGAACCTGGAGCCGGGGATCTGGCTTGACGCAGACATCGTCCGTTCGATTTCGACTAAATTCAGTTGGCGCAGACCATGCCATGTAACGTCCGAATAATTGTGAGGCTAGTCCGACGGCTTTGACGCGTGAGCCGCGGAGTTTGGAGGAGATGATGGATATCGGTCCAAGCAAGCGGACTTGGGGTCAGGGGAATCTGGCGTTGGGGACGATCTCTTGTAGCGATTAACGGCGGGTCCGTGGCCAAATTGCCCACCCGGATGAGCTGTATCGTAGGTAAGCCCGCTGTTGCTATTTGAATCACACAGGTGGTGGGGGTTGTCAGTTCAAGAGGAAGGCGGTTTAGTCGAGAAATACGTTTAAGTTGCACTCCAGTAAACAATCCAAAGTGTCGGCGTTCTTGCGGGTGGGACCCTCCCGCGGAGCCAGCCCGTGATGAGCTGAACCCGCCAGCTTTTCTGCTGCTTCCAGTCCCTCCCTCTCAGCCACTCACTTTCTTGCTTCGCCGGCGCAATTCAGCTGTGCTCTTATTTGACCTTCTTGTTTCCCGAGGGGATTATTGACTCGCTCCTGCGACCCTCTATTCAATAATGAATAATATCCGCCAAATTCAAGCGCTCAACAAGCGCGAGCTTGAAAATGCCATGTATGTCACGCTTATTTGCAACTCAACTTATTGTTTTCTTTGCTAACCATTGTGGACAACCTCAGATCCCCGGAAGCTTCCTGGCACGCCGACTACAGAGACACCGCTTACATATACATCGGTGGACTACCATACGATTTATCCGAGGGTGATATTATAACCATCTTTTCGCAATACGGCGAGCCCGTGCACATAAACCTGGTGCGCGACAAAGAGACCGGAAAGAGTCGAGGCTTTTGCTTCTTGAAATACGAGGATCAACGCAGTACAGATCTCGCTGTCGATAACCTTGGTGGGGCAACAGTGCTGGGGAGAGTGCTGCGTGTGGACCACGTGAGATACAAGCGGCGGGATGACGAGGAGGAAACAGACAATGTCGCAAAGCTCATGGGTGATACGACCAGCAAGGATCATGATGACAGAGATACAGATGATGAGCGGAGAAGACGGAGGAAGAGAAGGGGAAGCGAATCAAGGGAGGAGCCCGCAAGACGGCCTCTGCTCAAGGAGGAGATCGAGCTACAGGAGCTGATTAAGAACCACGACGAGGAAGATCCAATGAAGGAGTTCCTCATTGAAGAGAAGAAGGAGGAGGTCGCACTCGCTCTGGAAAAGATGCGCAGCAGCGAGAAATCATCTCGGAGACGTGACAGCCGTGAGAGATCAAGCCGCCATCACCGTTCTCACCGTCGGAGACACGATGACGAACGAGACTCGGAGAGAAGACGCAGAGATCGGTCGCCCAGAAGGGAAGAGCGATCTCATAGAGCGAGGTCTCCTTCTAGAAGGGAGAGGTCCGACAGAGACAGGACGCCAGTCGCGTCGCGATCCCCCGACTCCCGACGCTACAGAGATAGACATGATCGACACCGTTAAATGTCTGGAAATGCTATCTAAATATTAAATATGCTAATGAGGACTGAGTCTCTTAACTGATCCTGGGAAAAAGCCATCCAATAAAAGATCTCCAGGATCTTCGTGGCCGAATGCTGCAGTCCGCGCCTGTTCTTGAAATGCAAGTCTGCTGGTTCATCATCCTGCGCCGGCTCATGCGATATCGTGTCCATCTCAGAATCAATGCTGTGGCATGGGCGCATGCATACGGATCTTGCCTGCATCTGGAACAGCTCCTACTTTGGTGCAAACCGAATAGGTAGTGCTGCGAACAATCACTCTTTATCCCGCCGACAGAACTTCAGCTGCCTCCCAAATATCTTTTCCAGCCCTCTCTGAGGCAATACCGCTTTCCATCGTCTCCTTCGCGCAGAACGAACTTCTCCCATCGGCCATCCCTACCGGCGCCGATAACAAGAATGGTCCTATCGTCGCGCCAACCTATCACGCCTTTCGACGGGCTCCCGTATGAGTTACCCAGGGGCGGGACATATTGCGAGCCGGGTAGTGCTTCCTCCCCCATTTCAAAGTGGGCGCTTGCGAATGAATACACATCAGAGAATACCCTTGGCAATAGTGGGATTTTTCCGAGAATGCCCCATTTCTGGTTTGTTTGTTCTTCAGTCGGGGTAGCTGCAGCTGGAGTACGGTTCGTTGGTAGTCGGGGATGCGGAAGGTCGAACACGTGCAGGGTAGACTTATCCGAAGTTACAGCCAGTAGTAAATTCGAGGGCGAAATGGCAAGAGAGAATATCACCGCATGATCAACACCGCGTCGTAGCTCGGCCATTTTGGTGCAGTTAGCCGTAGAGAAGACCCGGACCAAAGTGCCCTAGATAGAATGCGCCTGGTCAGTAGTCTGCGTCGCATCCATAATAGTAGGGGTAGGGGCGTACCGCTTCACTCGCCGTCGCCAGCACTTCGCCATCGGGGCTCAATGTCATCGCGCGCAATGGCGTGCTGTGTGCAGGGATGATGCTGACATTCCCCGTCTCAAGCTCTACCAGTTGGACCTGGCCCGGGGACCGACCTGGAAAGGCGAGCACCTGCTGCCCTAGACAAGCCAGTCCCAGTGGGTTATCCGTTGTCTCGAAATATGAAAGCTTCTGCGGAGGGTTCGAGAAGGCAAAGATGTGGATGCTATTGAGGAGGGCGACAACGATGCGCGACTTGGACAGTCGGACGCCCAGGACCGAGGTGCGGAACTCCAGCGTAATTACTGCTTTCTGTCTTGCGTCATCCCAGATGACCAACTGCGACCCCTATGTGAGTATAAGCTGCGCAAGATAGATACAGAAGCCCGCGCACCTTGTTTTGTGGGAACTTTGGCTGTCTACCTCCGCCAACGATAGCTAGGTAGTTCGTCTGGCCAAGCATCTTGACTACCCCGATGCCGGCATTGAAATCTAGATGGAGCGAACGGCATTAGTGATACGGAGCTGGAGGATGCGGGGCTGAAGCTATCATGTATACCTCTTGATACTCTGAGCTCACATGGGTCGGTATTGAAGACTGCATCGAGATTATATTGTAAGTTCTTAGTTTGGGTATCCCGGAAGGGAATCTATTGCAGGAAGGGCATGGTTAGGACCTACCACAGAAGCCGGTGTCCAACCCAACTGCGAAGCAGGAGGTATCATTGTTGAATGTAGCAGAGAGTGAGAGTGGCCCCACAGACTCATCGATAACTTGTCGGGTGTTCATTCTGGCCACCAGGGAAAGAGGCCATCAGAGCTATGGATGGTAGAAAGGTAGACAGGAAACTAGAAGATCGACAGCGGTCGCTGACCTCACCCGAGCATCAGTAACGTAGATAAGGCCCGGGGGTCCGCTTTTGGCTGGGGGATGCCGAAAGGGTGCCGAAAGGGCAGCGGATGCCGGGCCAATAGACTGTCTGCGCAGCGTGGTGATGTTGTTCAATGGTGATCAATGCACATCATCTCACACCCAGAGACACGCCGAAGAAGAATTTCTTGAAATACTTCGGCAAAGATGATTCGAAAATAAGAAAAAAGAAAAACATGTACTGACAAGGGCGTGATTCGAACCCGCGCGGTTAGTCTACCGTTTTGCGGTTAGGAATATTCCGTAAGTCAATAATGGCTCGGAGCCATTGTTTCAGGCCTGAGGCCTAAAATTCCAAGCTTGTATGGTATTTGGGTAATTGCTTACCGCTACGGCGGCCCGCAGCGACCCACGGCGGCGGTGGAAACGCCTTCTGCTGCCCCCGACCCCTGAGAAGAACTGGGGAGAGCACAGAGGCTAGTAGCCAGACATTGCAGCAACAACCACTTATGCTTTCATTCAGTTGACTTGTCGCGCTGTATCTCAGAGAACAGGTTAGCGGATAATATGTGACTTGGACTAAAGGAACAAATTCCCTATCGAGTCATAGCACTGGCCGCTGAGTGGAGACATGAAGTGTGTCTCTCAGTGAAAAGACAATAATTGATGATCAAGGCGTCCCCAGATTAGACAGGTATTATAATGAGTGTTGAAAGAGTACGCAGGTAGGGAGATACCCAAAGACAAGGCCTGGGCATACTATATGGGAATTATACTGTATACATTGAAATCGGCAGCTATCTAAGCAATTGAACAAAGCGTTCGTAAGCATGTACCTGAAGTGCTTAGTAGGGGGATAACGACTAGACTCCATTTACTCCATACAGGAACCGTGCCTGGGAGCCCGCTATCCATGGGAGAGTAACTGAACTGTTTAGAAAAGTGGGAGTGGTACGACCAGTAAGGTATCGATGTATCATCAGTTACAAGAGATACCAATATTACCAGCGACCGATCAATCTGGAGAAAGAAAGAGGGCGATGATTGGGCCGTTGGGGACTGCAGGGTGAAAGGGGGCAGTTGTGACCGTTCCAGAATGGTAAGAAATTGTTACGAACAGGAAAACGGGAGGGAGGAAATCCCCCCTTAGAGAGAGTCTAGCAAATCCCCTAACTGCCAGATCAGTAGCAAGCGCCAGCCAAACGGCTCTTTAGTCCCTCCAGCTTGCCCAGAGAGTGTCCGCCCGTCGTCGAACCTCAGGGGAGCAACGCAGCCATTCCACATCCCATCCCATCCACTCCTCCATCTAATTCATTCAACCTTCATTCCACCTCTCTTGTTTCCCCCCCCCATTCCTTTCCTTTGGCTCAAACCACCTTCGTCCTTGTCTCTGCCACTCGCTTTCTCCCTCTATTTTCTTCAATCTCTTCTTCTCTCTTCTTTAATTTCCTCCATTCCTCCCCTTTTAATTCACCATGTCGTTCAACGCGGTATGTTACTTCCTTCCCCTTTCTGGCCTTGTTGCTCTGAAGCCTATCCATGCTCCTTCCCCCTCCCATCCAACCCACCCCGTCCATTGTCCCTTGAACCGTCGTTTTCTTTTCATTATATGTCTTCAGGCTCTCGGCCAGAGATTTGTCCACGATTAATTTCTTGCTCTAATTCCCAGATGAAGCTCCGTCGCAAGAAGAATGTCAAGAAGGGTATCCAGTTCTGTCTGATGGTCTGTGGTGCCAGCGGAACCGGTATGTGCTGCATCATACAAACCAACTTCGATCGCAGAATTGACGGAATTCCCCCCTTTCGATAGGACGTACCACCTTCGTCAACACTCTTTGTGGAAAGAAGGTCCTAGAAGGCAAGGACTGCGACGACCCGGCCAACGCTCACATTGAGGAGGGTGTCCGCATCAAGCCAGTCACAGTTGGTAAGTCACCGCCATCTGGACCACCAGCATACACGCCACTAATGAAATCTTGAAAAGAGCTGGAATTGGACGACGAAGGCACCCGCATCTCCCTCACCATCGTTGATACCCCCGGTTTCGGAGACCAGATTGACAATGAAGCAAGGCACGTTGAACTTGGCCGCCTTCTCAACGCCCCCTACGAATACTGACCGTCCCAACAGCTTCGGCGAAATTGTCGGATACCTTGAGCGCCAATACGATGACATTCTTGCGGAGGAATCACGAATCAAGCGTAACCCCCGCTTCAGGGACAACCGTGTTCACGTCCTGCTTTACTTCATCACACCGACCGGCCATGGACTGCGTGAGCTGGACATCGAATTGATGAAGCGCCTTTCTCCCCGTGTCAACGTCATCCCCGTCATCGGCAAGGCCGACTCTCTCACCCCTGCCGAATTGGCCGAATCCAAGAAGCTTATCATGGAGGATATTGAGCACTACCGCATTCCCGTGTACAACTTCCCTTACGATATCGAGGAGGACGACGAGGACACCGTGGAGGAGAATGCTGAGCTTCGTGGTCTGATGCCGTTTGCCATTGTTGGCTCTGAGGACTTCGTTGAGATTGACGGCAAGAAGGTGCGGGCCAGGCAATATCCTTGGGGTGTCGTGGACGTTGAGAACCCCCGTCACTCGGACTTCTTGGCCATCCGCAGCGCTCTTCTTCACAGCCATCTCGCAGACCTTAAGGAAATTACCCACGATTTCCTCTACGAAAACTACCGTACTGAGAAGCTCAGCAAGAGTGTGGATGGTGCTACGCCGTACGTATACCCACTTGCCATTGTTACGGTCCACTGGAACGAAAGCTAATCCATAGCCACAGTACACAAGACTCTTCGATGAACCCAGAAGATCTGGCATCCCAGTCCGTTAGACTGAAGGAGGAGCAGCTCCGTCGCGAGGAGGAGAAGCTCCGCGAGATCGAACTCAAGGTGCAGCGCGAGATCGCTGAGAAGCGCCAGGAACTGTTGGCTCGTGAGAGTCAGCTGAGGGAGATCGAGGCTCGCATGGCGCGTGAAGCAAGCCAGAGTCAGATTGATAGCATCAGCGATGCTTGAGCTCCTCCTGAACCTGTTCCCCGGAGGGAGACGGATCTTGCATGTTGACCCCGGACGCCGTTTGTGCCTATGTAATGAGATTCGTGGCACGGCAGTTGTGACTGTCGACGGGGGAAAGATTAGTCGACCGTTTATTCACGTTAATAGCTTCTTATCCGAGAGGAGAGGGGAAAATGCAACGTTCCGTTTATCTTGACGACTGGCAGCATTCCCCTTTGTTCACTCAGAGGGTTGCGGACAAGAGGTGATGGAATTCTGCTGCTGCTCTGCTCTTTCCCTCTCCCAAATTTTGGCTTCTTCCCATGTCTTCTTTAATCTGGTCGAAAGATCTCCGAACTGTTTCGCACTGCCCATGTTGCGAAGCTTGGGGTCAGAGATAGCATCTTTTTAATTTGCTGACAGTTGTCGCTGAACCTGCATCACCTCCTTCTCATTGCCCATCCCTTTTTTCATTTTTTCCCGTTTCTGCTTTTGTCGATGAAACCTGTCCCAATCTCAAGCAGCGCAGCAAGATTCCCTCTTTTGTCGTTTCATATTCCTTGTGCTCGTGGTTCATGTCTTAATCTTATCATCATATGTCTTAGTTGAATAGTAGTATATGAGGACAAAAGACCCGAAGTTTTTCCTGGTATGTAAGTTCTGATGGCATGGTAAGCAAATGTTCCATTCCCCATCGTTTCTATGCAGAACTAGGAACATTACTATGAGAAGTAACTTGCATGCCAACGCGTACACAAGACACATATTGTCGTTCAGACCAGCATCAGACTCCAGACTTGACCCTTCATTTTTCTGGGGACCAGCATAAGGAGTTGCATGACTTCATAAATATATATTAGATAAGCATCAGACGTCTCTTACTGACCGTGTAAGCCATGAAACCTAGAGCGTATTTGCCATCTATATTATGATAGTGAGGATTTGGCTTAGGATGTAGCACTAAGGGGTGTATCTGGTGTATATTTTACTAGTATGCGAGGACTCTGAGCCTTGTCTACTGATACTAGCTGGAGCTCTATCTCTTTAGAAGTACGTTATGCTGAGAGATAGTAACATTCAAGTCGTTGAACTGCTAAAATATATATTTACTAGCAACAAGACCCACTTCAATGCAGTCAACCATGGATGGTCATGATATGTACTCACTATACTGCTGATCTATAGTACTAAGTCCCTAGTATACCATCTATCCTTACTGGTATTGCCATAGATAAGTTGCAACAACTACGATTAACCGACCTTTCAGCCAAGTTAGCAGCCACTGACCTGGGTAGATGCTGGCAGAAAATCATTCCGCCCATGACATCGACAGAGACTGAAAATCGTTTCTATTTTTAAATCAAAAAAAAGAAAATAGCAATTCGCAGACCTTTTTTGCTCTCTACTCCGTATAATTGTGCGTGGCAGTTATACGCCACACTCAATGGGAACGATCCGGACTTGGTTGCGGTATACTTGGCATAGAGACATCGAATGGGGAGAGATAAGAACCGAAATTACGGTCTATAATTCCACTATACATCTCCCCATCTGTCTAAGAGGAGTGAGAATAATCTCATGAGATTAGTAATGTTGTTAGCATCGATCGGTCTCAGTGTACCCCGCCATTCAGCCGCACCAACTCAGCGCCATGCAACTTTCTTCCACCTGTGAGTTGGCGCGCCTGTAGTGGATTGCCTTGAAGCGACCATCCCCCAGAGTCCATCTCCATTCTCTTACGCTACTACACTGGTCAAGGCGTTGGGATATATCTCTACATCTGCTCTTCAGACAGACACGATACGTCGTTTCTGATCCCGTGGTTAGCGCGTTGAACTAAAAAGCCCATACAATATTCACTGAACGTCGTACGAGAGACTCGAATCACACCATGTCTCCAGGACTAAAGTGCAACTCTGATCTGACAGAACCTTCCTTTACCTACACAGAGCTCCCGCGAGAGTCTCCACATCCCACTACTCGCATGATGCGCCTCCTGCCAAATAAAGATAAAGATGCAGAACTCGAATGCGAACTCTTTAACTATGACTTGACGTCAGGTAGCGGCGCGGATTCGCACCTCTACGAGGCACTTTCCTACGTATGGGGAAGTAAAACGAGATCTCGAACCATCAAATTGAACAGCCGTGCGTTCCCCGTAACAGAGAATCTATATCTTGCGCTGTCACGTCTCCGGAATCGGCAGCTTGAGAGAATACTGTGGGTTGATGCGATTTGCATCAACCAGGATGATCTGAACGAGAAGACCGAGCAGATCCCACTTATGCGGACGATATATGCACAGGCCCAACATGTCACTGTTTGGCTCGGAGAGGCTTATGGAGATGGTGATAAAGCGCTTGAAGGACTCCGGTGCCTGGCGGAAGGGCAGGATGTAGATATTGAGGGGTGTGGAGCACTATGTGTGAATTTGTTTGAAAGAGCTTGGTTTCGCCGTATCTGGGTAATGATTTTTCCCGCACGTTGAACTATCAGAGGTGTGTCGACTAATATCCATAGTAGGTACTTCAGGAAGTTGGTGTCGCAAGATCCATTTATATCATGTGCGGCTCTGTTCAAATAAACGGACATGCCTTGTGCGAAGGCCTCAAGAGAATGAGGCTTCCTGCAGAGTATCAAGAAAAGATAGGCCCAGTCGCGTTTCTTATCAAGGGGGCACTTGTCCGGCCAAAGTATGAGCCGGGGTCACGAGGATTTCTCACTATTGGGGAGCTCGTTGGCATGTACTGCTACCACGATGCTACCGAGCAGCATGATAAAATCTATGCACTTCTAGGTTTGAGTGCTGACCCTATGACATCCGCCCTAACGCCAAACTATGCCCTCCCCTGGAATACGGTGTTCAACCAAGTTACCAGTCACATGTTCCCAGACTGTTCTGTTGACACATGGCCTGAATCAGATATAGCCATTATCAGAGGCGTGGGCTGGGTTCTAGGCCATATTTGCTCTGTACGACACGTATCAAATTTTGGCCAGCAAGAAGTAAAGGTGTACTTGAATGATACAGCCCGGTCAATCGGGTATGAGAACGACTGGGAAGCTGATTGGGATCTTCAAACTTTTGCACAGGCCGTTAACCCCGGGGATATCGTCTTCCTTCTACAAGGGGCTTCGAGGCCAAGTATCATTAGGCTTTGCAAGGACCATTTCAGGATAATCACACCTGCCGTGACTCTTTGCAAAAGACGCCCTAGAGAGTCTCTGGAAGGAACATCTCGGGGATGGCATACACCGGATGGATCTTGTGATATCCTACTGGCGTGGAGGATTCCTCTGAATAATGATACTAGGTCTCAGAAATGGCCTGAAACAGAGCTCCCCGACATGGTTCCAGCCTATCAAGAACAGTCCTTGGAGGCGAAATATAGACGAAACAATATTACCCGAATTATGGCAGGTGCTGTCATGGAAGCATTGGCCTTGGAGAAGTCAGAAGACGATGATGTAGCGCGCTTGCTCGTTTTGAGAGGTACAGATGATTCAGTTGCTTCACGGTTGACTAAGTCTTCCGCAAAGGATATTCGATGTTTTCCTGACAAGATCATGCAAAGCCTCTTTCCAAGTGAGCGAAACGATCTGTCAATTTCCGAGGAAATGGTCAAAGCAGTGGCAGAGAATGAAGGGCCGTGTGGCTATATAATCATGGAGCTCCTTTTCCAGCTTCAAGGGTCTAGTCTTCCCATCACTAAAGAAGTGGTCGAGGCAGCAGCAGGAAACCGTGGAGTGTATGGGGATCAGGTTATGAAGGCTATCTATCGCCACCGTGGAGAGTTCTTCCCGGTTTCCGAAGAGGTGGTTAAGGCAGCGGCAGGGAATACTGGAAGAAAGGCACCCAAGATATTGAAGTTCCTCTTCAAAACACATGGGGAAGCCCTCCCTGTCTCTGAAAAAGTACTCAAAGTGGCAGTAGGAAACGACACAAACTGTGGGTTCGAAATTCTGAAGGTTATCGTTCACTATCGTGGCCAAAATCTCCCGGTGTCTGAAGATGTGATTATAACCGCAATGGAGAATTATCAATGGGGATACGGCGAAATACATTATCTCTTTGAATGCTGCGATAGAAAAGTTCCAGTTTCTGGGGCGCTGGTTAAGGCAGCAGTAAACAGGCCCGTGCCATTTATGAGATTACTTATTGAGCAAGCAGAGGGAAGCCTTCCGGTCTCTGAGAAAGCGTTGAAGGCAGCAGCACGAAATAATATGCATGGAGTTGAAATCCTGGAATTACTCTTGCAACATGGAGAGAAAGGTATTCCAATCTCTGAGGAGGTGATTAAGGTAGCTGCAGGAAATATTGTGCATGGGGTTAATATCCTGAAATTGCTCTTTCAGCATGCAAAGGGAAGACTTCCAATCTCAGAGAACGTGGTTAAGGCAGCGGCAGGGAATTTAGTATGTGGAGATAGGGTGCTGGAAGTACTCTTCCAACAAAAAGGAGAAAGACTTCCAATCTCAGAGGAAGTGGTTAGGACAGCAGCAGGAAATCTTTCTCTTGGTCATGAGATTATAAATCTTCTCTTCCAACAAAAAGGAGAAAGACTTCCAATCTCAGAGGAAGTGGTTAGAACAGCAGCAGGAAATGATTCTTGTGGTCATGAGATTATAAATCTTCTCTTCCAACAAAAAGGAGAAAGACTTCCAATCTCAGAGGAAGTGGTTAGAACAGCAGCAGGAAATCTTTCTCTTGGTCATAAGATTATAAATCTTCTCTTCCAGCAAAAAGGAGAAAGACTTCCAATCTCAGAGGAAGTGATTATAACAGCAGCAGGAAATGATTCTTGTGGTCATGAGATTATAAATCTTCTCTTCCAACAAAAAGGAGGAAGACTTCCAATCTCAGAGGAAGTGGTTAAGGCAGCGGCAGGGAATTCAGGATCTGGATTTAGGGTGCTGGAAGTACTCTTCCAACAAAAAAAAGAAAGAATTCCAATCTCAGAGGAAGTGATCAATGCGGCAGTGGAGAATATTTCATGCGTGGCAAACATCCTGAGAATTTTGCCAGAAAGTCCAGAAAGTCCAGAAAGCTCGGAAAGTGCAGAGAGTTCAGACAGTTCAGAAAGTCCAGAAAGCTCGGAAAGTTCGCTGTCATCGGATGAATTGGACGAAGAAGACTAGAGTGAGATAATAGTATAACAATCTACAAATACTACTCATTATTGGAGCCTGCAGTGGCCGTAATGGTGAAAGGTTACTAGGTAGGCCCTGCTTGTTTAGGAAGAGATCAGTGACACTTTCTATAGATGCCATCGAGCGAAATGGACCCTGGAGACGTCCAGCTTGAAGGCTACCAAAGCTTGAAAACAATCACGCTATAAATATCGGCATCTATAGAGGCCATTGAACTGTGTAGACCTCTTATCCACTCATTTGAGAATGAAGCCAAGGAGATAGGAAGCATTGGTACTACTAATATAAGATGTAGTATTATCTACTTGACTGCTCTGCATATGAGCACGAACATAGTATACATAGGAATGATATTCACCCATACTAAATACTCAAAACACAGATGCCCCGCTGAGTGTTTTGGAAAATCGCCATTCTCCAGGGATCATGTGGATGGACTCTGGGCATAAGAGTAATAATATCTATGAAGGGTACGCATATACTGCTATTGGGTTGCCAGGCCAGAGTGGGCATGTGACCGGGTCACCTAAGGGCCAGAAATAACTCAGGTGACAGTGTAGAGCGCAGTAGGTGACTAGGTAGTGACCCCGTGATGGGTGAGGTGACATTCCAGGCTAGAGCCATGACTAGTTAGATTCTTAGTCGCAGTCTAACAAGCAAGTGGATAATAGTGATTGGATAAGCATGTGGTATGGATGCGCTTCATTGTACAAAGATAATTTGATCAAGCTGACCTGATACAGACAGATCGAAGTGACAACATGGAGGTATTATAAAAAGGAGATCCTCGGTTCAGCTCAATAAGTCAAAGTGGCCGCAAAGGTCAGCAAAAACTGAGCCTCAAAGAAAAAAATGGATGCAGTGGATATATGCGCTTTGCAACCATCATAGGGCCATTCTAAAGTGCAGTCAAAAGCAGTCAAAGGTGCATGAGTTATTTCTCGTATTCCCCTCTCTTTCTTCTTATTTCAGCGGGCCTACTGTTGCGGCTTGTTCCAGAAATCCAAGCTGGCTACCACGTCCTCGCCCGATTCATCTTCGTAGGCATACAGAATCTGGACAGTGGTTAGTGTTGCAGGTGGACATCACGTGATCAAGACGACTTACCTCTCGCGTGGAAGAATGCAACATGCGGATGTTCTTTCCGGTCATAATATGGACCAATTCACTCGTTTCAATGTGCCGGATCTCAATGAAGTTTGGTTCGAAAGCAAGGATGTAAGGATAAGAGAGGGCAAAAGCGTTAGGATTGCCTTCCCATGAAATCTTCCAATCCGGGCGTGCGCGCCAACCATTGCGGTTGACAAAGAAAGAAAAGTCGCTGTAATTGAGGAGGAACTCTCCATTCATACGCTCGATATGGATCGGCTTGACGTTCTCTTTGCGTGCAACGAAGTCGAGTGAGGTGTCGGCCTGATCCAAGAGTGACTGCGTCTCGGTTGTTTCCAGGCTGACAACTTCGAAACCACGTGCACAGCCAACGCAAAGTGTGGAACGGAGAAAATGTATCGACGAAGATTCGGCGGGGATGTAAAATTCCTGCTCTGATTGTTAGCAATGTTAACCACGAGGACACAGACAGCGAGTGGACACACCTTGAAAAGCTTCAGACTATCCTGGCCGCTCTGGAACATCTTGCTGACCGCAGACTTCTTCTTGCCTTTAGCCAGATTATCCATGGGTTCGTAAACCTTGATGGTCGTCGACAAAGCCGAAGTCTTAACAGAGCACACCAAATGACGGCCCAGTCCGATACCGGCCTTGAAGAAGTTCGCATGTCCCTGGATCTTCTTGGGCCGCTTTGCGACTGTGTTTTGACTTTCACTGATCTCCAAAGCCTCCATTGGGTAAGACGAAAGCGTCTTATTCGACAGGACCAAGAGTAGTTGATACTCTTCCAAAGTGTCCATTTGCGTAACCTGGCTCACGTCAAGAACTCGTCTAGGCCTAGCCGATTTGTCCTTAGGCCAACGCTCAGACAAGTAAATGCCGCTGTCTGTACCATACACGAGCTTTCTGCCACCGTCTGCCAGAAAAGTCATTAGCCATATCATCGAAAGCTATAATGAGAGCTGAGTAATAACATACCAACTGGAACAAGGCAATTTACCCTGTTGACAGAGGTAAAGAACTTCTCGCAAAGGACAGTTTTATTGTAGAAGTTGCTGTTTCGCTCCCTAAGTTTCCTCTGTTGCTCTTCTACCATTTCGATGAATTTCCTTCTTTGCGTAGGAGAAGTGGCGTATAGAGTCTGCTCATACCCCCCCTTACCAAGATGCCTGAAAGTGATGGGCAGGCCATCTTTAGTCGTGGGTGGATTTGCAGCAGCCTTGTTGGAGAGCAGACTAGAAGAGGGCCTCTTAGCGACACCAACCCTGGGAATCACCTCGTCCATTTGAGCAATGACCAGAAGCTCGAGAGGAATGGGCTTCCGATATACTCGGTACTCCTCCCGCTTGTTCACGATCTTGATTCTCACCAGGAGAACCGCATGATCGAAAAGGTATGCAGTAACTTCAGAACTGTCAGTTGGCGTTTTCTTGAAAGCCATCTTCGTCAGCATTTGACGGTTCTCTTCCGTCAGCTTCAGATCGACATATTCGCCCGGGGGAAACTTCAAAGCTGAATTGAGCTGCACAAGGTTGAAATGGTTCTCAGCTCTTCCACTCTCAGCATTGACGCGAGACAGGAAATCTTTGATGAGCTTGATGGCCTTGGGAATGTCTTGCTTGTCAGGATTATCGTCCGCCGTGTTCTTGGCAACCTGCTCCAGAAGCAAGGGGTACCTTGCCAGACGAGTGGTTGGCTTGGTCAAGTAACCGTTCAACTCCAGCTTTCGTGACTCTTTGAGACGTTCTGTTTCCTCAACGAATCTCGCAAAAGCCGAGTTTGATGCCTTTTCTTTCTCGAACTCGTACTTTCCGTAGAGCTGGTTTGCACCGTACTTGATGAATGGGTCAAAGCGTGGCACGTGCTGCAAGAAGATATCACCGACTGTCTTGACAACGTGGTTCTCCTTCTGGCGTGCGTTCAGAGCCTCACACAATCCGCCGTTGACCTTCAAGACTTCCAAGCAATTTCCGAATACCGTGCGAATGAACTTCTCCCGTCGGTGCTCAGGGATTGGCGAAAGATTAGCATTGCCTGCCGAACGCAATGGCCTCATCCAGAAGTCTCGTAGATACTCGAGGTCCTTGACGAAGTCGCGCTCGGTGTACATGATCTCGAAAATGATCTCCTGACGTTTCTTCTCGCGGTCGTCAATGCCATCAGAAATCTCCTTAGGAACCATGTTAATCCACAGTTTCTGGTTATCATTGTCGTCGTCATCACCGTGCAAACTGCCCTTGGAGGCAGACGAGCGGAGTCCCGGCTGCGGCTTGAGGTTCAGTCTAGCTTGCTGTTCTAACCTCCTGGGACAAGCAATCGAGTAGCATAAGCTGTCGCGAGTGCAAGTCGGCGAGTAGCATTCAGTCAATAGCGTGAACACTCCATTTACCTCCGAACTGGGCGCTTCCTCTCCCATGGTTTCTTTGAACTGGTAAAGCTCACCGGGAGCATCTCGCAGACGGTGGTCATATGTCACATCGTGGAAGAACTTCTGCGCATCCAAAGCGCGTCCCAACAGCAGAGCGAGATTGCGATCCATAGTCTTGATGATGTAGGCGATCAGGTCGACCGCCTCCGCACCGGAGAACGCATTCTGATACGACAGTCCGTTTTTTTGCCGTTCAGCGAGCGTAATCCTCTCACGGAAGACATCGGCCACTCTCGAAAGCAGGGCTGGGTAAACTAGCGGCACCTTACTCCGACGGGAATTGCTTTGGACAAGAGTCGACGTGTTACTGGGCTTCGGAGCAATTTGGCTTTGCATGCTCATAGTACGGTCCGGAACAACAGTGGATGCCATGGACATGGTGCGGGAGTTCATGGAGCCATCGCTAGGGGGACGAGACTTTCCGTTAACATCATACGCGTTAATCACATCCGCTGGGTACGAGGAGGCTTCCGGGGGTGGACTAGGGCCGGAAGGCTGTCGCCTGGGAGGAATGACCCGTCCAGTTTGTGTTGTATGAGCGTGGTCGCGGTCAGTGGAGTAAGTGGTCAATGACATGGAGCGCTCGTTCTGATTCCTCTCCGGAACCACACGTCCCTGAGGTGTCATGGGGGCGGCGCCTGCATTATAGGGCTGTTGGCGGGAATAGGTTGCAGAGGTATGGTTGAAGCCACTGGATGGTGGCTGATATATCGGTGGCCCTCCCAACCTCGCCATTGACCTTGATCTGTAAGCGTCGGAGTTCAGGGCCGGGTGGGGCACTGGTCGAGCATAACCCTTTGCATCCGGATATTGTGGCCCGTGGTTCGGTCTCGAATCAAGCCTCTGCGGCTGGGGGTAAGCAGAGCGTCCGGGATAGGGTCGTGGAGGATTTTGTGAAGGATGCTGGGAGGTCATTGTAGCTGCGCTTCCGCCGTACGGTGGATAATAACCGTTGGGGGGGCCTGGGGGGTATCCATTCTGCATCTGGCGCGCGGGTGGTGGCGGACCCCTCTGCATTTGCGGATGGGGCACGTGTGAAGACATGGTATGGGCCCGATCTTGGGAGAACTGAGGTGTCTGGGAGGTCATCGTCTGCGAGCGTCCCGGTGCTCCGCCGAAAATCTCGGAGAATGCAGCATCACGTTGAAAAGCGGAGGGATGTCCGTAAGGCCGGTAGTTCCGGCCTTGCTGACCCCCTAAATCGGCCATGATGTGTATGTAGCCCCCTCTTTACTCCTCGCTGTGGGGATATCTCGGTGAAAGGTGGCAAGAAGGTGAATCACACGAGGCGAGATGAGGGTGAGGTAAAGGTGGGAGAAAGGGAGGGTATCGAATCCGGTCGTAGAGAGCGTGCAGAGCGTCGCGAGGAGATCGTTTCGAATCGTGGAGTAAGGAGAAGGAGGAGAGCGCGGGTGGGAAAAAAGAAAATGAGATACTCCACGGGGCGATAATTTATGAGCGGAATCAAGAGTAAAATAAGACAAAAATAAAATTTGAATAGGAGAAGAAAAGTCTCTACACACAAAAGCCCCCTCGATGTATCATGCCTTTGGGAGGTCCAGTGTTGGTGCGATTTGGAAGTCTGGGGAGGGTGTCGAGACCGCGTGGTGTGTTAACGATCCAAGTGCGCTAGGAGCCTTGAGCGCAACGGCAAGCCAGGGCCCCTGCAAGTTCATAACCTCAGCATGCTCCCTCGGGCGGGATCGGTCGATCAAGACTGGGGGTGGCGTGCCTGGGGAAGAGGGAGAGAAAAGAATCTGAGGGGGTAAGGCCAGGCAAGATGGGTGGGTGGAGGAGGAGGGGGGGGGAAGAGGAAGATTGTTTTTAAGGTTATAGAGGGAGAGAGAGAGTTGAAGTTAGAGAGTGGGGAGAGGGAGGGAGGGCAGTAGTGGATTTAGTGGGAGTAAGTAGGCAGGTGTCAGTTATTATGATTGCCAGGGAAGTTGGTGAAGAATGGGACCGGCGGCCGTGTAGGAGTCTAGGAGAAGGAAGAGCACGGGGGTTGTTGGGTCGAACAGGCACATGTCACTCCTAACCCGGATAGGCCACTTCTCCTATACGGTGGCCCGGGCGGACTACTTCGGTCAACCTCTCATTCCGCCGACCTGCCAAAGCTATCGTGTTTATCCAGCTGGCTGCTTCCGACTGACGTCTGGAGACGATAGTAATTCGGATTTTTGTCTGCCTTAGTCCAGAATTCGTCTCACCTATCCAGGCTCTTGCTTCTCCGCTTCTTTGTTCCTTTCTTTTTCTTCTTCTTTCCCTCCCTTCCTTTGCTCTCACTCCTGATCCTCGTGCTTCCTGGGTGGATTCGGTCATCATGGCGGACAGCGAGTTCTCCCCCAAGTTCGCTCCGTTCTTTTCCTTCGTAAGCTTCCCCGTCACGGTCATCGCCGTGAAAGTTTCACGCGACATGTATCGTTTGCTAATTCACCAGGACAGGCAGGTATTGCGGCAGCTGTGAGTATCAACTACACGCCACCCGTTCCGATCACCGCACGCTAACCACACCTCAAAAGATGATCTTCGGATGTATGTCGACTCACAAAGCTGGAGGTATTGATTGATTGTTATGGGAACATACCAGCTCACTTCATCTAGCAATGGGAGCCGCATACGGAACGGCGAAGTCAGGAATTGGTATCTCCGGAGTGGGAACCTTCAGGCCGGACCTGATCATGAAGGTATGTTGGACCTGTTCCAGCTTCTTGTCGCATCTCCCGAGTTGTCCTGATTGTACTAATTTGTGCAGTCTTTGATTCCCGTCGTCATGTCCGGTATTATCGCAGTTTACGGCCTCGTCATCTCGGTGCTCATCGCCGGTGACATGGATCCTCCCCCGAACAAGCATATGAGCCTTTACACGTACGTTTCCCGATTTCCGCCTTAACTTATATATAAAGTAGTCTGATGATATTGTCTTGGAAGTGGCTTTATGCACCTTGCTGCGGGGTTGTCGGTTGGCCTCGCAGGCGTGGCTGCCGGTTATACTATTGGTGTTGTCGGAGATGCGGTAAGCAGTCATTGCGAGGAGTGTCTGGATGGAAGTGCGCAGGTGCTAATATGGATACAGGGTGTTCGTGCGTACATGCAGCAATCTCGAGTTTATGTCGGTATGATTCTTATCTTGATTTTTGGCGAGGTTCTTGGTCTCTACGGGTATGTGCACATCCACTGGAGCAGATACGATACCGTACTTACACTCATAGATTGATTGTTGGCTTGATTCTCAACTCCAAAAGCTCTGGCTGAGCGGGTTCTGCATGTTGCGCTTGGTGTTCCCGGTTCTTGGCCACTCATGTCCACCATGGACGTGTTTTTGTCCCCTATAGAAATACTGCTGTACAGATGAGTGCAGCCAAATTGCGATCAAGAAGTGGCAATTCTGCTTATTGTCCAGGGACCATTCAGTCGTTGGCGCTGACACTGGTATTGATGCCTTTCGTCCGGGGAGGTCTGGTGTCTTGTACTAGTACATTGCTGGAGTGTTGAAATAGCATATACGTTACTTGAAATGTCATTATATCCCTCTCTATATTTCTATTCGATGATTTAGATTCATTTGCCATTTGAAGAGAATATCGCAACCGCTTAGCAGCGAGGGGATGGCTGGTGACCGACAGGGGACTCGAACACGCAGGCCCGTGGCTGCCCCGCCGGCCGGTAACGTCAGAGTCTCTTCTTCCCGTAGCGCCGCCGGCTGGATGAGAGCCAGACCGGCCTCATCAAAGCTCTTCCATCCCGCAAAATCCTCTTGCGAATCCCCGCGCCGTTGCCGTTCCCCTGATCAATCTCTATGTGCGATAATAACTCGCCCGCATTTCTTTACCAGCTTTAAGGGACCCGGTACTCGCCCAATTGCTACCCCAGCGACTCCTTGTTTTCCTCCCCACACCTTTCCCCCTCCCCGCGGTCCTCCGCGACAGGATCCCTTGCCATTTTCTGCGTCACCAAAACCATCGATGCGCTAACGACATGCAAAGATTCTCAGTCCCAACTAGCCAGTTCAAGATGGGGTCGGAAGATATTCATGAGAGGGAGAAGGAGATAGTGGCTTCAGTCCGACCGCCTCATCAGCGTCGACTGAGTCCGTTCGTTATCGCTGGTCGTGCTGAAGAGAAACAGCTGGGGATATCGACTCGTCGGTTGAACGTCAATGACTTCGCACTGTTGAAGACACTGGGCACAGGTAAGCTTCGCTTCGTCGCTTGCGCAACCTAGCCAGTGTCTGACGGCGGCGATTCTGGTGCCCAGGCACATTCGCTCGGGTGTGGTTAGTGAAGTTGAACGACGAAAGGCAACGCAAGAACAGGGTCTACGCTCTGAAGATACTCCGAAAGGCAGATGGTATGTAGTTTGCGATGCATACTGCAGCAACAGCACCTGGCTAACCGTTTCTGTTTCGAAATTTGACAGTGATCAAGCTGAAGCAAGTCGAGCATGTCCGCAACGAACGGAAGACTCTCGCAGATGTTTCCGGCCATCCTTTCATCACGACATTGATTGCCTCCTTCTCCGATGACCAGAATCTATATATGTTGGTATGAAGCCTAGATTAATCTGTGTTCCTGTCACGCGCGACCAATCCTCAACCCGAGCAGTGAAACCTGTGGCATCATGGCGATGGAAGACTAATGTCGTCATAGTTGGACTATTGCCCTGGAGGCGAGATATTCAGCTACCTACGACGCGCACGACGCTTCAACGAGAATACATCCAAATTCTACGCGGCCGAGATAGCGTTAACCATCGAGTTTCTCCATGACGTGGAGGGAGTGGTTTATCGAGACCTTAAGCCGGAGAATATCCTGCTTGACGCCGAGGGTCATATCAAGCTAGTCGACTTTGGGTTCGCAAAACAGGTTGGCGACCATGAGACCTATACTCTGTGTGGGACTCCCGAGTATCTCGCCCCGGAAGTGATTCATAACAGCGGCCACGGCCTTGCCGTAGACTGGTGGGCTCTAGGTATCTTAATATACGAGTTCCTTGTGGGACAGCCGCCATTCTGGGACCAAAACCCGATGCGCATATACGAGCAGATCGTCGAGGGCCACATACGTTATCCTCAGAACATGTCGCCCGCAGCCCAGAACATCATATCGTTGCTGTGCAAGACCAACCCGACTGAGCGGTTGGGCTATATCTCTGGGGGCTCAGCCCGAGTCAAGACGCATCCCTTTTTCGAAGACATCAACTGGGATGACCTGTTCTACCGCCGCATCAAGGGACCGATCATCCCTCGAGTCGATCATCCTGCGGACACTGGAAACTTTGAAGAATATCCAGATCCGGATGTGAAGAATCAGAGTCTTTACACTGATGATTTGAGAGACAAGTACGAGGCACTTTTTGCTGATTTTTGATCACTTAGCCGCTTTTGAATTCTTTTATGTCAGGCCACTCTTTGTCGTCCCGGCGACGACCGCACATGCGTTTCAAGCGCACCCGCTGGTGACATCTACCATACATCCTTCACCCTACCATAGGCTTGAGGCCGTCTATGGTGGCAGACTTTTGCCTTGCTCGCAATACACCCCACGAAGCCTTGCAGCGACTACGGCACTTGTCCTAGTCTACAGCGAAGAGCTCTACGCCCGTACTCTACTATCTACTGCGTCCTGCGACGCACCACAATATTGCGCGTGATGTCTAGCTGCATGCTTCTGCCATATCTGATGTGGCTTCTCGACATGAAGCGGGCTACATATCCCGACCGGACACTGACAACTTGCGAGCACGCTATGGAGAGAACTCATCATGACTTCACTCTCGGATCCTGCAACGAGCCTTGTTATCGATCAATACTTCAGTTGTCTTTAACCTTCTAAGCATGATGTGCTTCCTACTACATTCCTTTCTATTCTTGAGCGTTCCAGATTGGCGAGCCGGTCATTCACACTACACCTACAGCGCGAGGTTTCATCGAACACAAGCCATCTACTCACAGCATTCTCAGGAGGAACTGCTGCTTACACCCATCCTGCCAGTTCCTCTTATCAGCGGACTAGTCAGGGATATCTTCAGTCACGATAATGAGTAACGATGTCTGGTTTCTTGCACATGCTTTCTGTCCACCTTTAACGGGTCCCAGGGGATGCTACTAAAACTCAGGTGAAGGCGGGTGGGGGGCCGGTTGATATTACTTCAATTTTTGTACTTTTTGTCTGGATGACACCGCGAGATATACAATTGGATACATAGTACAACGTTGCCTACTACAACTTGAATACAACATGTTAACACCTGAACATACACCACACCCATCTCCACCAATTATCAGGATATATACTCTGACCTACTTCCTCCCCGTTCCATTAACCAACCCCACCCCTCTCCCCATCCCCTCCGCCACCATAACCCCCTCCCTAACCGCCCTCCCCACGAGACCCCTAAACCCCGCTTCCTCCAACACACACAACCCACCCATCGTACACCCCCCAGGAGAAGTCCCTCTCTCCTTCAACAACGCCGGATGCTCCCCACCAAGTAACAAATCCCCCGTACCCCTCAACACCTGCGCAACCGTCACCCTCGCCTCCTCCCTCCCCAACCCCATCGCCACGCCCCCATCCACCAACGCCTCCACAAACACCGCCAGAAACGCAGGCGTGGATCCCCCCAGCACCGTGAACGTATCCATCTGATCCGGCCGCACCTGCACCGTGCGTCCTATCTTGTTGAAGATCCCCTCCGTTAGGGAAATCATCCCCTCCGGCACGCGAGTCTCTGCATTCGCTTGCAACTCTTCAGAGGGGAGCTCGATTGCTGTGATGGACTGGGAGATAGTAGCGCAGATGTTGGGCAGGGCGCGGATGACATAGAGGTCTTGTGGGTTGGAGAGGAGACCGCGGAGAGAGGAGACGGTCCAGCCGGCGGCGATGCTGATGAGGAGTTTTGGGGTGGACTTAGGGTTGCAGAGGGCAGATTTTGTGAGCGAGTCGCTGAGGAGGGAGGGGATGTCGGTGGGATCGCAGGCGAGGATGATGGCGTTGGCGGAGGAGATGGCGATGTGGTTGTCCGTGGAGGGATGGATGGTTAGGGTGGTGGTGAGGTGGGAGTGGAATTGGGATTGGAGGGCGCTGAGGGAGGAGGGGGAGCGGACGGTGGGGATGAAGGAAGTTGGGAGGGGGGTGTTGGTGGTTGTGTTTGTGGTGGATTGGGCGGTTAGGAGGCCGTTGAGGATGGCGATGCCCATTTTTCCTGGGATGTAGTGTTAGTAAATGGATGTATATGGTGGGTAGGGGAAGGGGAAATGTACCGCAGCCGAGGATGGCGAGGGTGTTTTCTGGTGTGGACATTTTGGATGTAGTTGTTGTTGTTGTTGTTGTTGGATTGATTTGGTGGGATGGATGGAATAGAAGGATGTTATTGCAGGCGGATAATATTGTGTGATGCTCCAGAGGTATTAAGTGTCACGAGAAGGATTAAGATTGACTCTTTGAGTTGGAAGGAAAAAGAAACCAAAGACATGGGAGGAATGAAGGCACGACAGCACCCCTCATCACTACCTACTACCCATCATTGCATCAATTGACTCCAAAGTGTAATGGAAGTATATCCAGATCCACTCGGATATCGGTGGGTCGGCACTGCAAGCTGGCGGTTATTCTAACTGCACTTCAGCGTATGCCCTAGTAAAACCTAGTTGGGTGCTCACCGGCCGATAACGGTCGAGATTATCAGCTGCAGCTCACTTGATTACAGTTGTAACTGTGCATCCTTGGACGACCACCTTGCATCGGCTACAGATGCCATGGTTGGGAAAAATATCCTGGGATTGCAGCTTTACAAGGATGATATAGAAACTCATGGAGGGGTAATTGATTGAATTGGAGATATGAATAGATACCATAATTGCATTCATTCCTTCACGGTCATACTCCATACACATAGCTAAACAATCTACCCAAAGAAAGCCCTAACTCGCCTTCTCACCTCCGCCTTAAGCGCCATATGCTCAGCCATAGTGCGTGAAACCGCATCCCTATTTTCCGCTGCTCTCCGCACCAAATAACCCAAACACTCTCCCATACTACCCCAAGTCAAGCACTTGTACACACCAGGAGCCACACTGTTCTGATCTTTCAACTGCAACAGCCCGAAACTAACGCCATCCGCCATCCCCAGTAGCTGTCCGAACTCCACTCGGCCACTGGGAAGCCCCGCCTGTAAGCGAGCCTGGTGCAGCTCATGCGCCGCCACAGCACTCTCAATATTATGCGTTGCCAAAAACAAATCAGTGGTGGGAAACCTGCGTCCGGATTCTCCGAAACCCTGATAACGCTGCTGCAAGACGCCCCGCACGATGGAGTTGTATGCGATATCGGTATCTTGCTTCGTATCGTGAATGAGCTGTCTTGGGTCCGATCTCATGTATGCTCCCCGCACCAGCTTCAATCCAAACGTAAATCCTTCCTTGTCTGCTATCTCCATGTGCGACGCTATCGTGCTCGGCGTACTTTTGAGATAAGCCTGGTATGTGTTGTACACTACTGCCTTGCCGTTTCGGTTGTACTTGCGCATCATGTCCAATGTGAGGTTGTGGATCCCTTGGAGGAAGGAGTGCTGCTCAGCGTCCATGAGGAGACGGGCGTTCTTCTCGACTACCCGTTGGCACACTTCATCCAGGGCCTCGACCATTTGCGTGGGGACGGGTTGTCCGGAGGCGAATGCCTCTGTGACTTTGGGTCCAGCCCCAGTGAGCCTAATAATAGGGATCAGCACTCACTGATTCACTCTCAAATCGGGTAAAAGAATCCCTGGACTATGGGGGATCGACTTACTTTGGGGCAAGGAAGTCACCTTCGCCAAGCATGTCCACGGTCTTCAGGTAACCCTCCCGCCAGGCGGCGATGAACTCGCATGACTCTGTGTCGGTTGCCTTGTATGATACCTGGCTGTGGGCGAATTGGGTTTGGTTCGTGCTGGAATCCTGCACTGTCTCCCGCGCGTAGGTCAAAATAACTCCACGTAGTCCTGTACTTTTGATTTGGCGGATCTTATCCCGGACTTGGCTCTCCTTTTCCCCCGCACAAAAGTGGTCGTAGAATGTCTTCTTGAGGAACCAATGGACGAGAGGATTGCGGTTTACATCTAGCAAGGCACCGCGGGGCTTGGTAAGGAAAGATAGAATGGATAGACAAGGAACCAGGAGGGCTTGGTGGGAGGAGATGGTGGTCACGAGGAGAGACCGCAGGAGAGTCTTGGTAGGCAGGACAGAATGAGGTGGTGCAGAGGAGGGTTTCTCTGGAGCTTGTGTCTTAGCTACAGAGGAGATGCTGGGGACTTTCTCAAAAGTGGTTCCTGTAGAACAATATCGGAGAGATTGAAGGATTAGAGTAGGTCTTGTAAGGACACTGGTTCGTGCCCGTTGGCCAACCGGTGTCCTGCACAGAAGGTTGGACATGGTATGTGGAAGTTGAAGAGATGAAAGAGATCTGGAAGATGAAGGAGCTGATGGCATACCCGGAGGCATCTTTATACCTTGGATCGCAAGCTGCGGGGTGCATTCGTCTCCTCAATGATAGGGATAAGCATGTCTTGGGAGCTGATAAGATGACCACTTGGAGCAGGGCGATGCCGCTCATTGGTGCCCCCTAGGTCACCGGTCCTATCAGTAATATTCTTACTCATGTATCAGTGCTGAATTACGCTTCCATTCGTCCCAAAATGGATCTAATTGACGTGTCTGGCGGTTCCATCGGCACAATAATGGCTAGGCTTCGACCGTCCCTGAATCGATGCTTGTTGAATGAGGGGTAGACTTGGATCCGGTAGCCCTACCGTGTCGAAAGTGTTGGATGTGCGAGACAACACGGGTGCCTTTTTCTTTCATCTTGTCTAAGTGAGATCTCCAGATCTTCTCTCGAACGAACATGGCTTTCTGATCTGAGTGTTCCGAGCTGTTCAATTTGCATATAGTTATCAACATCCTGTCATGGTCCACTTCTTATCCTGTGCTTTGGTCAGCGCTCTGGCCACGAAGAGTAAAAAGAGTTAACATGAAATAAGTGCATTTATTGAAAGGCGAGCCATACCAATTGTCATGGTATGCTAAAAGATATCGTCCAAAGGACATTTGTATACAGCGGAACGAAGCCGGAGAGTACTAAGACTTGGTCCATTGACCGCCGATCACACATGACCGACTCCTCTTACTACAAACGCCATACCTCAGGGCTGCTTCCCCTGCTTACTGCATTTGTCTTACTGCCACCATCCCCTAAGAATCACTGTGGGTTCTCAGTGCAACGTGCCTTCCTATTACGGAAAGCAGGCCTCTCCTCACCTCTTCGGCTGATCCGTTGACCCATATTCTTCCTCCTGTATCTAACTACGAAGAACAAGAAGAAAAACAAACAAATGAAGAGCCATGATCTTTTGCTTTCCATTCTACACTAAGACTACCCGTTTGATTGCTACGGGAGCTTCGGATCGAAGCGAACGAAGCAAAGTGGTAGCATGCACTTGAGCCCCTCGGACGCTGCACGAAACTACCTTTCATCTTCCTTTCTAAAAAGAACAAAAGCTTACTCTGCTGAACTACATTCCTGCAGCCACGACACTCGCCAAGAGATCGCTATCGCGACTCCATTGAATCAACGGAATCTCATCCGTCATCATTTTCGAACAAATTACGAGCCCAGAATTCGAGCGTGACGCAGCTTCCTCCTGCCGTTCTGGGTAGGAAGGTCTAACAGCCACTCTTCGACAACTCCTTCAGCCGTTTTACTTCACCCTCCCCTCTATCTCCTACGTCGGATAGAAGCGAACGAGGCATCCAGATACATAGTCCACGAAGGCCTTGACTATGTATTTCCATATCAGCTAATAATGCCAGCTTTAATTGATTGATCCCTATCATTTTGTATTCACCATGCCTGTCCGTGACTTCCAAGAGTCATCGGAGTACAAGCATGTCCGAACATCGTGAACATAGTAGTACTCACTACACTGTAGAAGATATATAAGGATTTTATTGTCCTAATGATCCTAACGAGCCGGAGTTGAGGATAAAGACATATCTTCTTGAATGACAAGCAAAGATCTGAGGTTTCACGTCTTCATCTTGATACCGACTGTTCTTATCG